AAATCCACTGACTCGTCCATGTCAAATGGAGGCAAACTCCGAAAGAGAAGAAATGTGTGGGCGAGGATATGCCCTTGGACAGTCGCGGTGGTGTCGCCATCAACAATGCTGCCATAGGTTCAAGTGTCCAAGACGCGGACACAACCTCGACATCGATGCATGTCTGAAGCATAGACGAGCCTGAAAACCCGACAGCCAACGAGACCCCGTACCGGATGTACAATGGTGAATACACCTTTCCCCCCACCTTTCTTTCTTCTTCACCTTTTTTTTTTTTTTTTCTTTTATGGTTTTTCTTTTCCTTGTTCTTCTGCTTCGTCGTCGTCGTCATTTCGGTTAGGGCAAAGGTGGCAAATCCAAAACATACAAAGCACGCTAGATGAACTTGTCAATATTCATGGGAAATGATCACGCCGTCTTCTGTGGAAGCCGTCAGATCCGTTAAAAACGCCGTCCAGAACCCACGGCCAACGCAACATGCAGGCCCAAGCAAATAACTCCAAGGCCGACCCGAGTAATGCTCATAGTCGATCAGGTAGGTATGGAAACAAGGAGACGAAGAGTATACAAGATGAAAAAGAGGGGGAGTGGAGGTGGTGGGGTAGAGGTGAATCGTCTTTAAGGAGACGCCCAACCGCCCGCAACTTCAACCCACTCCGGAAGGCAACTGCCCTGTTTGCCTTCCACGTCCACAATGTCCGTATCGCACCGGCACCGGCATCCCACGCCGTTCTCCTTCACCGGGTCGGCGTTCGCCCAATATTCATCTTCCTCAATGCGCGCCTTTTCGTCCTCCGTCGTCATCTCCAGCCAGGGGATCCGGGGCAGTTGACGAGCCGGGGCATTGGCGGGACAGTGCTGGATAGTGGTGTGTCGGTATCCAAAGTCCCGGAAATAGTGGATATCCGAGGGGGCCAGAAGGGCGCCAGCGGCGAGCGAATGGATGGGAGCATCACCCCACTAGAGATACTGTCAGCATGGGAACATATCAGAGGTAAGGTGATGATACGCACTCTTTCCGTCCAGAAACCCCCACTCTTGTCCATCATGTCAAAAAACTCTTCGTACTCCTTGCTCCGGAACCAGTCCAGGCGAGCAATCTCGAAGTTGCTCCAGAAATGGCACATGTTGTAGGACTCGCCTTCCATAGCCTCGGGGTCAACCTCGGGCACGGTGCTGTCGCCCGGTTCGTTCTGCAGGATCTCTTCGGGCAGCTTGTCCTGCTTTTCGCCCGGGGGTTTCTCTTCCTCCTTCGGGGGCTTTTCGAGAAACATCTCCCACAGGCCCTTGGACGGCAGGTTGTTCTTTCGTTTGTAGGCGGACGCGTAGCGGAAGATATTCGGGACGGTCTCGCGCAATTCTTTGACCGCGATCGTGAAGCCGTAGGTTTTGTTGGCTTCGGCCATCTTGACGAAAGGATCGCTATGGCCCAGTGGTTAGAACCTTCCGGTTGAATAGCCATGGGGACAGCTGCTTACTATGTGATATCGCAGAAATAGGAGATTTCCGGCTCCAAACGCCAGTACCATTCGTACTTCAGGAGCAGAGGATGCCTGTAGAATTGACTGCCGTCAAATTAGTACAACGATTCATGAGAGACCGGCCTGCGATCAGGATACGCACCCAGAGTAGAATCGGCACATGTGATGATAACTCTCCATGCCTCCGTACATGATGGCGGCATCTCCCTGCTTCCGGATGCCTTCCTTAGCGACCTCGTGGTCGACCCAGTCGGGGTAACCCCACATGCTGTCGTCGATCTTCCCGAACTCCACCGGGGCACTCGTATAGTTCTTCACCGTATCTTTGAAAGCGTCGTCGAATTCGGCGTCGTTTAAGAACACGTAGGGGTAGTGGAACCACCGGTTGAAATGGCGCTCAATTGACTTGAGGGACTGGATCACGCCGTCGATTTCCTTATTTCGGGCAAGGACAACGAATGCCGCGTTGGCTCGGGGGCCCTCTTGTTTCTCCACCGGCAGACATCCCGTCGCAAAGACCTTATCATACTTTTCGCTGATTTTCCTGATAGAAAAAAAACACAATCGTTAGTTCCGCGCCGACACATGCGGGTGAGGATGAAACAAACCTTATCGACGGCGGCGTGCCAGCCGGGATCAAGATGCCCCCGGAAGACGAGGGATGTCGAACGAATAACAGGAGAATGAGAATTATTACAAGACAGGGAAATAGTAACACAAACCCCAAAGGGATGGCCACGGACGAATTGCCCTTCAACCGAATCCTCCGCTTGAAAAAGGCGAGTCGGGGAGAATAGTGGCCTTTCTCGCGCGGCAAATCATCTAGGGGTAGACTGGGCGCGGAGGGCACCCATTTCGCTACCCGCTGAATCAGGCCCATCGGGACGAGATTCCTACTCTGCGTCGATTCCCAGGAATCGAAACAGAGAACCCGATTCACACGCTGTTGGATGCAGCAGTCGCAATCCCGATAGTGGCGGGAGAGTGTCCGTCGCTCGAGACCAGATATTCACACGCACGCAACGGTTCAACAGGAGGGATGAGTTCGAGTTCGGGTTCGAATTGTCCGTCGCGGATCGATCTAGGGGGAGGGACGAAGCGGAAGTCGACAATCGAATCGAAGGGTGGATTATTATTATAGAAAGGGGGAGCAACAGCAACCAGACGGAGAGATTCGGGTCTCAACCGGGGAGAGAAGAGGCAATAAGAAACAGTAGATAACGAGCGGCCGGAGGAAAGCCTCCTTTCTCCAACGATTCCAGTCTCAATCAGCCAGAGACAGATAGGTGGGGGGAGCGTTGGTCTCAACGCAGGAGACGGAAGTCCAGATCAGGGAGGCCGACAAGACGGAGACAACCGACGAGGACATCAATCGGGATGAGTTGAATCAGTCGGGGAAGAGAGAGGGGGGGGGGTAGGGAGAAGAGAGGAAGGACTGAGAGGAGGCGAAGATAGACACGACGAGAAAGAAAAAAGAAGGTCCAGAAAAAAAAAAGGACAAATTAATAGCTAGTTATGGAACAGTATTTTGGGGACGGGGATGTGGCCAGGCAAGGAATGGGGTTCATTGGTTGGAGACCCAGCTTAACTTGCCTGGGATGAAAAGAGGTTTCGCCAAGTCCAGGGAGGCGCAAGCGGATCCTTAAGGTATGTATTGTATGTGTATGTTTCAGTATCGTTATCTGCCTGGATTTAGTAGGAGATGAGGTCTGTTTCTTGTCATTATGTGGAATAACGGCTGTCACGGCCATGTCAAATTACCGCCAAGCGGGAATAATACAGGGTCCCAAACTCCCATCTATATTTATCAGGAATTATTATTTATTACTACTCATGGCAAGCACAAAGAACGCAATCCGGAGAAGGAGATATACAGAATTACAAGAACACGGAAAGCAAGAGAAAAGAAAATGAATATCGTACTGACTAATCTGTGACCAACCAATGTAGCACACATGGGTCTACTGTGTATTGAACGATCATCCAGTGGAACGAACGTTTCTAAACCTGACTGTCACTTCCACCGTTCCCTAGACTAATGGAGATTATATGGTGGTGATCAGCATGCTAATCTCTCCTCGACCTGACAGTCTGACACCACAGGGCATCGAATAATAAGATCGGAGGTTCTCTGGAGGAGACTCGGTTCCCAATTTAGTTCCTCCCCTATCGAGCGACGGTGGCCCATTCGATGGCGCTTATCATCATCCCCGTCCATGGAACCCTGTTAGTGTGTTGCCAAGTTGTCTCATCAGATTCATCACCAGATGAATATGACCTACTCCGTACATATGGATCGAATTTCATCGAGAGACGGACTATTTCAGTATGGAAGTTATCAGCATTCAACATCAGGTATGCTGACTCTGTACGCATCCGACATTTCGAGATGGTCGGTCAGATCGGATTGTCCAGGCCAGACCAAACGGTACAATACCGGTAATACCCCGTAAGTGTCCAGAACTCGGACAATGACCCCACCGCCCCACACGTGACCCTGGCGGTAGAGAAGTCCAGGTGGCCTCTAAGAATAGGATGAATGATTTATTATTTCTTTAATATATGTCATACTTATATCTGAATAATATGATCCATATTATGTGATATATTATAGTATTGTTGGAGTATTATAGCGTCATATCTTACCTACCTATCATAGGAGGGAAGTCTTGGAGAAGCTTATGAACCTGCATGCCCGGAGCTTACAGCTTGATGGCCTTAGTCCATACTCTATTCTTCCTGGTCTTTCACCATACGGATCCAGACCAGTATGTATTGAAGTTCATCTTATATCAATCCAGTCTCATGTCATGACTCGATCATGTCAGGTTCAGAACACAATATCAAGTCACTCGTCATATTTTCTTGCACATGACCTATACTCCCTCTCTTCTTTCTTTGTCTCTTGTCTTAATCAATTATTTTTATTATATTATCTTTTCCAACACTACTATGTACCCCACCATGTCCATGAGATCAACCAGTACACTATATGATCATGGGAAATCCCCATACTAATATAGCCCGAATGCGAAATCACACGCAGGATCCGCTGCACGGGGGTAGAGAAGAAGGGGGTTATTAACTATTAATACATGAATGTTTAAATAAATTTAATATTTGTTTTGGGGACTTTCTCTGGGTCCGACACATCTCTCCTATTTGGGCAATCATCATCAATCCATAACTCTCTCCTCCCCCCCCCCGGTTCTCGGCCCTTTTTCTCTCCCCTATAATATTCGACTACTATACACCACCCTTTTTCATATACATTTATTGAAACCCCCTCCCAGATCCCCTCGAGTCAGCGCCTCGTGAATTCCTCTGCCTGTCGTCAACCTTTCTTTCGTCTAGGCTGCCATTTACTACATTGATGGAGACCTATTCTCCCCGTTTCTCCATGTGTGGATGCGCCCTCACTTTCTCCCACGGCAAATGATTTGACTACACCATCGGAAGACTTCAACTCATCCCTTTCACCACGAACAACAAAAAAGAAAGACAGTGTTCCAACTCAGAATGGCCCAGTCGCTCTCCACCTCGTGTCCCTCTCTCTCCGAGGCCCTTTCCACTGCCCCGGCCATCCAGCTTCCCGACGGTACCCTCCAGCATTCCTCTGTTCCGCACCCGGCCCCGCCTTTCTTCCGTAACGCTCACGTCGGACACGTCAATCTGGACACATTCTCCCCCGTCAACGAGAATGGGAGCTTTGAGTTTGATCGGGTTCTGAAGACGGGCAAGATCCTTCGTCGCGTGAAGCACAAGCATGTTAGTGGATCCCTCGCCCCCGATTTAGAGCCATGTCCCCTCTGCTAACGTGCATGCGCGTAGGCGTTCCGAGCTTCCTGGAAACAAGCGTACCTCGTGCTGCGACCGAATCTGTTATCTGTCTACAAAGATGAAGAGGCGACTCGGCTCCGCGCGTCAATCACCCTGTCCGAAGTAACCGCAGTCGCGCCCGTCCGATCGTCGCGCTCATCGAAACAGCACGTTTTCGGGATCTTCTCCCCCTCGAAAAACTATCGCTTCCAGGCGTCGTCGGAGAAGGAGGCACAGATCTGGATCGAGAGTATTCGCGCCGAGACCCGCGTGGATGAAGAAGAGGAAGCGTTTCTAGGAAAAGGGGGGAAACCAAATGCGACGGCGGACACGAACCGCCCTCGCATCTACGACTCGACCGACCACTCGGAAGTGGAACATGCGGGACGAGCCAGCTCGCCGGAGCTGGGCCGTCACTCCGGCCGGCTCGCGTCCATCCAAGACTACTCCGGCAACGACATCACCTCCTACTCGGAATGGTCGGACGGTCCGGCCAGCACCTACGTCAAGTCCAAGTCCTCGTTCCAGAACCTGTCTGCGTCGGCCCCGAGTAGCACCCCACCGCCACTGCCACGCGACCAGAACCGAGTCGTCGACGCGGCCACCCCGCGCGACCCGGAGAGGGTGATCTGCAACGGCTATCTGCAGTGTCTTCGGATCAAGGGCACCGTGCGCCAGTGGAAACGGCTGTGGGTTGTGTTGCGCCCAAAAAGCCTTTCCTTCTACAAGGATGATCAGGTATGCTCTTCTTTCGTCTGCTACGGAGACCTTATCGGGACGGTGTGCCGGCGCGAGAAGAGAATCACTAACATCTAATGACAGGAATACTCCGCCGTGCGAATCATCCCCATGGAACAAGTCATCGACGCCGCAGAGATCGACCCCGTGTCGCGCTCCAAACAGAACTGCATCCAGATCATCGCAGAAGAGAAATCCTACCGACTATGCACCGAAGACGAAGAATCGCTCGCCAAGTGGCTCGGCTCTCTGAAGAGCGTCCTCGTCGCCCGGAAGAAGAAAGCTGCTTAATCCTCTTGTCTCCTTCCCTGTCTCCCTGTACAATACAAAATTATTCCCTTTCCTTCATATTTCCCCTTACAAGGTTTATTATTCATTTATTTCTTCCTTCACCCTTCTTGTCTATCATACTATATCATATCATATCATACCGATCTATAATCCGACCAGAGAGAGAGACAGAGAGAGAGAGAGAGAGAGAGCTCGAATATCTGGGCTTCCATCTTCCTTCTTCTACACTTCACCTTTTACTGCATTCTAATCCGGCCCCCACACTCCCTCGCTCCATTTCTCGAGTATATACATACATTCAATATCTATTTTTAAAAATTTCATCAACATATTCATCTTCCCTTGCTTCAGGCATCTACTACATATGCACTAGGTGGGTTAGCTCTGGAGGGCATGATAGAGCTGACCCGTAGTCTCATCCACCCACAATAAGGGTTGGTGCAAGATATAGTTCTAGTCAAGTAGATAAGTAAAATAATGTGTTTGATGCAAAGAAAAACTACCGGTCGGCCACAAAAGATATCTAGACACTTCTGCCCTCAATGAGTCCCCTTCTACAACATTCTGTATCGCGACATAATGAATTCAATTGAGAGGCCATTGCAAAAAGAAAAAACAAAAAAAGAAAGAAGGAAAAGAACGAGCAATACAGCACAAGACCCATCAATCATCACCATCAATATCTACCTCTTGGTCGTCAGAGTTGAGATTCAGATTAATCTCCAGCTCTACCTCCAGGCTCTCCGAGATAGAGGATGCCCCCGACTGCTGGGCGGCAACCGTCTGCACATCGCCCGCGGAGGGTCCTTGTCTAAGCAGGAGCTGACGAGAGAGCTCCGAGATAAGTTAGCCCTAGGGGTGCGCTCTTGTCTGGTGGCTATTGTCCAAACTCAAGTTTGTGGTGAATCAGAAACATCAAGATAATAAAGGAAAGGAACTAGGTAGCAACTCTTATTGTGGATTTGTTATCACATATTTGGAGGACAGTGGGATGACCACTCACACCTTCTAGAAAAGGAGGGGGGTCTGCTCCCATCTTCATAGTAAAGAGGTGTCTTATTTGTTATATGAGATACTCGCACCTTTAAACAAAGAGGGGAGTTGACTCGCATCTTCATAGATAAAGTGGAGGCTTCTCTTGTTTTACCACTCCCATAGAGTGATATCCTCACAATTATACCTAGGTCGCTTGGTAAGTTGGAATATCGCGTACTTTTCACGATTCCGTTCCTTGGTAGGGTCGACTTTGACAGCTGTTGAGAATCCAGAGATGTATACCCCCGCAGAATCTTGATCCCAGATAATCTTAGCCGGGGTTTTTGTCATTGACATAAAGCCCAAAGACACCAGAGTTCAAATATACATATCAGTTTTATCCAAAAAAAGAATTTCATAAACTTACTCATAAGCAGCTCGAAACTTCCGGCGAATAAGATCTCGCTTAGGGAGTTCAAACGACCAGAAAAGCTGTCGTGACAATGACTCGCCTGGAACTTTCTTCCAAACGAGATATATGACATACCCCCCCCGGCACAAGCCCATCCCTATCTTGTATGAGCTCACCATACCCAAGAAGCTCCGGCACAACCGTACAGCCACCCTCCTTGAATCGTTTCAACGCCATAACCTCACCATGACGGTAAGAATGGACAGCCTGCGTTGCCCGTATTCCAGGTCTCTGGCGTCTGGTACTGCAGGAGACTTCGTTGAGTTTCTTGTCAATTACCCATGTGTTGCCGCGGATTTGGAGTCAGTCGGAGCTGGGAAGGTTGATTTCGGCGCCTTCGAGGCCGAAGAGGAGTAGCTGGGAGTTGCCGGTCATTTCCACTGCTGGGATCGAGAGGTGACTGGTGGAAGGAGGAAGTCTGATGGTATTGATGATTTAGAAGATATGAGAAAGGTCGCAAGTAGTTGCTTGCAAGATTGCAAGGAAAGTCGAAACAAAGGATGAGCTTTGCAAATCAGCCGACAATTCTATTTACCTCCAAAGGAAACTACCTCAGGCTTAAAGGCTGGTACATGACGTCTAAAAAATTGGGTACAGGCAATTGAAATAGAAATAAAAAGTTAAAAAGACGGGAGAGCAGATAAGAAAGAAGGAAAATGAAGACAAAAGTAAACATGAATGTTAATCAATCCCCTGGGATCAACCATCCACATGTATATACATATCTTAGTTCATGTATAGAGGCAATATACACAGCAAAAACAAGGCAAGGAAGAAAAGAGTATGCCGAATGCAGAACGTATACTGTGCCCATCGCTTGCTTTCTGACCGTCCGTCACCCGTCCACCCACACAGCGAAATCCCAACCGGAAGTAAGTAAAAACATGATGCTAATGATCATAATAAAGGTAGTAATAATAGGGGTAAAATATAAACAAAGAAGTCTAAATTAGTGATCGTCTTCGTGAGCCGGCACGGCGTCGTATCGTTGGTCGGTGGTGGAATCGCTAGGTGCAGGGGAGGTCTCTTCGGCCGTTGTCTTGCTCTCGTGGTTTACGACCAGGAATGAGAGGAACACGATGCCCGCTCCGACCCAGTACACGGCGCTGGCGTACTGGCCTTGAAGGACGATCTGCCCGACGAGGGAGAGGGGGATAGTCAGACTGAGGCCGACGGTTACGACTAGCGGGGTGGTGAGGAGCATGGCGTAGGCCCAGCAGATGTCTGAGGCAAGGGCTGCGAGGGAGTTGAACTGTTGTGGTGGTTAGAAAATGGTGCCCAGAAGAAAAAAAAAAGATGGGAAAGCATACAATGATGATCATGGTGATATTTGCCGTCGGGGGAAGAGCAAACTCCTCAAGACCGATAAGATGCAGAATGATGAACCCCGGCCAGAGAAAGGCGATGTTGAAGATCCCGACCAGACCGAAGAAGATAGGCATGTTGACGCGAGACTCGTCGTCGACCTGCTTCTTCAGGACGACCGTGTAGATGCCGTACATGATGGCGCTGAAGCCGGCCATGGCGTCTCCCAGGGCGATCTCGCCCGTGCTCTTTGTCGGGAATTTACCGTCATTGCCGTCGCCTGCGGAGGGGGTCGACGGTCCCGATAGATCGACGCGCGAGATCAGGACGATTCCGATCAGCGAGGCGATAACACCGGCGAGTTTGCGGAGGGTGAACTTTTCGACTCTGATCATGGCCCCGAAGATGAGGGTCCAGACGCCTGCAGTCGGTCGTTAGTTCGACCATCAATAAGACTGCTGCAGAATTACACCGGATGCGTACCACTAGTGGACGTGAGAATCGTTGTGCTGCCGACGGTGGTGTATTGCAGACAAGCCAGCGCAAAGTAGTTGGCCTATATGTCACGGAATGAGCGCGAGGCTTGACAGGGGAGCCAAACAGGCCTCACACGGGCCACTTACAAGAAACTACCGCAGGTTAGCAATGGACTTGAATCGCCGACGACGCGTCAGCATGATTGACCGGACTTACCCATAAAATACAGAACTGGAGACTCAACCTCGCCGTCTCCCGCACTCCCAGCTTGGAGGACTCTCCCTCCTTGGAGGCAGGGTCCATCATCCCCACGTCCAACATCTCAGGGTCCCGGTCGCCATCGCCATGGCTGATGATGCTCTGTGTCTCGCCACTGGACGACGTGTCTTGGGAGTCGATGAGGTCGATAAAGCTCGAGAAAGAATTGATGCGATGGAGTTTTCCGGCACGCCACGACCCCCAGAGTCTTCGGAAAATGATCACAGAAAACGGGAGAATGAACATCGACGTATCGACATAGGTAACGAAGAACGGTTTCGAATACGTGTCATCCGCAAAGATAGTCTAAATCATCGTGGAGAAAAAAATTCCACCAACGTTAGCATCCCGTTGTTTACAATATTGGTCGCCACAAACAAGCCCAGCAGCGAGCACTTACACTGGCCAAAAAATTCGACGTCGTCCATAGGACGACCACAATTAATAGTAGACAAACGCCCAGAGACCGTCTTGTGACACACAGGCGGGCCAAGCCCTTGGGGTTCGAAGATTCGTCCATTTATGACGGGGATGAGGGTCAAGTGGTGTCTGTAAACGGTTGGATCTTTTCCGAGCGCGAGCACAGTTCTCAAGGTTCAAAAAGTGCCCACGCGCGCACATGGATGAGAACTCCGGTCGGTGGGTTCGCGCTGATTGTCAGGGGAAAAGGACCGCCTCAAGTGTGGAATCTCGGACACTAGTGTCGACTGCTTGGGATGTCGATCGTCGGTCAAGCAGTACCATGGTATTGGTTTTCATTATTTGGAGCATCAGCTGACGGAACTAACCCCGATGCCTCGAAAGAGGACCGACATGAGACTGGTTAATTAATCCCTGGCTACTAGACCCATCAGAGCAGCAAACCACCGGGGTGGTTTGGAGAATTTGGCAGGGAAGATAAGACATGGAGGATTTGGGTCGAGTGGGGTTTGGAGACGGAGAGATCATCCCGTTACGCAGTCACGTCTCGTGCTGCTCTTGTGCCAAGATGACCGTTATGCTCCCTTGCTGCAGGGTCTCAAGGGACTGATAAGGTATGTACTATATTTCGCTGACGATGGTAATTCACGGTTAACTCAAATCGTGGAATTCCTAACTCCTAGCAAACTACACGTGGATTATCCACTGCCTTCAAAAAAGGAAAGACAATTGAACTAAAAGAACAAAATCCTGGCAGACAAACCATCGAGAAAAAAACGAAGAGAGGCAACAAAATAGGGCGATACAAGAGAAACGCCTGAAATATATACCATTGATCAGGATATCCCAGGAGAAGAAACACCTTGCGTCAAGTCCCAAGTCGGTCAAGAAGGAATACGACAAGTCTACAAAACATCATGGAACACATTCAAAAAGAAGACGATGATCTCAGAAACGGGTGGAAAGTCATTCGCAAATCATGTGTATCGTGTAGAATTTAGCAGGCACATCCATCCTGCTCATTGTCCAGGTGGATATTGATCGGGTCGCTGAATTCACCGCTGAACTCCTCTGCCTCTTCCTGGGCCAATGCGCTCCGTGCGATGACTGCATTGTATGTCAGTGTGTGTCTAATGAGATCGTTGAGCAGAAGGACATGAAGATACACACCTTCAAAAGCCTGCTCCACGTTTACGGCTTCCTTGGCACTGGTCTCAAAGTAGGGAATGTTGCCCTTCGATTGGCAGAAGGTCATGGCGCGCTTCGAGGAGATCATGCGCTTGTTCTCCTCCACATCGATCTTATTACCGATCACGACCTATTCTTGTTAGCGAAACGAGATCGCGCAAAGAGAATGAAGAGAGAGAGAGAGAACATACAAAAGGAAAATTCTCCGGATCATGAGGACTAGCCTGAATCAAGAACTCATCCCGCCAGCTATCCAGCGCCTCGAAACTCTTAGGATTGTTGACATCGTACACCAGCACACAGCAGTCAGCACCACGGTAGAACGCGACGCCCAAAGACTGAAAGCGCTCTTGACCAGCCGTATCCCAGATCTGATCGATAGCAGAAAGAAGTCAGGTCAGCCCACCAGCCGTGCATGGTGTAGGATTGGACCACAAAGATTTACCTGCATTGTTACCAGACGGTCATCGACGAGGACTTCCTTGGTGAGGAAGTCCGCACCGATGGTGGCTTTGTAGCTTGCGCTGAATTTCTTGTTGACCTGTAGGATAACGTGGGAGAGTCAGTTGAACAGGTCCTGGGATGTGACAGTCAGTGATGGAAGAAGTGGAGGAGGCTCGCACATATTGGTTCATCAAACTCGTTTTCCCCACGCCACTGTCACCCAGTATGATCACCTAAAGGCCAAATCGTGTAAGCAACGGTCAAAAGCAGTCCTGCTGGGAGCCCAGAAAAAACTCACCTTCAATAAGACCTTCTTCCGTAACGACATGGCGGGAGATAAGAGCCGATACGGACGACGGAAAGTGTCAGACGGGAGATGCGCGAGGATCAAGTCAAGCTAAAAAGAAGAGCGTTTTCAAAGAAGAAAAAAAAAAGGCTCCACAAAGACAGCAGGGAATAGTTTGAACTGGTCGTGAAGAGCGGACGAGGTAGTAGTCGCCGTCGTTCGTAGTTAATGAGGAAATGGTTGGTTTCACTCACTGCCTCGATGATGCATGCGCCCCCACAGGCGGTGACCGAGGCGGTGTGCTGGTTGGCACGCGGTCGGCGATATCGTCACCCAACCCACTTATCCACCCGACAACACTTCATCATCTAGGTATCATGGGCTACTAGCTGGTAGCCAGTTCGTCTGGTATCAACGTGAACTTTAGTACTATTCTGCTAAGGGTGTACATCCCGGTCTTGTTATCAACCCGTTGTGTCAATATGCATTTATGATCCACTTCCCTTATTCCCCAAGTCGACAACACCTCATATCACCTATCTATCTATCTATCTACACGCACATGGCGCCCTGGGGCGAGGAGTACTCCGTCGCCTTGGCGGTTCGCGATCGACGAGAAAAAGCCAACAGCGCCATCTACGACGCTTGTACGTGACAAAACGCCACGGATACACCCATTGTCTCAGATCGCACCAACTAACCACATTCTTTCGTTTTGCGGCTGTAGACACCAAACTCGCCGATCGAACCGCTTGCTCAACGCCCACCACCGCTCCACCATCTGGCGCTCAATCGCCGGCAGCAGCCGCGCGCTCTCCATCCACCACCGATCCCAAGAAGCAGTCGAAGGGAGAGCCAGCGCAATCACCACACGATCTTCTAGCCCTCACTCGCGCAGATTTGTCGGAAGCGCAGCGATCGCGCTCGGAGCTACAGGACCGACTGAGCCGTACAAAGGCTGACCTGGAGAAGCTGCGCAAGAGGAGTACCCTGGACGGACGGCGGATTAAGACGCTGGAGCAAGATGCGACTCATCTGCAGTTGCGGTTGAAGGATCGCGACGAGGAGTTGAGGGGGAAAGCGAAGTTACTAGATGTAGGATTGGTCCCGGCGCATTTATTTCACTTCCCCGTTGCTGATTGGGTTGTTTCTAGGATTTCCAAGACGAACTTGCGTCGTTGAACCTGCAGCTCAATATGGCTGAGGAACGGACCGGTCGGTTGCAGCGGGAAAATCAGGAGCTTGTTGATCGGTGGATGGTGAGGATGGGCAGGGAGGCGGAAGCTATGAATGACGCTTCCAAATATTCTTGAGGATGACGAGGGTCGGATTAAACAAACAAATGTTCTTCTTGGAACATGCAGCGCAGGTGTCCTGCACGATTCTGATGGTTTCTTTCTCTATACCTGCTCTGTTCTATGTAATGATACCCATGATATATGCACAGGATGCCATGTTGACACCCGCGGCTCACCCATCCCATCCCATGATCTTGCATCAAGTCATAAGCAGTAAACCATAACACATGTTTCTATGAAAGCGACAAAAAAGCACGTGCTGGCGTTGCAGAAAAGTCTGTTTATACAAGAAGGAGTGGTATCGTATCGTGTATCGCGGTGGGGGGAATATCTTTCCAGAAAGGGCAAATAAGACACGCGCAAGCAGCAAACAAAAAGACAAAAAAAAAAAAAGCAGAAAAATGTACCTTGCTTCCAAAATGTACTTTATACTTCCCCCAAAGAAAATGAAATGGGAAGACAGGACGAGACCTGCTTCTCACCCCATACTGTCCGCAAAAGCTTTCAGCCTGGAGCTGTCTTTGGTAGCGATGAAATAGGTGCCACCGACATCGGTCCAACTGACGCTGTTGGACCAGTAATTCTTCTGCTTGACCTTCAGCAGGTTGATGGGGGAGTTGAGATTCCGAGCTTGGATCTTGTGACCGGCGGGGACGAACGACTTGAGGGATACGATCTTGCAGCCCTCTTTCATATCCAAGAAATGATTGATCAGCTCGTTGTTGAGCTGGGGTGTAAAGGCCTGGTTGTTGATGAGGATCACGTCGGCACGCTTCAACACATCGACGATGCTCTGTTCTTGCAGAAAGTCGCCCCGGACGAGATGGGTCTTGCCCGGTGCGATGCCCCACAGTCGACACCGCGCTTTGAATTCATTTTGCTGGAGATCAGCCAGGTCGCAGGCGTTCTGCATCATCTCACAGCCCCAGCTTTCGCAGCCTATCTCCAACGCCGCTTGGAGGACGACATTGCCCACGCCAGATCCCAGATCGACGAACACCTGGCCCGATTTCAGGCCGGTTTCCTTGAAAATCGTGCTTATGAACCGGGGGAGCAGTTCACCGTAGACGTTGTCCGACCCGTTTTCGTACTGACGGAGCGTATCAACCCGCGGCGAGACCGTGCGGGAGTAGATCTGGGTTAAGATCCGTTCCACGTGCGGCAACTCCAACCGGTGAGTGGCGTCAAGTTTCTTTGCGATGACGCCGTCCCGCCTTAGGCGCTCAATCGTACGGTTGTAATCCGCCACCACTTCTCGAAAGTCGTCCTCAGAAGACTGGGCCATCGCGCGCCGCATCCTCCTCTTGATTCCGGTGGATTCGTTGTCGAACACGTCGATCTCGTCATCAGGAAGGTAGTTCTGGGAGACGATATCGATAACGTGGAAAATGTCGTCGAGAGGCCTGAAGTCGTCTTTGTCGCGAGGAACCATGAGCTGGTACCTGGAAAAAACGGATCGTTAGTATTAAAAAAAAAAAAAAAAAAAAAATAAGAGGAAGAGGAGGACCATACCTCTCCTTCGGGGAGGCGCTCGGATACTGGAGGAGAACCTCCGTAGGCTGTTCTGTCCGCCCGAACGCCGGTTGAAAATTCCCAGGCTTCTGCACTGAAGTGATCTCAGCCGCATGTACCATCGGCAGTGCTTTGACCGCATCTTCCGTAAAAGCCTTCAAAGATCGCACCCGCCGCTCCAAGTCCGGTTCCGCGCTGTCGCTCGTCCGAGCGCGTTTGCGCACCTCAAACGAGGCGTCGGTGTCGCTCGCATCATCATCATCGTCGCTCGAGAGTCGGAGTTCCGGAGTTTGGCGCTTCCGACTCCGCAGAGGCGTTCCTAGCCGTCGCTTCGAGGCTGGGGGTTCCGAATCCCTCGAGGCTGAACGGCGTTGCGATCGAGAGTGTCGATGTTTATCCGTCGATGACGCGCGGGGTTGCGCGCTGCTGGGTGTTTGCGAAGAAGACCTCGAGGGGGCCGCGGGGCGCGTCTGAACGACTTTGCGAATCTGCGGCTTCTTCGGCTGCAACGAAAATGACCCTCCTTTTTGGAGGTGGTCAAAAAATCCCATGAAGAAGACAAGTGGGCCACACGTGGGCGGGCTCTCCTTTTCGATTTTATCTGTCTTTTTTCTTTATTTTTCCTGCCTTTTTTTATTATTTATTTTTGGTTCTTTGTGACGCAAATGGACCAAGACATGTGAACCGGTCAGATATGCAAGGAGGGGAATGCAAGGTAAGATATACAAGTAGAAGTAAAGAATGTAAGATGTAAATATTCACAACCAAAAAAGAAGGGGAATCGAATGAATCGGACGGGTGGATCTGGTGGAGAGGTTGAAGAGGAAGAAAGAAAAGAAAGCAGAAAGAAAGAAAGAAAGAGGGAAAAAAGATGACGGCGAGATGGACCAGTTGATGGTTCGCCCTCCGCCGCCACTCCGGGTCGCATGGCGTTTTAGCCCGCTTTTTTAGTCCGGGTTTGGGAACCATGGTCTTGGGACGATGCCTCATGCCGGGGTCTACTTCCCCAACTTCCTCCTGTTCCTCTCATGATAATATACAGAAAAAGAGTCGTCATGTGTAAGTAGTGTGTTTATCAAAAGTAGGTTGGGTATCAATGATTTGATTTGCATTACTTTATGTACAGGGATCCACAAGGACAGATCTCGTATATACCATAAGCCTCCTGCGTTTACCGCTTCTTTTTCTGGGCCAGTCGCTTCTGCGCCCGCAAGTCCTTCTTCATACGGGAATCCACAATCTTGTACTTGCCCTTGACACCACGCGGCCGACCGGAGATACCCCGGTTGGTTCCCTTGGCGACAACCAGTTTCACCTGCTGCTTGGGTTTCTTCTTGGCAGCCTTGCTCATCAGCTTCGAGATGGCCTGCGACTTGTCCCGCTCGCTGAGAGCCTCGTCGTCCGCGAGCAGTGCGGACTTCTTGCGCAGCTTTTCCAGTCGGGTGGCCGCCCTCATCTTCTTCCGGCCCTTGGCTTCCATAACCTTCTTGATTGGTCGGGCGTTGATGGCGCGCATCTTTTCTTTAATCGCCGCAGCGGCGGTCTTGCTGATAGGCCGGTTGAGCTTGCTGTGCTTGGTCTCGTCGTCCATGAACCAATCGGGGAGACCGTCAACGTCCCGGAAGGAATAGCGGTTGAATCCGTCGTCGACGACGTCGCTGGATCTCTTTTCGCCCGTCGCCATTTGCTGGGCCAATGCCATGGCTTCTGCGGTAATGATATCGATATCTGAAACAGAGCATTAGCGAATGAAATGTGCGAAAGAGTGGTAGCATGAATGGAGCACTTACCGAGTTGACCATTGCCCTTCCGCGGGTCATCGACTTCTTCGGGTTCACCGTCCGAAAAGTCGTCGAGCGCCTGAGTAGGTTTCTTGGCAACTTCCTTGTTCTTTTTCTTGGAGGCAGGCTTGGTCTCGGGGTTGTCGATATCTTCCCACGATTCCTCGGCATCGTCCTCGCTTTCCTCGTCCTCAATGTCGTCAACTCCCAACCCTTGGAAAATATCTTGGTCGAAGAACATCGCGGCATTGTTGGAGAGCGTTCCGTTCTTGGGCGGTGCCGGTGTAGCAGAGGCTTGATCCTCACCATCCGACTCTTCGTCCTTGTCATCGCCGGATTCCGAGAACCCGTCCCATTCATCCGCTTCGTAGGCCTTGCGATTCTTCTTTGCGCGCAGCTTGGAATCACGGTCCTCCATGCGACCTTGATATTGTTCGTACATGTTATCCAGGTCTCTCTCCAGCTGATCACCTTCATCGTCGCTGTCCACTTCCAAGTCGGATTCGGATTCGGATTCTTCACTCTCGCTGAGCCCGTGAGCGTCCCCGCCAGCAGCCGCGATCGCGTCTCTTTTTCCTTCTCTGTCGATGCGCTTCAGCGAAAATGTGGGGTCGTCGCCGTTCGGGCCCAATTGCTCCATGCCAATATCCATGGGGGTGGTCATATGCATCTGCAGGCGGACGATTTCCTTGCGCTTCTTTTCGTTCTCCTTTCGTCGCTCCTTCTTCCGGGACGCGCTTTCCTTGTCCCGAAGTCGATGGAGTTCTTCCTGGATGGCCAATTCTTCGTCCATGGGAGCGACCTCGGCCACTTCCTCGGGCTCCTCCTTCTTAGCCTGTCCGCCCTTCTTGACGGCGAGACCAAACTTTTCGCGAACCTTCAACCGCCATCGGAGCAGGTTTCTAAATTCCTTCTTACCCAGAACCTTCAAATCCTCACAGCAGGTCCGGATTTCATCGGTCGTATCCTCCAGTCGGTTGAGAGTGGCCAAGGCAAGATCGCCTCCGGGTTGCTGTACGAAGCTTAATTTGTTGTACTCTCCCAGGATTGAAATCGGATCCTGGGTGTTGATGAACTCGGTGACCGGGATTTCCTTGAACTGCGTGTAGTTACCCTCCTCGTACCCTTCTCTCTTTCGCTTCTTCTTCTCGGGGTCGAACACTTTTGCTTCGTAATTCGGGGTCGGGGCTGACAGTTCCGCAAAGACGTGCTTGGGATCCAAGAACTTGGGATCGATACGCTTGGGAGCCTTGAAGCCACGGCAGACGACGAAGATTTCCGCAGAGACATTTCGAGAGGAAGGCGGTTTCGTGGCTTCCACGGATGTGAACAGTTGCTTGAAAACCCAGAGTAGAGAATTGTAATCCTTCGACCGGAAGACTTTAGTGACAAAGTTACCGCCCTCCGTCAAGAACTCCGTAGCCAGCTTCAAGGACTGCAACACCAATTCGGCCTGCGAGTAGGCATCCTGCACCCAGGCAGTACCAACGTTGGGGGCACCATCGTGCAGCACCGTATCTGCCTTCCAGTGTTTCAAGTGAGATCGGAGCGTAGCGCGACATTTATCGGTCGTAATATCACTCTGAAAGGTAATAGCTCGGGGGATGGGTTTGATCGGAGAAAGATCGACACCGACAATGATACTCTGATTCGGCATACACTCGGCAGCAACTTGACACCACGACTGTGAAGCTTGTTAGAACTGACAGGAGATCGAACGGGGGGGGATGAGACAGAATCTACTTACACCGGGTGCAGCGCAAAGATCGATGAGGACCTTGCTCTTTTCCAAGAACCCATATTTCTTGTTCAGCTGAACCAGCTTGAACGCAGCTCTCGCTCGGTATCCCTTCTCCTTTGCCAAGTGATACCACTTATCCAAACGACCTTTACCATGCTGCGGATCGTTAGTACGGGTCACTTCATGCGCATCGGATTTTGTCTCTTCAACCACATACCTTTTTCTGGACCGCCATGGTGAGGGATTGGGAGTCAAGACCGACTCGACAATTCCCAAAGGTACCAAAAAAGAATGGTACGAAAAAAAAAGAGACCAAAGGACGAGAGCCTAAGGTACGGATGTCCGTTGTGTTTAACAGGAACAAAAGAGACGGGAGGAGAAAAAAAAAGTTATCAGAGCCAGGCCCGGCTCCACTTTTTGCCCGAAATAATTTTTTTCCCCTTCGGTCCAGGCGGTGATGCGTGGCAGAACAGAGTTACCGCCTCAGGCACCAACAACCCCGGCCTCAGGCCAGACTGGAGCGCCATGTGACGTGATGCCCGATGACATAATCTGCGACAACTCAGGCAATCAAAGGAATGTGGCGGACTAACGAATGACGCGGGTTTTTATTGCAAGATTTCCCCTCGTCAAGCTACCTGCTCTGGTTATGTTCATCTTGATACTTCCATGGCGCCAGCGGGTCCTCGCAAGAGAGTGAAGCTCACCCCACCAGGCGCGGCCGAGCAATCTGGTCCGTCGGCGAACGACGGGGCTGCTGGTCGCTCTCCCCATAGAGAGCGATCGGGCTCACAGAGACAGGGAACAACCGGTGTGGTAAGTCTACGTCTCCATTATCTTCTGGACTGTAGTTATTCTGGCAGTCTACTGTTTGCTTTTGGTCCATTTTCAAACGGGTTTACTGACGACGTGTTTGTTGGTTCGATAGAACTGGTATCCAGTTGTTTGGCCGGCTGCCTCCAGATCGTCCAAGGCGGCCCCCGTTACCGAGGTTGCCCGTGAGAGCATCTCAGCCGACCACAACCATACACCGTCCAACACTCCGTCTGCATCAACTCGCAAGGGGGTGTCTCCCAAACCAAATCGCCACCTCCCCTATCAACTGACGAGGAAAGCGGGCGCGTCCAGCAGATCTCTCCCCGCGACCACCACGACCACTAGGATCAACATTGCGTCCGATGGTTCTGCGTCTACCCCAGAGCTGAAGACAGACCCGGATTGCGCAACGACAGAGACACCTGATAAGGAAGAGCCAGCGGATAAGAGAGAAAACGCTCAAAGTGATGCCCAACACGAGGTGAATCCTACGGCCGAGACGTCGGACGTGAATGTTAGCTCGGAAGGCGGGGAGCAACCCAGTGCGCCGACTGCACCGGCTCAACCGAGTGGGTGGTTTTCGTGGTTCTATGGCCCATCACCAAGCGATAACGCAACCCAAGAGAACTCCGTGACGACAGAAGATCCGCCCGCTAAAGATTCGCAACCCGCCCCCGCAGAATCAGATCCAAAAGAGGAGGAAGGGGCAGACAAGACGTCGTCTGGACAGGATCCGGCAGGCCAGGACGCAACACCAGAGGTGTCTGAGATATTAGGGAACTCTCAAAAACGGTCTTGGTTACAGATGTGGTACGGGACGTCTTCGACCAAAGGGCTAGACGAGGCCCCGAGTCAGGCCCCAAGTCAAGCTGCGAGCCAGACCCCGAGCCAGGCTCCGAGTGTGGCACCAACTGAACACCCAAATGCCCCAGAGGAGTCTGCCACGGCTGCTGAAAATGCCCCAGCGTCAATCAATCACGATCTCAATAAATCCGACCTGTCGGATGGGTCAGCAACGTCTAATAGAAATTCCAAATCATCTGGCTGGTCCCTATGGTTCCGCGAATCATCAAAGGACACGAAGAACGCAGGCACGGATACACCACCCCCGCAGGCGGTAGAAGCTACCATGAACCAAGATTCTTCGATCCAGACCGCAAAACTCGATACGGAATCCGAACCAGAGCAAAAGGCGGCAGTAGCAAAGAAAGGGGGCGTCAAGCTCAAATCTCTCAAAAGCAGCTCTAGCTCTGCGCTTCCGGATAAGATCACACCAGTGGATACGGCTCCCGCAATCCCAGTGCCCAGTGCGCCAGAGACTGGTGCTTCTAAACAACTACAGAAAGCATTGACAAACCAGGTTCTGCCGCTTTTCAAAGATACCTATCCCTGGCAAGAACGGCCGTCCCTGATCCAGACGATCGGACGCTTCCTGCATTACAGTAAGGCGCCAGATAATAGTCATGCCTATGCGATCCGGGACCCGCCGCGTATCAAAAGGGCGTTAGCTATAGGGGTACACGGATATTTCCCGGCACCACTGATACGGAGTGTGCTCGGGCAACCCACTGGGACATCGATCAGGTTTTCGAACATGGCAGCGGACTCCATACGCAAATGGACAGAAGACCATGGCTACCAGTGTGATATCGAAAAGATAGCCTTAGAGGGCGAAGGCCGTATCGCTGAGCGTGTGGACCTTCTGTGGAAGCTTCTTCTGAACTGGATGGAAGAAATTCGAAATGCCGATTTCATCCTAGTCGCAAGTCACAGCCAGGGCGTCCCCGTGGCTATTATATTAGTCGCAAAGCTCATCGCCTTTGGCTGCCTCAACGCTGCTCGGGTGGGTATCTGTGCCATGGCTGGTGTGAACCTGGGGCCCTTCGCCGACTATCGATCGCGATGGATCAGTGGTTCCGCCGGAGAGCTGTTCGAGTTTGCTTTGCCCTACAGCCAGGTCTCGAAGGACTATGAGTCGGCACTAAGAAACTGCCTTAATTTTGGCGTTCGAATTTCCTACGTTGGAAGTATCGACGACCAGCTGGTCTCATTAGAGGTAATCGCCACAGATATTCCTGCACATCACCGGAGTACCGGGCTAACAGGCGCCACAGTCATCTCTATTCTCACCAGTAACCCATCCCTACGTCTATCGAGCTGTGTTCGTCGACGGAAAAGTCCACGCTCCAAGCTTGTAAGCTGAAAATCCCCTCCCCATCTCTTAACCCGTGGTCAAGGCCCTAACAATCAAACCAACAATCAGCCTCTCACACCTCGTCGGATTCGCTCTCAAACTCCGCAACTTAGGCATCCCCGACCACGGTCTAATCCGGGAGCTGAGCTCCCCACTAGCTGGAAGTCTATACTCAGGAGATGGCCACTCCCGTCTATACGACGAGGAGGCAGTCTACCGGTATCTACCCCCACCCATCGCTTCTCTGTCGCATCTCCCCGGATCTAACACGGACCAATCCATAGACTAGCCATAGAATTCGCCCTCGAAACATCAAGCGTCACAAACGCCACACTGCACATCAAACGAAGCCACCCCGCCTCAGCCGCAAACCCCTACATCCTCCCATTCGCCATGCGCGGCCTCCTCGAAGAAGAGTACGTGCGGCGCGAGCTGTACGACGAAACCACGGAATTGCTGAGGCAGTTCGACGACTGGAAGCCGACTACGAAGGTGTTGAAGGATGTCAAGTTTCGGCTGGAGGGGATACGGTCGAAGCTTTGATTTGCTTGCCTACCTACTTTAACTAGACGGAGGTCGTTAAATCAACCTACCTGGTTGTTAACTGGTTGGTTGTTTCCTCTCTCCCCCTATCTCTCTCTGTATCTCGGACGTATTCGCTTAGAACCATGTTTTGCTAGGTTTTCTTTCCTTTCTTTTAGAGAAAACTGTACATAAACCAAGACAGCTGGGTGGAGTTTGTTTGGTTGTTTGTTTGAATGATACTACCGTGCCTATGTACCAAACAGTCACTATCTCATATATCTACATATCATTTCGGTAGACATGAATGACTGCAACCCAGCTTCTGTAGTGCTAACAGAGTGCGAAATATGTCCAATTCCCCGTAAACGCATATCTGATTATTATATATGTATATATATATATAGTATATGATATTGATGTTGATCCTTAATCGAACCAGATCAGGGTAAGACAAAAAAGAAAGAAAAAAAAATCACTTCGCTCCTAAGTTCCTAAGTTTTGAATCAGTATAAAAAAAACCCACCGACCAAGTTCACCCTTCCCTTCCTAGATCCCACGCTCAATGCTAGACAGACACCAGTTGATTTATTGCAGAAAAAAAAGAAAGAAGAAGGGCCAGTATTGTGGAGAGCAGAGAAGAAAAAAAAAAGGAGAAAAGAAAAAGAATAAAAGAGTGAGGGGGGAATCTACGCTTGATAAAACGCCGTATGATATGCACCTTCAATTTCGTCTGCCAACGCATTTCAGTTAGTAATGTTTTACAAAAAGATTCTAGGGAGATCAGATGGGACGTACCTCTCATGCCATCCAACGCCTCGAATGCAATTGCATAATTTGAAACGCTAGCGATGATCCGCTGTAATCCTTGCCGAAGCTCCTTGAGGAGTCGCTCTGATGGACTGCTAGAGTTGCTGGTCGTGAGCTCCGGGGGAGACAATTGTCTCTCGACGCGGGCCTTGTAGAAGACCATCAGCATCGCATAGCTTCCTTGCATCAGGCAGCATGCGAATGAGGGCATTGTGCGAGGTGGCTGGCCTGCCGGGAGGATCTGCTGCGATCCTTGTTGGTCCTCGTGTCCGTCGTAGACGGGCTGTGGGAAAGGAAGGCTTTGGAACATGCGGGAAAGCAAGATCGAAGCTTTGAGGCAGACTCTGGCGGAATATTGGCTGGTGAAGGGGAATCCGCTGGAGAAGGAATATTGCGAGACTGGTTGGTAGTCAGAGGATGAGGAGGAGTTCGATGATGCTGAATTCTCGCTAGACGAAGATGCCTGAAACGAGTCTAGGCTGCTGCACGGGCAGGAGATGGTTGAAATCCCCTCTTCCGCCTTGCAGGCCTTTGTGGTCTTGGCAGGCGCCGCATTATTATTGGCATTGGCCGCGGTAAGATCGCAATGCTTCTTAATAAATATGGGGATGTCGGAAAATGCCCTGAACCGGTGGATCTTGATCTGTGAACTAGAGACGCAAGTCAGCAATGTTTTCAACCATTATTTGGGTAACGCTCACCTGCATATTTTGATCCGAGAGATGGCGCGGATACTTTGGGCCGTGGTGAATTCCATCTCGTCACCACAGTTGACAGGCTGGGGTGCTATAGGAAGTAAGTTGGACTGCGCTAATGCGGTACTAGCCCAGGAGTCGAGCTGCCGCATTCGTTCATATATGAAATGCATATTCGTCCTAGTTCCAATGCACTTGTTCAAGTCGATGACGAATTGCGTCGCCGACACTAATACTTGCTGAGCTTGCATTAGGATGGACCAGCCCTGCCGATGGAACACTGCGTTAGCTCGATGTATCCACGTAGAAGAGACATGGATGATACTCACGTCCGGGTCTGTCGAAAACCGAGGGTACGGTGTGACAAATTGAGGGTCATTCGCAATGATGGCGAGTGGCTAGATCCCCAGAGATGTTAGTTCCCATGCTCTCAGCACGTTTGGGACAGAGGCGTGGAAGACCAAAGATAAGACTTACCGTGGTACTGACGATAGAGCCTTGAAGAACGCAGTAGTACTATGAACAATCAGCCGATGCACCGATAGCAGGCGTGAAACGTGGACCTACCGTCATCCACCAAGCTCTTCGTCGGGCTTCCGCAAAGTCATCATGCTCTTCGCCTAAAGCATGGAGATTCATGTCCAAGGCTATCGCTAATGCCTGACCCGAGCGGTACCTCATTTTGAGGAGATTTCCGCGTTGGGTGTATTCGTATATCGACAGGATCAGCAATGCCAGGACCGCCTCTAGTATCACGGGCGTCCGAGGGTGAAAAGCATCTCGGCCGATCTGGGGTCGGTCGTTCGATAATGCTTGAGCTGGGTCTGTCGACGAATCCTGCAGCTCACAATCGGATTCGACCTTGGCCGTGGCCAGTTGAGCAAATGCATGGGCGTACGTCCGGCGTCGGGTCACTGAAACAGGGGATGACGGGTCGGGATCCTGTGGATGAGGCACGAGGGCCAAGATGGCCGAGATAGCCAGACTCAACGGTGAGCATGGCCGATAAACCAGGATCGGCTCTTCTGAGGGTGATTCAGAGTAAGAGCCGACGCACTCCACGGGCCTGTCCGGACCAGGCAGGGTTTCTCGGGGTGGTAGGAGGGGGAAATAGAGGTGGACGAAAGTATAGTAGGCGTTCAGTCTACCTTGACGTTAGAACGGTCCAGTTTACTTTGCTAGGACAAGAGATCACCCACATCTCGGATTCACTTGCGTACGTCCTCACCCAGGCATTTGAGGACACGTTTGAGGGCGACGGAGTCGGTCCCATCTGAACATGGGCACAACTTCCATCATTCTGGACAAAGAAATTGGCGAACATGGAGTGAACATCCGAGGAAAAATCTAAGCTTCTCAACCCGGCTCCAGGCATTGAAAGCACATCGATCTGACCAAACATCCCGGATGCTGCCAGGGAGAGGTTAGCGACCCGATGACTTCGAGGCAGAGTTCATTTTCTGTTCACGTACATTCATCAAAACTCGACGAGGCCGACACGATCGCTGGGGTTTGGATCTCATCCTGTCGAGTCCCACCTTCTGGGGAAAACGAAGCCTTCTTTTTCTTTCTTGGGCCACCGCGCTTACTCGGTAGATACGAGCATTTCTTCTTCTTACTAAGGCACTTGATGAATGCGATCGTATCAGCATGAGCGATTTGGATGCGCGGATGGGGAGAAGTCCGGTATGGCATCCGGTGGCTTCGGAGTGGTTTCGGGGTGGATGAACGGAAACAGCGCAACCGCCCCTCCCCCCCAAAAGAAGGGAAGATAAGATAGAAGACAAATGAAGAACTGAATATGATTCCAGAGGAGAAATATAGAATTTTGGACCTACATTGGAACATGGATCTTGTCCATCGCAACGAGTCCTTGAGGCCCGACTATGGCAAGAATTAGCGGACAAAGCATTAAAAAGACGGTCGCTATGTATTGTCCGGAGGTCACGAGAAAAAAAAACCAGGGAATGAGAACAAATAGAAAAAGGATAAACCGAAACAGATTGATCTCCCTTACCAAGTCAAACAAGCTACTTTGACGGGCGGCTTCGCGAACTTCTTTCGCACGACGCCGGGTCTTGACAGCTGGGGCTGTGTAACTTCACTGTCATGAGCGAGAGGTATGTCTTCGAGAACCATTTTTGCCCCAGTCATGGTATAGTATGGTAAGTGGTCGTCTCGAAATGGTCTTGGCAACAGTCAAATCATGCAGCCGCAACAGAAAAGCGAGGTTCCATCATCCACCGGGATCTTAAGTTAAGTTATTCTTGTCGGATCCGCATCACTACGGGGCGCAGAAAAGAAGATGGGAGGAGATGAATCGGTCCGACGCGATCGAACCGGACCGTATGGATCCCCCTTAAGCAAAGGAAAATAAAAAAGCCCAGATCTCCCGGAAGACCAATAATGGCGTGGGCTGACAATGACTACCCTAGGTACCCTTTCAGTTAATAAATATCATCCTTCTTGTAGTCGTCGCGTCGCAAAAGAGGTAAGAGAAGAGGAAGAGAGCTGGGGGGTTCAGCACCTGGGGCTTAATCATCCATAGCCAATGAAGCAAACCCCGAACCGTGGGAGTTTCGGGATTTGACTTTTGACCTTTGGGAAAAAATGTCAAAGCCAATGTGGCGTAGATTGGACGATGATTAGTCAAAAAACTAAAAAAAAAATGGGACCTGGGGGAGGCGCTGGGACCGAATAGCATTTGGGCGATCTATGCACGATGGGATAACAAGTCTCAACAAGAGAATGCGATGAGACTAATTAAATTTAGATAAGAAAAGAAAAGGAGAGAAGGGAAATGCAACACAGTATGCAGGATGATCACTCCGTCCAGGTCAGTACTTTGTCACAGGGAGGATGATGAGCATGATGAAAGGATCATTCGACGTGGATGGGATGAATCGAGAAGGAGAAAGTGGAGCCGGAAGAAGAGTTGACGATGCCTTAGTGTTCCATACCTGAGGCACCACAAAGTACAGACGAGATAGGTGGATTATGCACTGGATACTCTGTGCATAACTGGCCGGTCGTTGATTACCGAATACGGTAAGTGTCTTACGAGGTACAGTACAGGAGTAGGAAAAGTAGGTAGGTAAGTAAGTAAGTCAGCAAGTAAGAAGTAAGGAGTTCGTATATTTTCTGACTATTTCCTACTAGGAATGGCTCCACGTGATACGATCATCGTATATGTTGGGGTCATCCCATTCTTGACAACGACTGTCCCAATACCAGAGACGAGCTTGGGGCAAGAGATCGATCCACTAATAATAGCATTGATGGTTGCGACATTTCGGAAAATCGGAACTCGCGTGGTCCCATCGAATGTTTTTTTTCCCATATATGGAAAGAGCAAGATGATTGGGGATCTATCCAGGAACCATCGGAGTCCGTGGGTATTCATCCCTTGAGATATGCATATGCTAGTATGGCCTGATCATTCAAAAGTGACTGTCACTAGGCAGCCAGGCAGAGAAAATGATCGGCATTTACCATCTCCGGAAGAAAGAGGAAGTGGGGACAGAAAACGGAAAACAGACGATTTGCCTCTGGATGAATGAATGTCTTGGGATGATGCGAACGTCTTGTTCGAAGGATTCATGCCCTGTAGGGGGCGCGTTTGAGAACCTTATCCTCCATGGGCCCAGATTAAAAATAAATAAAAAATAATAAATAAAAAAAGAAAGAAAGAAAGAAAAAAGAAAATACGACATGTACATGCGTTGGCGAGGTATTTGGAATGCTGGCAAAAGTACCATGACTGATATCTTGCTCTCATCCCTTCGTGAGATCAATGCGGTCGTGTTGTTGATACTATCCAATCGAGATCTCCGAGGAAATAACGTCGAGCGAAACCTCAAAAGGTATCTACCCCTACCAGATGCGAGTCATTCCATGGAACCCATGAGACAACTGCCGTGTAGCGCTCAGGCACCAAAAACTATACTTCTCGGAAAGTAGGTATGTATACTATACTGGTCAGAAATGTAGTGGAACGGGCTCTGATTGGTGTGGGAAAACCCTATCTCAATAGGTAGATACAGTGGGGTTTTCTGTCACTGAATCAGGCAGTTGGGGCTACTCCACTGGTTCGGTCCCTTCCCTCCCTTTCTCATTGCATCTCGAGAATGTCGATCCAACAGCCTCAGGTTCCATTGTTCGCCCCGTTATTCCTTGGTCCCTTCCCAGGCAAACAACTCCATATCAAATTCCATCGAGGGTCTCTGGCCTCCCCGTGCGTGATTTCATCTGTCAGTAATTTGGCATCTGAAGTGGGTGACCACCCCTCCCCACCAACATTAGGATCCACTTTGCATTCCTGGTCTCCATCAACTGCGCGTTGGCCCAGGAAAGGAAAACGGAGGCTGAAAAAAGTCCTTGGAGCTGTCGACGACTCGATGCTACGCTGGGTTGATGTGGGTAAAACTAAATTGAGCATCATACGCCATCCCCGCCCACCCATACCAATGTATCCCTTCGATGATCTTAAACTAGACCGCTGGTCTATCCCAAATATCTAGATTGCATGCATAGGTCTAGACCCTTACTATCGTAAATGTACATAGAAAGGGGGACGCAAGAAAGAAAGACCACCTGGGTCAGCTTGGCCGAGGGGGAAGCTTGCGGAGATTAATTCCGGATGGGTCCCTGACGCTGTCCCAGATACTGGCCGGCACTGTCGATGGTAACTTATGCCCCTTCAGTTGCTGATCAATCAACCACATCCCCACCACGAACTCCTCCCGCGTCAGGAGCCCAATATCCTGCCGGTCCACTAGATCCCAAATCTCCTGCAGAGTGGGACGCGGTAGGCGGCTGCGTGACCAGATATCGCGGACGATCACATTCGCGACCATCTCGGAGGCGTCGGGCGGATATCGGTCACTGCTGCTCATCTGCTCCTTTGCAGGGATCAGCAGGCCCTTGTTGGTGGCCCAGACACCCTCGTAACGCTTGCGTTCTTTCTCCGTCACTTCGCCGCGCCATTTTTTGCGGTCGCCTTCGTGGTGTTTGTGGGGGTGCTTGTGGATGAAGTGTGGTTTGTGATGATGATGGCGGCTGTACTCGTCGTTCTCCTCGCCGAGGCCGTCGCTGCGGAGGGTCTGCCGTAGACTGCCCGCAGGGCTAACCGGAGTGGAGCGATCTCTTTGGCCTGGGGCTTGGAGTTGGAGGACAGACCGAGCCCCTGGTCGGCGTTGTGGGGGCGGCGCCGGAGGGACCTTCCGCGCCTGGGAATGCCTTGCCGCCAGCGACGAGGCCACTATTGCGTCAGACAGGGCTTCTTCGTCCATGACCCTTGATTCTCCGGATAAGCTCGTACTGCTCATGTTGCTGCGTGGCTGGCGGTACGGCGACCCGGAGCTGGGGCTGGTTGATTGGTTTGGTTCACTTTCATTCAAAAGATGCCGATGGCTTCGCACGTCGACTTTAGGCGTTGACAAGATAGGTGGTCGAGGGGGTAGTGCTGGTGCCTTTTCCTCTGGCGGAACAGAGACATCCTTCGGGCGGATGACACCGCCTTGGCTGGGCGGGTCTTTTGCAGGGCCGCGAGACTCATCGGCGCGGTTGTTGCTGGGTGTTGAGGGAGCCGGCGTTGGTGGCTTTGGAACCGGCCGTTCCTTTCTAGGAATTGGCGGAACAGGACGGGGCTTCTTCGAGGCGATTTGTGTGGCATCTGCAAGTGATTTCGGCGATGGCTTGCGCGGAGGAGGCTTGTTTTTGAGTGGTACCTCCTGGCCATTCGAAGAACTGATCGCAGTAGGATCGACTTTTGCTAAATTTCTATCTTGTATCGGTTCAGGCGACGGTGAAACTCGATCAAGAAGACTATCGTCGGGCGGCGGACGGGCCTTTCCCCGCTCCTGTGCGGCATCCTTGGCCACACTTGCGGCGATCTTCTCAGCCTGGGAACTCCCTAGTGCAAAACGAGCGGCAATTTGCTCGGTTGTGCCCGGCGTGGACGGCTGTGAGTTCCCACGCGAGTCATTTAAATGCGAATTAGAAGCGAACAGACCAATTTTGTCCTTGACCGAGCCCACTTCAGGGGTTGGTTCCGATTCAGAATCGGGGTGAAACCCTGGCTGGGGACGGGAGTAGCCGGCATGATGTGTCGTCGTCCCGGGTTTCTGACCGGTGGCTGGCCGTCCATCTTGCGAAGGCGTCACCGTAAACGCTGCAGTGGCCCCCTGAAGGGCTGTCACGGTACTCTGAACATGATTACGGGCGGAATTGGGCGGTGCTCGATGGTTAATAGCGGGTATCGGAGACGCCATTCATGGGACCCGCCTTCGGGGGGTAACTGTAGAGCGAGTTTCAAACAAATGTCGAGTTGAGGAGGCGAAATCCTGGGGTCCCAACTGTCTGGAGGAGAATTGGACCAAGAGCGTACCGGTTAGAACCACGGAGGACATTGATGTGGTCAATTATTGTTCTCCGGAGTAAGAATGATGATGTTGTCGACGTAGCTATGGGGTTCTGCTGAGGTAATCAGCATCGATTTGATCATCCAAGTCTAGAACGGGCGCGAAGACGACAAATGTACGGATATATTATTTAAACGACATCAATACAATGGAAATGTTATAGAAAACTATGTACTTGTCAATCGTATGACTGAGTATGATGAAACACAAATCAAACCATAATCCCTCAATCACGAGGGAACTCCTCAGGTCATAAACGACCCTTGGGATGAAATATCAAAATTAACCGACAGCGGGCCCTGGCAACAATGCGGAGACCCCGAGCCAATCTCGACCCTCCGCAATATGCCGGTACTTTCCAGTCAAACTGCGATCCATCTTCCCCGCTTCTTCATCTCGCCTACGATGACATTCGTTCAAGGTTCGCTCATTTGTTGATTGGCACGAGTGGGTCGAAGACACTCGTATGGTCCATGGCTTTTGACTCCGTTTCATTTCTCTTTTATACTCGTTCTCCAGCCCCAAGGATGTTGACATCGCTACTGGCTACTCCATGTTGCCCCAATCTGGCTTGACAGTCTGATGCTTGCGTGTATGTTGTATTTAGCACGTGAAACTACTCTCTTTTACACAGTGTCCAATATTTCAGTCTTCGTGAAGCGTCATGTCATCTGGGAAAAATGGGAATAGCCAAGGTGAGCGCGCGCAGATGACATACACTCGTTTAAACACCCATCGATACAGAGATTGTCGCGAGGGATTTGGATTGAAGAGGTACTAAGCAATGTAAGAAATTTCAGGTCACCCTGAGGTGGATAGCGCGTCGACGAGGGACCACAGCAACGACTCTCAAGAGGAGCGATCAACCCACACGAATGACAACCAACCCCGATGTTCGATATGCCAAAGTACTTTCAGACGCCCTGAACATCTAAAACGCCATTTCCGCAGTCATACAAAAGAAAAGCCATTCAAATGCACACGGTGTGGCCGTTACTTTTCCCGGACGTATGTATATGAAGTGTTCTGCTTCTGCATTGCTTCTTTCTCGTTTGACCGATCGACGTTGTATCAACAACTTATGAGGCGTAGGGGCTGATAACATTGGCTAGGGATACGCTTCATCGTCATGAGCTGAGTCACCATTCGGTTGGAACTAAAGGGACCGAGGGACACGCACACCGGATTACAGTGAAAACATTTCGCGCATGTTTCAAATGTGCAGTGGCACGAGTTCGGTGCAGCGGTGGTATGCCATGCGGTCGTTGCGAAAATCGGTCGCTTGAATGCCAGTATCCGACGGAGCGACGCTCCAAAACCAAAGGGCAGAAAGCAACATCGTCCAACGCTTCCCCGGTGCTTGACGGCGCATCGAATAGTTCGGCATTTCTTCCAGACCCACCGCCATTGGCAGACGACATTGATGCCAACTTAAAGCCGTCGGAGGGGCCAGTCATGTCTCAAAGGCCGGACTTTAAAATGGCTCGGACTCAAGTTCAATTGCCCGGACAGAGTGTCTCGAACGCGTTTTTGGGCTCTTCGAACAATCTGAATGTCCACGATGTCCTTCGGAGCCGGCATGATGACGTTCCTGAGACGGGGGCTTCGCATACGCCAAATGCCAATCAAATCGGGACCGCAGTGTATCCGTCTTTCTCTCTATATAACGTGTCAAACCCACCCCACGCCTATCCTGAGGTTGCCACTTCAGACATACGAAATACTCACCGTCACGATGGCGGACCTCCTGTTGATAGTTCAACGAGGTCCCGACCCCCAGAAAGAGGCGAAAACACAACTGCTTTGGAAATGACAGTGTCGGATTTGCAGCAGACCTCATTGGGCTCGGATGAGCCAAACACCTCCACCATCAACTGGCTCCCCAACGATCTGTACCGAAATGGGACAAACAGGGAAGATCTCCGATCTGATGCTCTGGCCCAGGACCCTCAGACAGGAGGTTCTTTGAGTCAAACGGTTTGGCTTCCTCCTGTTGTCGGTACGGGTCCAATCAAACCATCACTGGATAAAAGCATCTGTCAAGCGCCGCCCAGGGATTTTTCGACGAGCGGGAACCCGCAAGAACTCGATAACTTGACCCAGGATACCACTCAACCTCCTGTACAGTCATCCACAAAACGGTTGACTGATGATTGTATGGGCGATGCTCCGCCTCCCTCTAAGTACCATCGGATACAGAGCCTTTTGTCAAGACAACCCAAAAATTCTGTCAACGCCCTTTCATACTCGGAATATGAGACTTCCGAGTGTGCACATGGCCATTTTTCCTTCCCTGCCATACATGAATCTCACACGCCCGACGAGCAAAGCGTCATTGACTTTCCCATCGAGCCATCGACATATGATAGCATCTACAGATCTTTTGTCCAGCTATGTTGCGCCGATAGTCTCTTTTATTTCAAATTCGATTCAACCAGCTTTCTTCCGGTGAATGCTTTATCAAGTTTCATTCGTGTTTATTTTGAAGCGTTCCAGCCAATATACCCCATTTTTCACGCCCCTACATACAATCCCAACCGCACTCATTGGTCAGTCATACTGGCCATGTCAGCCATAGGCTGCCAGGCTTCAGGCTTCCGTGAATGTACTGCAGCAATGAACGAATTTCTTCGAAGAGCTATAGCCGTCGAGGTAAACCGTGCTCAACCGCCAATGCAAGGTTTTCTGTACTAACTTTGTCAGAGAGAGAGATACCGCTCGGAGCAGACGCCTCTGTGGCTTATTCAGGCAATGATGCTAAACTGCGTCGGACTGGCTTATGGCGCAAGCGAGAAAATAAGAGCATCTGCACTCAGCAGCTTTGGCGATCTGGTAACACTCGTGAGCCGTGAACGACTCTTGTATTCCGTGAGCAGACCGAACACCACAGGTGGTGAGGATACACAAGAGACCCAGTGGACTTTATGGATTGAGGATGAAGTGAGGCGACGGACCGCGTACTTTGTATGGGTATGGAACCCCTGAAGATCTGCGCTCGATCACATCATTAATCAAACTTAGCTTCTGGATTGCACGCTCGCCTATCATTTTGATAGTCGTCCGTCGCTGTTCTTGGAGGACAGCCAGGCTGCGCTCCCCTCTCATGAAAGCCTCTGGCAGGCGAAATCGGCCAGGGTGTGGAAGCAGCTTGTCGAAAACCCTTCCGGTAATTATACTCTTATAATCATTGCGCGTGCTCTCCTAACACTGTTTGATAGGTCCGGTCGGCGTGTCACTTTACGACGCTGTGCTGATCATGTACATCGAAAAGCGACTGGTGCCTGGGATCGGCGATTTCACTAGCATACTACTAATCTACGCCCTCTACCAGCGAACGTGGGAAGTGGGTGATTATTTCCAACGTCCGCTATCCTTTTGGGGCCCAACCGCAAAGAAGCAGTCTCGAGACGCAGCAATTCCTTCAGGTTCTATCTGGCTCCCAGGTATTCCGTCATACTCGAAATGGCGCAATAGCGCGTGCGACTGTCTGGATATCCTCCAGTGGATGGTCAACGGCACAAAAGCACTAGGCCCCGAGCATCAGATATTCTTACACCTCCACACAGCGCGAATCATTCTGCTCACCCCGTTCCGTGAAATCCGATCGCTAGCGACCTCTATCGTGACGGGCCAGATTGAGTGGACCCAACGCCAGCAGTCTATCGAGTGGCATTACATTCTCCGTTGGATACAGCACGATCAGTACAAGGCCCGTCTAGCGATCGTCCATGCGGGCTCTTGCTTGTCGCATATTCGAAGCCATTCAACGAATGCGTTTCACGAGCCTGTGGCTGCCTTCCTTTCTATTCTCACTCTGTGGGCCTACGGCATGTGTCATCCCCAGGCATTTGCAGAACCTATCCTGCTTGGAGAACCAACCTCTCGTCAGGCGACTAAACCAAGCTATATCCATCTCGATCACCCCTGTGACGATGGCCTGGTTCAATCGTTTGTACGGGATGGCCAGGCCATGAGCGGCATTGTGACGGGTGCTGGTGATATATGTGGTCCACATGGGCCCAAGGAAGTCCTCCGTGTTGGCTGCAAGATCCTCTCGGATCTCAACTCGTGGGGAATCTCTTGGCGCTTGATTGCGACTTTGACCAAGCTTGCTGAGCTGATCCTTTGAGGTCATACTATGGACATGGACTATGTGCGAGACCCTGTGTAGTATATGTATTGTATATATATTGTATAACATAATGGTGTCTGGACATCTGAATTGCAACTGACTGGCTGGATATAAGGAGCAAAACGATCGCTGGGCTCATCGTAAACGCTATGGTTGCTTAGGCCGATGGGTGTGATGTCACATGTTCCAGGCACCGCTATCTTATCGGCGCTGCAGCCTAATTCCGCGTCCATTTAAACACGCGATGCAACGCAGCAGTCAGACAACAACCCCAACCATCTGGGAAGTTGATTTTAAACAAGATGGACTCCGCTGAGGTTCTGGATAAAGATGGCCCAACAAGCCTCGTTACGGGACAAGGCGACTCGGATTCCGAGGAAAAGTAACCATCCCAATCCCCTCTTCATCCTTTACAGCCGTAAGTATAGCTTACTGACGATTGGATGCTTTTGTCCAACTGCAGGTATCCAAACAGACCACGGAACAATTCACCAACGCTACCCTTCCACGAGCTCTTCCAGACGCTCTTCAATCCGCTAAGCGAGATCAAGAAGAAACCCGCCGGCGCCGTCGCAGGACGTCGCAAACTCGGCCCGCAAGGCCAGTCCAGCGCGAGTCTAAACCCCTTCGAACGCCGCCGCGATGTAATCGAGCGGTTCATCTCGCGATGGCGAAAAGAGGTCGGCGACGACATCTACCCCGCATTCCGCCTGATTCTGCCCGACAAGGATCGGGACCGAGCAATGTACGGAATCAAGGAAAAGGTGATCGGGAAGATGCTGGTCAAGATCATGAAGATCGACAAGAACTCCGAGGACGGGTTCAACCTGTTGAACTGGAAGCTCCCCGGGCAAGCAGGCGCATCTAGCATGGCGGGCGATTTCGCGGGCCGGTGCTACGATGTGCTCTCGAAGCGGCCGATGCGGACGGAGGTAGGAGACATGAGCATCGGGGAGGTGAACGGGAAGCTGGATCAACTTGCAGCGGCGACGAAGGAAGACGAGCAGCTGCCGATTATGGCGGAGTTCTACAGACGCATGAGTCCCGAGGAGCTCATGTGGCTGATCCGGATTATCCTCCGGCAGATGAAGGTCGGGGCGACGGAGCGGACGCTTTTCAACGTCTGGCATCCGGATGCTGAGAGTCTGTACAGTATATCTAGTAGCCTCCGGCGGGTTTGCTGGGAGCTGCACGATCCTAATATTCGGCTGGAGGACGAGGATAGGGGGATTTCGCTGATGCAGTGCTACCAGCCGCAGCTGGCGCAGTTTCAAATGCATTCGCTGGATCGCATGATAAGTCGAATGAAAGTCACAGAAGACGATCCGGTGTTTTGGATCGAGGAGAAGTTAGACGGAGAGCGGATGCAGCTCCACATGGAGTTCGACGAGTCGGTGCCAGGAGGGAGGAAATTCCGCTTCTGGTCGAGGAAGGCCAAGGACTATACGTATCTCTACGGGAATGGCGTCCACGATGAGAACGGTTCGTTGACGAGACACCTTGATGGCGCGTTTGCAGACGGTGTCCAAAGCCTCATCCTCGACGGTGAAATGATCACCTGGGATCCAGAGCAAGATGCGCCGGCGCCGTTCGGCACGCTGAAGACGGCTGCCCTAGCTGAACAGCGGAATCCGTTCTCGAGTGGCACTCGGCCACTGTATCGAATTTTCGACATCCTCCACTTGAACGGGCGAGACCTAACAAGGTATACCCTCCGTGACCGGCGGAATGCGCTGCAAAAGAGCATTAAGCCCGTCCACCGCCGGTTTGAGATCCACCCCTACGAAGAAGCCACGGGAAAAGCCGAAGTGGAGGCATCCCTGAGGAGGGTCGTCGCAGAGGCATCCGAAGGCCTGGTGCTGAAGAACCCGAGGTCTCCCTATCGTCTGAACGAAAGACATGACGACTGGATGAAAGTCAAACCCGAGTATATGACCGAGTTTGGGGAGTCACTCGATCTGGTGGTGATCGGAGGATACTACGGGTCTGGCCACCGTGGCGGCGGCCTGGCAAGCTTTCTGTGTGGACTGAGGGCCGACGATTCCTCCTCTTCACAGAACCCAGGCGAGACGAAATGCTATTCCTTCTGCAAGGTGGGAGGCGGCTTCAACGCGGCCGATTACGCAAATATCCGACACCACACGGATGGCAAGTGGCACGAATGGAATCCCAAGAAACCGCCCACGACATACATGGAACTGGCCGGCGGGGACGCTCAGCATGAACGACCGGACATGTGGATCAAGCCTGAAGACTCGGTCGTTCTCTGCGTGAAAGCGGCTTCTGTTTCTGTCAGTGACCAGTTCCGGCTCGGGCTGACATTGCGTTTCCCACGATTCAAGAGACTCCGCATGGACAAGGATTGGAAGAGCGCCTTGTCCGTGCAGGAGTTTCTCGATTTAAAATCGAGCGTGGAGGAGGACCGGAAGAATCAGGAATTCAACGTCGACGATTCCCGCAGGAAACGGGTCAAGCGGTCGACCAAGAAACCCCTGACCATCGCAGGGTACGATGAGAATGCAGATGCCAAGTATGCTGGACCATCCGGACATATATTTGACGGGCTCAATTTCTGTAGGTTGACTCTGCACTTGCTGAACAAGGCGTTCGTTCGAGGTTGCTAACACGGCGCGCAGATATTGTGACTGAATCGGGCGCCCCCGTCAAGAAATCCAAGGCAGAGCTGGAGCAGCTCGTCAAGGCCAACGGGGCCAAGTTCTACCAAACGAATAGTGCAGTTCCGGACACTATCTGCGTCGCTGATCGAAGTATGTGTCCCTAGCATGTAGTATGACTGCAACTAACATTATGGCCAGGAACGGTGAAAGCCGCCTCGTTGCAGAAGCAGGGCACGGTGGATATTATCCGTCCATCATGGATACTGGACTGTATCCGGCAGAGCGAAATCGACACCGGTCTTCCTGATCTCTTGTTGCCTTTTGAGCCTAGGTATGGGTAAAACAATCCATGGCTAGCTGTCCTCTCTACTAACACTACGCCAGACACATCTTCTTCGCCACAAAAGACAGAGAAGAAGAGGCCGCAGCCAACGTCGACCGGTTCAATGACAGCTATGCCCGCGACACCACCAAAGAAGAACTCCGCGACGTAAGCACACCCACCACAACAACATCAAGCACACCATCTATCCAGACCCTAACCAATCTAAACCTCCCTCAGATCCTCAACCAAATGATCAAAGACCCCAACATCGACAACACCCAACCTCCCGAAACCATTCGCAAAATCACCTCCCAAATCCAAGAAAAAGTCAACTCGGGCTGGGAAATGCCGCTAGGCTGGCTCTTCAAGGGCCTCACCATCACCATGCCCCAACGAGACGAACCCGACGGATCCGCACAGCAGTTGCGCCTTCGTCTAGCCAGTAACACGGCCAATTTTGCGGGGGCTACGATGGCATCCTCTTCGCCGTCCTCCCCCTCGAAAGATCCGCGGGTCACCCACATCGTCGTGGATACGCACAGCACTGCCTCTGACGTCTCCTCCATTCGGGCGTCATTATCCGCGAGGGCATCCGGCAAGATACCGCATCTTGTTACGGTGGAATGGATCGAAGAGAGCTGGAAGCAGCGGACGTTGCTGGACGAAGAACGTATGTTGTTGATTTCCCTTGCTCCATACTATTCATTGCTTAACACTGTATTTCCTTTTTCGCACACTATCAAAGGCTAACCACCCTCTAAACCTACAGAATTCCAACCCTCACCCTCGCCTAAGAAATAAATTAAACCAAAATTATAATGATTAACGGCAGTTCACCTCCCCTATACAATACATTACAATGCCATTTCATCGCATTCCATCCAATGACTCAATTATCTCCAGCGCATATTGTGCGTAAATATATATCAATAAAGCAAACAAACAAACCCCACCTAATATTGTAATAAAATACATCCCGGACTCCGGACGGAGTTAACCGACCGATTCACCCTTGTGACTGTCCTATTTCTTTTCTTTTCTTTTTTTTTTTTCACGTTTCTTCCATATTAGGTATGGGTGTTGGGTATTGGGCGGAGATAAGATGCAGGGATGTGGATGAGGATGGTGACACCTGCGAGACTGTAAGCGTTGGGGTAATTCTTCTGGAAGATTTCGTTTTTTCTTTCTGTTACATTTGTCCGTATATACATACACATACCCAGGTAGGAAGCCTGCAGGTAATCTAAGCAGGGAGGTAAGAAATTCAAATGGATAAAGAAGCAATTTGTGATTGGATGACCGGTAACTTGACTTATCAAACTAAGTCGATAGATAGATAGGTAGATAACAATCGCTATCTCCTATCTAGACCGATCTGCACTCTCTCTACCGATTGATTGGATTTGCAGCAAACACAGCCTGAGAGATGAGTGTGTGTGCTACTGCTCCGTACGTGATTGCCCCGGGTCACGGCTGACCAGGCTGATCAATAGGTAAGTTAGTAGGTAGGTAGGTAAGCGGTTACTGGACCCATTGTTGGGGTTACATGAGGAGTTGAAAAGGAATAATCAAAATAGTTGGAAAAAAGGTGGATATTCCCCAGGTTTCCCGTTCCGTCCCTAGTCCCTAGTCCCAGTCTAGACAACCCGTGAACGCCTCGCTAGTTAGTTATCGTTCTATGCACCTAATGTATGCGTACCCGAAAGTAAGAAAAAAAAAAAAGGAAAGAAAAAGAAAGAAAGGGCCCCATATGTACATTGGAGGGGGGTAAGAAGGGGGGTAACAATAAAGCGAAGTAAGTAGTATCGGAAACCCACGCTAAGCACCGTGGTAACGAAAGTTGGGGTATCCAATAAATATCAATGTATGAAGGAGAGGGGGGGGAAGGGGAAAGAAAAGGAAAGAAAGGAAGGAAGGAAAATCTCGCCAAATCCCAAATGCGTAAAACGGTAAATACGGAACCCATTTAGACGCTATTCACTGTAATTCCTACCCATCGAGATGGAATGGCACTCTCTTCTTCATACTCATAGTCAGAATATGCGGTGCGATGTTGTTGTCGAGGTGGGAGCCAGACGCGCGCCCGTGTAGGAATGTCGTCCCGTAACTTTCCACACCGGCGCATGTTCATTTCTAGAACGATAACGCGCAGGAAATTGCTGTTTTCTCGGGGTTCCCGCTGCCGACAGACTGGGAGACTTTCCGGGTTGAACGGCAGATAGCGTTGATCTCGCCCGTCGCCTGGTAGGTGGAAACCGCTCTTTCGCGATCCGCGCTTGCGAGTGCGGTGATAGGTCTGCATCTGGACAGAGACGGGGCAATTGCGCGAATCGAGGGTTTCGTGCGGATAGTCCTGGTACGCATACATCTCCGCCGGTGAGATGGTCACCGGATTCAGATACCGCCGCAGCGCAGGCGATGGTGGTTCGTTCATGGGCGGGGGCCGACGGTCGTCTGTCATCTCGGGGTTGATGGTGAATAATGACTGCGGGAGGAAGTCGTCGGGCGGGGACGCAGGCGTTGTGAACCGGGACATTGTTTGCGCCGCCGATTTGATAGCTCGTAATGATGCGGTCAAGTTGGATCGGAACGATCCGAGACCCGGAAACGAACGAGGTGGCCGCAACGAGGTGGGGGATTTCGCAACGGCGGGCTCTGAAAGAGTCGTATCGTAAACCTCATCCCCCGCCCCCGAGTCTTGTATTTCCGTCTCCAGTAGAGGGTGATCAAAGGCACAACTTTCACCTCGAGATGTGCGGCGATATCGTCTCTCCGAATGGCTTCGTTGGCTGTGGGGGGTGAGAAGCGTAGAGAAGCTGGAGGGAGTATCGACGTCATGGTCTAACGATGGCATCGACTCGCTCGAGGTGGAGCGGCCCGAGAAAGACAATGCTTCACTGTCGTCCTCATTTCCGGCCGGTCCCTTATCGTTATCTTCGGGGGGACTCAGAAGCAGATCGAGGGTACTGTTCCCCGTCCCCTCCAACAAGTGATCGTCCCTCGCGCCGACGCCATCCATGAGGAATCTGCTGAAATCCTGCACATGATCCCGCGGTAGCTTGCGGGATTCCCGCGCAGTCCAACTTCGGCGAGGGACAGGGATGGCAGTGGCTTCTAAGATGGACGCAACTGACGGCGGGACGGGACGATCCCCGCGGGTTGTAAAAGAGCGTCTCGGTGGTTTGGGGTGTCTGTCGGCGTCGCGTTGCACCGATGGGGTCAGTCGCAACGAGCGTTTAGGGGGGATGACCACGGGGTCCGCGTGCGGTGGTTGCAGGGTTTCCTGATCGGATCGATCGACATCGGCGGTGAGTCTGGCGGATTCTGGATTCATCGTCGGTTTAGATCTCCCATGTTGACTATGGGATTTCGGAGAAGGCACGGAAGTGAAAAGAAAAGCTCGAGGGACCATCATTTTGATCTAGGGTGTGTTCACGATCGTACTGTGTAGTGGATGGTGGTAAAACGTCCCACGCCCGCGGAGGCACTCTGATCGAGTGATTGACTGAGATACATGGATGGAGGGGAAGACAGGAGGAAGCCAGAAGAGAGGGAATAATAAGAGGGGGGGAGAGAGAGAGGGAGATAAAGAAGATAATGGGCGATGTTGCAGGAAGATGTCGGATCTATTCGATCACTATGATGTGTTGGCAACGGAGTGATAAGGCATTCAGGCACTCAGGCAGGCAAGAGTCGTAGGCCCAATGCGGGCAACCGTCCAGATGCGTCACGCAGGCACAATTCCAACCACGCAAGGTTGGAGATAGGAAAGTGGATGAAAGAAAAATCCACGGGTTGTTCAATCAAATTCTGGGAAAAGGAAGAGAATATAAATGGTGAAAGAAAAGGGAGCGAAAGAAAGATAAGGAGAAGAAAGAAACAAAGGAGATGCAAAGGGAGAAGACTGAAGAGTGGATGACGGAGAGTAAAGAGTAAAGAGTAAAGAGTAGAGTATGTCAGGAAAGTAATCTGGTATTGCAATTACATCATTCGTGGGTATTTGACCCGGTAATCCGATTACCCCGTGTATTTCAAGGTCAATCTAATCCCTACACTGCCGATTCTCGAGTTTCCACAAGAGCGAAAAATCATGATATTATGGTGGGAAAAATCATATAAAATTCATGAAAGTATCTCCATCTTTCGAGTCAAATTTCAGTCACAATCAAGTTAATTAAGAGGTAGAACTTTGGAGGGAGGACGGTTCCATCCACACAAGTAAGCCAGATGCATGGACCGTATTAGTCAGCGGTCTTCGAGAGGGATTTTCCCTCAAATTGTGTATTGCCCTGTGTTGAAATCTGATCTCGATCGCGATGATCGTCTGAACCTGAACTTTTCGGTCCGTCTACATAGTCGTACCTGTCGGCGGAGTACCTACGGCGCCCTTGATATATATCCAATCATCGGGGTGGTGATTCGAGTCCCTTGATCGTGTGGTACCCCACCTCCACTGGTATGCGGGTCGCCTTGAATCTGGGGTGGTGATCTTTAAGAAGAATCTTGACTAGCCTCAGCCTCTCGTTTCATATACCCATACTCCAGGACTGGATCGCGTCTTATCTAAATTTCACTGTCGTTGTCTCTGGAAATAGGGAGGGAGAAACAATTCAACATAGGAAGAAAACCTGAAAAGAAAAGGCATTGGAAACAGACACGAGACAGAAAACAGAGCCACAACAACGACAGAACGACTCGCAGCATGCTCCCTGCCTGCTAAGCATGCCCATTTCTGACTCCGCACGTTCGCCGACCATCCATGAATGGGCTGGGCCATGATAGTGGACCACTCTATGGAGAAAACGCCTGATGTCAAAATGGATCCTACACCGGATAGGCCTCGCGGAAAACTGTCCGCGGCTGATCAAGAGATGAACCCCACCCATGGGTCTGCTTCGAAAAGACGTTGTGTTAGCACGGCGTGCATCGCCTGTCGGAAGAGAAAGTCCAAGGTAAGAGAAGGTCGCCTCCAACTATCCATCTTATCGACTTCGGAACCTGATTCCTCTTGCTCTTCCATTCCTCAGTGCGATGGCAATCTCCCTAGCTGTGCGGCTTGCTCCTCCGTCTATCACTCGACCTGTATGTCATGACTTGGACTGGATCGACCGACCCTGTCGCTGATATCCTCTAGGTGTCTATGATCCAAACTCCGACCATCGCCGTAAAGGCGTGTACAAGAAAGACACGGATGCGCTCAAGACTAAGAACACGACCTTACTGACTTTGATCCAAGCTTTGCTCAACTTTGAGGAGGAGGAGGATGCATTCGACTTGGTTCGGCAGATCCGCTCTTGCGATAACCTGGAAGACGTTGCGCACTCCGTCGTGAGTCGGGAAAGGGGCAGCATGCGTGCTGCAAGGGAAGCCACCTCCAATGAGGACGGGACGGTGGCGCAAGCCGATCAGTTCGAGGCCGAACTGGCCGGGAAGGTGGGCGAGCTGGTTCTGGACGGCTCCCGTAAGTTCATCGGGGGTACGTCAAATCTCATCTTTCTGCCAGTAGGGTCGGAATTGAACGAATCTGGCTCGGCTATGGAAGGCCCGATTTTGGGTCAGACGCCGGATTTCTCAGTGACGCAGTGGACAAGGGTCACCCAGAACGAACAGTTGGTCAGTCATCTAATGACCATGTACTTCACGTGGCACTACCCCTTTTTTACCACACTGTCCAAGGACCTCTTCTACCGCGATTTTGTACGAGGGGTTTCTGGTCAGTACTGCTCGTCGTTGCTGGTCAACGCGATGCTAGCCTTGGGTTGTCATTTCTCTACCTGGGAAGGGGCCTGGGAAGACCCGCTCAACTCGGCAACGGCAGGCGACCACTTTTTCAAAGAGGCCAAAAGTCTGTTCTTTGAGAATGACGAACTTGCAAATGCAAAGCTGTGTACGGTCCAGGCCTTGTCACTTATGTCAGTCCGGGAGGCTGGCTGCGGTCGGGAGGGCCGCGGTTGGTTTTACAGTGGCATGAGTTTTCGCATGGCTCTCGATCTAGGTCTGAACCTCGATGCACCTAGCATTGGATCGCGGAGTCTCGGTGAAGATGAAATTGACGCCCGTCGGATGACGTTTTGGGGCTGTTTCCTATTCGACAAGTATGTAGTAGTCTCGCCCGTCTGGAGGAAAGCATGCTCATATGTTGATCTTTTCGCAGGTGCTGGTCCAACTATCTCGGTCGTCAACCACAACTGCCGTCTGCCAATGTCAGCGTTCCCAAGTTTGACGTTATGATGAACGAAGAAGCAGAACTGTGGTCTCCCTACACCGACTCCGGCCCGAGTCGCGAGCATACGCAGCCCTCCCGCACCAGAGCCGTTGCTCTGCAGATTTCCAAGCTGAGCGAGATCAGCGGCGATTTGATCGCGTTTTTCTACGACCCAACGCCTAGAGATAAAGCAGCCTCCAGACAATTAGAAATAAAGAGACTTAGTGAGATCCACACCCGACTCGAAGCCTGGAAGAAGGGTCTACCCAAGGAGTTAGAAGCGAGAGAGGGACAGCTTCCCCAGGTTCTGTTGATGCAGTAAGCCTTTCGTCTTTGACTATCTCTCTGACTTATCAACTCTAACGTCTCTCAAGCATGTTCTATCAACTTCTCTTCATACACCTCTATCGCCCTTTTCTCAAGTACACCAAGTCAAACTCACCTCTGCCACCCCACGTTTCCCCACGCAAGCTCTGCACGCAAGCCGCTTCGGTCATCTCGAAACTCCTCCGGACGTATAAACGTACCTACGGATTTAAACAAATCTGCAACATCGTTGTATATATCGCACACACCACCTGCACGATTCATCTCCTCAACCTCCCGGAAAGGAACGCCCAGCGAGATGTCATTCACGCTCTGCGCCATCTCGAAGAGATGGGCGAATGCTGGCCCTGCGCCCGACGCACGCTCCGAATCCTCGACATATCCGCGCACAAATGGCAGGTAGAACTTCCCGACGAAGCCGTGACCATCTTCGAGCAGACGCACGCGCGCTGGGGATCCTGGGGATCCTGGGACCAGGGCGCCTCTCCCTCCTCCGTCGAGGAAAGCCCACCCGCTGTAATCCCCAATACCTACCACCCGCCGCCCGAGATACTCTACAACGAACCTACCACGACCTCCTCGCCTATGCAAGGCGTTCCCCCTCCCCCTCCAACATCCGTCGGTTCCATGGCCCTGTCATACCCACCTCCCGGTCTCCCAATGCCCGTCTCAGTACCATCGATGCGCGAAGCTCAGCGGTCACTAGGGGCACACCTGTCCCGTCCGAACGCACCGCTCCCAGAGCCCACCTATCTCCGTCCCGTGGCACACCCCTACACTAATAATCCCATCCCATATAACCCTTTCGCCCAACCCGAGGCCTGGTTCACTCCCAACGAAGGGCAACAAAATCTCCACGTCCTAGGCTCCACACAGCAAGACCTCCCCGCAACATCCAACCCAACCCCAGGATCCGGCTTCGAAGCCCCCGAGGACCCAATGGACGAGACCCACGCCTGGTGGCTACCAGACCCCAGCACGATGGATTTCGGATTGGGCAGTAATTGGCCATGATACTCTATATATATGTATATATTTTTTTTTTCTTTCATTTTTCAATTAACTGTTTTATAGGAGAGTTTGGATTAATGATATACAAGCCGCAAATGAAGATGATATTACTCGTAATGTAATTGAAAACCACAGCTACGCAGAAGTGGGTAGTATAAACATAGCATATGCGATTGATGGGCATGTCCAACGAAACTTGAGACCATGGCGTCGTGATCTACATTCTTTTTTCTGGTTCTTCTTCTTCTTCTTCTTCCCCTCCTCCTTGGGTTTTGTCTTATTCCCTGGTGTCTTTGTCTTTAGGATTTTTATAGTTCTGTCCCTGCCTAATGAAGCTTAATCGAATATGGATTGAGATTGAGGTGAAAGTGTTCTTCATATGGTATCACTGTAGTTGAGTTGGTTGATTAGTTGATTTGACATTAAATTGTGAAGGATGAGAGGGGGATAGTGAGGGCAGCAGAATAGTGCAGGAGTACAGAAGGAAGGGTAAGGAAGAAAAAGGAAAAAAACATACCAAGAAATAATCAGCAACAGGCTTCTTCGCAGGCATGCCTCTCGTATCCTGCGCCGCGGCCTCAAACACCCGATACCGGCGCCCAGGACTCCTAACGCCCGGTTTATTGCCCACAAGGCCATTACTGCGGGCATAGTCGCCGTTACTGCGAGCGACGGTGCCACCCGCGCTGGTATCCTCGCCCAGCTCCAGGATGGCAGCGACGTTGCCGCAGCGGTAGCAGTAGTTAGGGGCGGACCAGACGGTGACGATGCCGCCGTCGAACATCTCCTTGTAGCCTTCCATGACGAGCTGGTGGGCGCGCGCGACGAGCGACAGGTCGTTCTTGTAGTTGAATTGCTTGACGATGTCGCCGCCGAAGAGGAAGCCTGCGCCGCGGGGGCTCAGGCCCCATCCGTCGATCTCGTCGGGGTCGGACCAGAGGAGGTCGCACATGGCGCCTTCGTGGGGGACTTCTTGTTTGCGGTCGATGAGCCGGATTTTGTCGACGGTGTCGATTAGCGGGGAGAGGCCGCCGTGGACGCAGAGGATCGCGCCTGTTCGGCTGGCGGTGCTGGCAGCGCCGTTGCCTGAGGCGCCTGTGCCGGGGGGGCCGGAGCGGAGGGGGGTCTGGCCTGGGACGGTGGAGATGTCGCGTGGTGGGGAGATGTTCCGCGAGTCTGTGGATACGTCGGATGAGGATCGCTGTCTGCCTCGGTAGGTGCTCATGGTTACTTCGCCCCGCGAGTTCAGCACCTCTGTTTCCAGCCCGCCGTTCTCCATGGCCATGGTCGACTGCGTGGCGTCGTTCATCATGGGGGTGGGGCCCGACGGTTCGAGTTCCGAGCTGGCACCGAGGACGACGGCGCCGAGGGCTAGATAATCGAACACTTCGCAGCAGTACCGCCATACGTTGGCGCTGCCGTATTTCCGGATGCACTCGTCGTAGAAGCCGTAGACGGTGGTGATTTGGCGCGATTCGTGGTTTCCGCGGATGAGGGTGATGCGGTCTGGGTAGCGGACTTTGAGACAGAGCAGGAGGAGGAAGGATTCGAGCGAGTAGAAGCCGCGGTCGACGAAGTCGCCCATAAAGAGGTAGTTGGTGTCGGGGACATCACCGCCGACGCGGAAGAGCTCCATCAGGTCATGGAATTGCCCGTGGATGTCCCCACATATCGTGACTGGGGCGTCCACACACACCACGTTTCCTTCTTCAATCAGGAGTTCGCGCGCCTTGTAGCAGAGTTCGCGGACCTGGGTTTCGGGGATGAGGCGGCAGGCGCGTAATTGCGCGATCGCTCTGTAACAACGGGATCACATCAGTACCGTCCAACCCGTATCGGCGCGTCATCTACCGATACGTTCGAATTGCAATACCTGTCTAGATCACTCATGGTGACTCTGCGCACGGGATGGGAACGAGGGCGAAAGTATGGGATAAGGTGACCGATCGGTGGGTCCTGGAGGACGGCGGATAGACTCCGTGTACCCGGGAACGTGTGAGATTGGAAGGCGCTATGTGTACTGGAAGTGAACAATCATTTTCTCGTGTGGACAAACACCGTAAATCAACAAAAACAGATATAAAAAAAAGGATAGGGGAGTAGGCGGAGATGATGGGGGGAGGGCGAGGTGAGTTGGTTGATAGTGGCGCGTCAGAAAGCCCGAAGAGCCAGCTTGGGCGCTGTGGTGGCCGTCCAATCAGGGGGGTCAGAGATAAGATTAGATCTGATCGCCAAGCCCAGTGCGAATTCTCCAGCTTCACTTCTGAGACGGAAACAGAATGGCCCCTCTTGCTTCACCCCCAGTCGTCCAGCCACCGTGACAGTCTCAACTTATATATTGATGCTATTTAAATAGGAGAAGGATACCATGCCTTGACCCGGAAATTCCCTGGTCCTTTTCTTTTAATTGGTTCGATATCCTCCCGTGCGAATGTGTGTGGTCGGGCTCGGGCTAACCGATTCCCTCGTTACAGATCGTCAACTGTCTTCGTCCTCGACTTCTCACATGTCTACGTGACCCTCGAATTCTTATCCGACAACCATATTCTTACCCTCTCTCGAAAATGCCGCCCCATCTACACCCGAAGTCGCGATCGACGAGCTCGCTCTTCGCGGCTACCCTCCTTGCGTCCCTCGGCGTCGTCGGCTTACCACACCTCTTCCCTTGCCCGGCTCCGCGTCGGACGCTCGCCGATTCTGAAATGATCACTACGGCCGATGGTCAAACAATCCAGAGAGTGAGGCGGAGGGTAAGGAAAGACGTCGATGTCCCGGTTCCAACGGATGGTCCGCTACGCACCCAACCAGCGACGGATGACGACGTGTCGACATTTCTCCAATTGGAGGAGGAAGCCAAACAATTATCTCAAACTGGTCGGGAGTGTCCTGTTCCCAAACCTACGGGGGCCCTTGGGGAGTTATTAGGGTTTCCGAGTCGAAAAGATACTCCTCAGGGACAAGAGGAGAGAACCGGGAGTTGACGGCATTCACCCTCTTTCATTCTCCATTTCCCTTTTCAATAACACCGACAACCGACTATTATGACACCAAAAACACGCGGATCCTGCGGATCTACGAAAATATACACACAGCACAGTCCATTGGAGATGGACTCGCTTTGTGCACCGGGAGGAGCGGCTATAGCCGGACAGCCGGCGACATACTTGTACAGATACCTGTGTATTAGGGCCGAGACAGTGGCCATTTAAACAAATAGCGATACCTGTAAATCGGACAATAATATGTTCCAATACAATTATACCATTGAACAAGCAATCCCCATACCTGACTTATTTCCCACTGGATGCGACAACGTGACAGCCTGAGGTGTTGAACGCGCTAATCCAAAAATGGAAGGGTATGATTGGTCCGCGGATGCCACGAGTCGAGTTCATCTCTGGCCAGCGACTTCACAAGGATCATTCCATCTGGCCTACGCCAAACAGAACAATGGATCTGAAACACATGGTTCAAGACCTCTGCTTGAATTCTAGACACACGAAATGGATAGCCCCGCTGTTGGTCCTGGGCGACGCGCTCCTCTGCGCCCTCATCATCTGGAAGGTTTCATGTGAGACTACTCATCGCTCCGGACCAACAAGCAACAGCTCGAGCTAATCATGGACAGACACTGAAATCGACTGGACGACATACATGCAGCAAGTAGCCTTGTATATTTCAGGAGAGCGTGACTACACAGCAATCAAGGGCTCAACAGGACCGCTGGTGTACCCAGCCGCGCATGTATACAGCTACAGCTTGCTGTACCATCTGACCGATGAAGGGCGGGATATCTTCCTGGGGCAGATCATGTTTGCGGGTCTCTACCTCGCCACTCTTATCGTGGTGATTGCTTGCTACAGATTGTCGGGGGCTCCTCCGTATCTATTTCCGCTCCTGATTCTATCCAAGAGACTCCATAGTGTCTTTGTCTTGCGTCTTTTTAATGACGGTCTGGCGGCGTTCGCTATGTGGATGGCCATCTACTTGTTTCAGAGGAAGAAATGGACTGCCGCTGTGGCTTTGTGGTCTGCGGGGGTTGGTGTCAAAATGACTTTGTTGCTCCTTGCGCCGGCGATCATGATTGTCACGCTTCTCAGCCTCTCTCTGCTTCCAAGTTTGCAGCTCGGGGTACTAGCCGTGCTTGTCCAGGTAAGTTTCTATCTAAGAGGGTTCTCTTTTTGGAGTTTTTGAGAGCAGTTTGAGCTGATGAGCCGATAGGTGTTACTGGGGGCGCCGTTCTTGCAAGAGAACCCCGTGGGGTATATCTCCCGTGCCTTCGAGTTAACCAGGCAATTCTTGTTCAGGTGGACAGTCAATTGGAGATTCGTGGGCGAAGAATGGTTCTTGTCTAGAGAGTTCTCTCTGCTCTTGCTAACTCTGCATCTCATCCTCCTGGGCTTTTTTGTTACCACCGTCTGGCTGCGACCATCAATGTCCAACCTGCCCAATCTCATCAGTGACCTGCTTCGAGGACAGCACCGCAAGGTCTCGCTTTCCAGTTCCTTCATCATGACGACTATGCTGACGTCTCTGGCGATTGGTCTGCTGTGTGCGCGGTCGCTTCACTACCAGTTCTTCGCCTACCTCGCCTGGGCGACCCCGTTCCTCCTTTGGCAGGGGGGATACCATCCAACGCTCATCTATGCAATCTGGGGCCTGCAAGAGTGGGCTTGGAACACCTATCCAAGTACCAATGTGAGCTCGTCGATTGTCGTCATGTCACTTGCCGCCCAGGTTTTCGGTGTCCTTCTCAATAGCAAACGCGCAGTCGATGGCGTTGGTGTGCGCCCTGATAAAAAAGCGCATCGCGAATAAAAACAAGGCATGCAACGGTGTTCGCAACGCAATGCACAACCCAGTGTTCTATGCGCAAATCAATGTAAAGAAAATGTTATAATCCAAGAGTCCCCGAGAGAAAGTAGACTCGGCGCTTCTGGGCGACCTCTCCTGCAGAGGGCCTTTAAGTCTCCAACTCTGTTCGTCGGTGCCGCAGTTTGCCCGGCGGAATCAGGCATCGGAATCATCGTCAGACGGCGGTAGCTTCCCCACGTTGGATTCGTCTTCACTTTCATCGTCCGAGACCGACGAGACCGGTTGCTTGACGAACTCCTTGGGCCTATAACAATCGTTAGCGGTAAGAACTAGCGCATGAGCGTTAAGAGGAGAGCTCACCAGTAGCGCTCTTTCCGCCAGGCCTTCTCGTCGCGAACAATGTTGACGATCTCGCCGCCTAGTTTGTTATCCCGGCCTTCCAAGGCATTCGTGTCCACCACGACGTAAGACTTCCGCTTGATCCAGATGGTCGAGCGGAACCGAGAGGGCAGTTCTACCAGGACAGACTTCTTGGAGGGGAATTCGACGGCATAGAGGTTATTCCCCGTCGCCTTGAGGACCCGTGCGATCTGCTGCCCCGGCGCCAGATCATCTGGCGGGGTCAGGGTTTCCTCTGCTGTCGCAAGCATCTTTCGTCGCGGAGGGGCCATTGTGGAGGAATAATCAATAATTTCCCTTTACTTCTAAGCTTCTCTCCTGGAGGATTCTCAGTGTCGAACAAACGGTCAAATCAGATGCATCCGGGGGAGGAGATAATCAGGCACTCAAATCTTTTTTCTTTTTTTTTTCCTTTGGCGGAGACCGACCCTTAATGCCTCAGGCCGCTACATAGTGGGGCAACTGCGTTTTCCACTACGGTTATTGCCCACTCTGATGTCCATTGGTAAATGCGCCTCCGACGTTCAGCCATCCTTCCTCAATCCTGCCATTTCAGAAACCTAGACCTTTCCATGACGACCTTTGCCCTCCATAATTAACATTTGTGGTAACCACAATAAACCAATTGTTGACGGACCCCCCACCTGAACCGACCGCGGTTCAGCTACCTTGGTCCCCTTACGTCGAGAAAAGCGTGCAGACATCGGAGATGGCCGTGTGATCTTCATAGACCAGGAGTCTGCGGGGCTGGATTCGGCTGTGGATTCACTGCCTCTGGACGCCAATCCAGCGTGGAGGATACTGCTAATGTGCCTGATTGTACTACTGCAATGGGCGCAGCGAGCGACGCACGTTGGAGGTCGTCGGATTGTCGCACAGATGTGTGTCTTCCTGGCATGATTTTGTCTTTCTTTAGTTGTGATTAGGTTTGATGATATCACGGTAACGCCTGTTGTGCTTTGCTCGGATCCGAGTTGGCTATTGCCACGCCTGGATTTGGTTGTATCTTGTGGGTTTATACTAGAGGGGTGAACATCACTTCCTAGCAATATGTTATGATCAAATTGATCTTCAGTGGTATCAATACTTGACAGGACATGCTACACTAGAATCATACTAAGTTCAATAGTATACTACTACACATTCAATCAGAAGGCCAGACAACACGGGGAGACGTACGCTTTATAGATCGATAGAAGAGAAGGTCTGTACAGCAAGGGATGAGATACTCGTCTTAACATTCTTTCGTCTGTGTGGAATTCCAGATTCGTATCAGTCAAGAGGTGCATTGATCGTGCATCCAGTGCATCTGCACGCAAGATCCTTGTTGTTTACATGCAGTACAATCTAGCACAAGTATCTTCCAGTCTTTTAATTCCACGTCCTTTTATGACTTTATATTATATGGTGGTTTATTGCCACGACCCGGGCGGGAACGAGTCGGTTTCTTCCTCGGTAAGATTTCATGTTCTTGTTCAGACATCGATCTGTTACTGCTTTCGAGTCCAGAAATTCTTTGAAATGATAGAGAAATAATCAACAAATAAAATCTACAAATATATCTACAAAATATCAAATATAAACAAAAACAAATAAAAGTAATACAAAGTGCACGAGGGCTCGTCATCGGCTGACTGTCTCACCAGTCCCGAGCTGAACAGAGTTGACTACTAAACTAGTATCCTTTCCACTTAATTAATTTGATGGATTTGACAGCGATCGATCTTCCCCTCTCTCTGTCTCTCTCTCTCTCTTCTTCTGTCAACAACAACTAAAAAGCCCCGCGACGCTTCATCCCTCCTCCCTCCTCCTCCTCCTCCCCCTCCCGCCCTCCAAATACGCCTCCCCTCTACTCCGTCGGTGGATCTTCTTCACCTTTTCTCCCCTCGGGCTTTTCTTCTTTTTCTTTTTTGTCTTTCCTTCCTTTTTTAATTTTCCTGATCTTATCTTTTCTTGTTTTCTCTCCGTGTTTCATTTCCGGATAGAAAGAAGAAAATTATCAGACGCACCCCCTCCTCCCCCCACCCAACCAATCCTCTCCTCATTGAATCGCCGTCGCATCCCACCTCTTCCATCATGGACGGCGAAGACCTCATCGCCTCGGTCTACCGCAAGATCGAGCGGGAAAAGGCCCTCATCACCGCCGCCTCCAACATGCGACAGTCCACCGATAATCCGTTGGTACAGCAGAGGGTGGATGCGAACATCCGCGATGGTCGGAAAAACATTGCTTATCTGGAGGAGAAGATGAGGGAGCTGCAACTGCGTCGGATCGATCAGGATGGTGGCTCCCCCACTGAGAAACGTCTTCCGTCGCCTCCCCCCAAGGACAGCCCCGGTGGTGACAATGACGAGTATGGAGAGCCCTCCAGCGCTCATCATCCCCACGGAGGTGCCGGCTCCATGCCGACCGGTGCTCCCTTCAAGGATCCTCGACCGTTTGCTCCTGTGCCCAAGGCGCGCCCGAATTATACGAAGCTTGGTAGGTGGCCCATCGTACTCTCTGCCGTGATCGTGATTGAACGGTCTGTTGATCGTCCCACGTGCTAACCGCGCCGACCTATAGATCTGATCAAATACGACACGTCTTATCTCGGCCCTAAGATCCAGCTCATGTTGTCCCAACTCGAATTCAAGCTGAGCGTGGAGAAGCAATACAAGGCTGGTATTGAAAAGATGGTTCGCCTATACCAAGACGAGGGCGACAGGAAGAGTCGTGCCGATGCCGAGGGTCGGCGCATCGAGAGTAACCAGAAGATCCAACTGCTGAAGCAGGCTCTGAAGCGATATGAGGATCTCCACGTTGATATTGAATCGACTGATACCCCCGATGGTACGCCTTATATCCATTCATAGACTATGCCGGCGTATCATGGTTAATCATTCTTCACTACAGACGAAAGTTTAAGCACCCCCAACTTGCGCAAACCCCTCACCGGTCTGTTGACTATGCGCATTCAGGCTGTCAGCGATGTCGATCATGCTGCCGGCTCGAGATTTTCCAGAGGCCCCGAGACCTCCGTCGTCCTCAAGGTCGAGGATGCCGTCAAAGCCCGGACCAAGCCCACTCGCACCGATCGATGGCAGGACGAGACCTTCAACCTTGACATCGACAAGGCCAACGAGATCGAACTGACCGTCTACGACAAGTCGGGCGACCGCCCCACCCCGATCGGCATGCTCTGGCTGCGCATCACCGACATCGCCGAAGAGATGCGTCGCAAGAAGATCGAAATGGAATTGAACCAATCCGGCTGGGTGTCGGCTGACAGGATGGACCACGGAAGTGGCTCAGGACGCCCGGATACTGCAGGTCCGATGAGCCCTGGCCATAGCTCGGCCTCGGGCGGACCCCCTGGGGCCGGTCCTCAAGGCCATGGCGGTGCGCCCCCCGGCGCGCCAGGTGGAAATAACGCGCCGATGATTGAATCGTGGTTCGCATTGGAGCCCGTGGGTCGCATTTATCTGTCGATGAGCTTCGGTATGGTCCTGACCGTGTGCGGACTGACGATCGCGATGCGATTAAATTATCCGGCGACAATGCTAACTCTTTTTTCTCGCTCCTAGCCAAACAACTCAAGGACCGCCGTCCGTTCGACATTGGTCTCAACCGCCAGGGTGCCGTGCGCCAGAAGAAGGAAGAGGTCCACGAGAAGCAGGGTCACAAGTTCGTCACGCAGCAGTTCTACAACATCATGCGCTGTGCCCTGTGCGGCGACTTCTTGAAGTATGCCGCGGGCATGCAGTGTGCCGACTGCAAATATACCTGCCACCGCAAGTGCTATCCCAAGGTCGTCACCAAATGTATCAGCAAGGCGAACTACGAGACCGACCCCGACGAGGAGAAGATCAATCACCGCATCCCCCATCGCTTCGAGGGCTTTTCCAACCTGTCCGCCAACTGGTGCTGCCACTGTGGTTATTTGCTGCCGTTCGGGCGTAAGAACGCCAAGCGATGCACAGGTACGTTTTGAAACCCTACTGGACCAGCATAGAAGTAGAGACATCTCAGCAGCTGACCCGCATGTGATTCACACAGAGTGCGCTCTTACTTGCCACGCCCAGTGCACACACTTGGTACCGGACTTCTGCGGCATGTCGATGGAAGCAGCCAACCAAATCTTGGAGACCTTGATTCGCGCGAAGAATCACAACAAATCCACCTCTGTTAGTTCTGGCCTCAGCGGTCGCACCCTTCGATCAGCTGGTCCGCCTCCGGGCCCTTCGGACAACGCCGCCCTTGCCTATCCACAGAAACCCGTCGAGGCCCCACCCAGGACACCTCAAAGACAGCCTTCCGCCGAAGCCATAAGCGCCGCGACTAACTCTTATATGCCTCCGCAGTCCCCGACAGCCGCACAGAGACAGCAAATGCCCCCACCGAGGACTTCCTCGGCCAGCCCTGCCGCTGCCGCTGCCGCCGCGGCGACCGGCCTCCGCTCTCCACAGCAAGTAGCAGGTATGTTGCCTCTCTCCATCGATTCGACAATAGCTATGAAGGTAGAATGGAAGGGACTGACGATCTGCGACCAATCTAGAACAAAGCCGTCCCGCCCCGCCCCAGCCCCAGCCCCAGACCCCCACGCACGCTCCTTACGACCCTAGTGTGTACGCATCCTATCAGCAGCAGCCCATGTCGCCTCAGGCCATGCAGAAGGTCGGGAGCCCGTACGGCATGCCCCAGCAGCAGCAACCGCCCGCGCCCGTCATGCCGCAGCCGATGGCGGTGAAAGAAGAGGCGCCGCCGCCGCAGCAAAAGATCCGGATCGGACTGGATCATTTCAACTTTCTGGCCGTGCTCGGTAAGGGTAATTTCGGCAAGGTTATGTTGGCGGAGACCAAGGGCAACAAGAAGCTTTACGCGATCAAGGTGCTGAAGAAGGAGTTCATCATCGAGAACGACGAAGTGGAGAGCACCAAGTCCGAAAAGCGCGTCTTCTTGATTGCGAACAAGGAGCGTCATCCTTTCCTCCTCAACCTGCACGCCTGCTTCCAGACCGAAACCCGCGTGTACTTTGTCATGGAGTACATCAGCGGTGGTGATTTGATGCTTCATATTCAGCGCGGCCAGTTTGGCCTGAAGAGAGCACAGTGAGTTTCTTGATCCAGACTGCAGGAGTATGCCGCAGTGCAGAAAGACGACTAACGAGTGTAATCTGCGCAGGTTCTACGCGGCGGAAGTCCTGCTGGCGCTCAAGTATTTCCACGAGAACGGCGTCATCTACCGTGATCTGAAGCTGGACAACATCCTGCTGACCCTGGATGGTCACATCAAGATTGCGGATTACGGTCTCTGCAAGGAGAACATGTGGTACGGAGCCACCACGAGCACGTTCTGTGGTACTCCTGAATTCATGGCCCCTGAGGTGAGTCCACGATCTACTCTTTCCTATCCGTCACTTGTCTTAGCTAACATGTCCACCCGTAAAGATTCTGTTGGACAAGAAATACGGTCGTGCGGTTGACTGGTGGGCCTTCGGTGTGCTCATCTACCAGATGCTCCTTCAACAGTCCCCCTTCCGCGGTGAAGACGAGGATGAAATCTACGACGCTATTCTGGCGGATGAGCCCCTGTACCCGATCCACATGCCCCGCGATTCCGTCTCGATCCTGCAGAAACTGCTCACGCGCGAGCCCGAGTTGCGACTGGGGTCCGGACCCACTGACGCGCAGGAGGTCATGTCGCATGCATTCTTCCGGAACGTCAACTGGGATGACATCTACCACAAGCGGGTTCCGCCACCCTTCCTCCCCACCATCACCAGTCCCACCGATACCAGCAACTTCGACCAAGAGTTCACCAGTGTTACTCCCGTTCTCACGCCCGTGCAGTCAGGTAAGGAGCCCGTCATCCCCCCTTCCTATTCACAGGGTGCTAATATCTTTTTTTCCCATCACAGTCCTGTCCCAGGCGATGCAAGAAGAGTTCCGCGGCTTCTCCTACACCGCGGACTTTGCCTAAACAAGCGGTTTCCACGCGAGAGTATCAGGACCGTGCTGGTCTTGGTCTTTCTTCTTTTCTATCATCCTGTCCCTTTTTCCCCCTCTCTTGCTTTCTTCCGGTGCTGAACCCATTGGTAATTTCTTCTCTGTTTACTATTGCGGTTTGACTTCGGCACGAATTTTTGCACTTGAAAGTGTTACTTTACATACATACCCATGAGAGTTTTGATGGCTGGTGTAACCGACGAATGTGTGTAAGCAGAAATGGGCGAGTTGTGGGTTTGGAAAGTTGGATCCCAGTTTTTATTTCCAGCCATCCCCGCCGATTATTCTGATTTATTGATGACCTAGGGTTTTTATACCCTATTCTTGTTTTCCCCTCTTCTTGTTCCTTGTCTTTTACTTTTTACCACCTGTCTGGAATGCAAGTGTGCATTTCTCTTTCATAATTTGAGCACGGCTTTAATGTTGTATGACTGAATGGGAGGTGTGATTACTTTTACATGAATCTTAAGTGCATATATGGCTCTCCGTGGTTAGAAAGTATGTAGGAGACATTTACCTAGAGTAGTGATGTGTGTTGTGGATATCATCACGACCATCTCGGTCTCTGGCATGGTTTAGTATGGGGTTTGAAGACGGTCTGGGTTTCATGATTTCCACAGTTAGAGTGTTCGTTTCTTTGTTTACCACAGTCTTTCATCCCACCGGGTCTGTGGAGGGGGCTGTGACTCGCATTCATCCTCGGGGTAAAAGGTCTGCATTCGTGGGGTCAAGTATCACTTCATTGTTCTCTCTCCCACATCCTCTTCATTGGCGTTCTTTATGTCAGACCCATGATTATTCTTCTTCTACTTTACAAAACAAAGAATGCACCGTATCCTGGGACGCCAAAGATAGAAAACTTCTTTCTTTGCGAGTATTGACTCGAGGGGGTCGTTCGAGTGTGGGAGGGTGGGTGGTGAATGAATGGTGAGTACAAGAAAGAAGTATGAGGGAGAATATCCATGGAGAGTGTGTTTTTCTCCCACGCGCAATTTGTCACTCACTTGTTTTCCTGCTTGACTTCCCTACCTCTTCACCTTTCACTTTTCCTCGCTCTTGCCTGTCTATAGCCCTCTTCTCACCAGGTATCGAGGTCATCTCGCACTCCACGCTCAACTCCCTCCTCGCCTAGCTTCGAACCAGACAAGATGGACAGTTCCCCCGAAGTCGAATCGTCCACCGTCCCGGGGTCTCAATACGACCTCGGCTCTGTCGTCCATCTACCTCCGCCTATAGTCAAGCCAAAGTGGGTTCCTAGGACGGAATGAATGAGTCAAGTTGAAGCTTGATATTGACACTCGCTCCCAGAACCGGCCTGCTCTCCGGCGCAAACACCCCGAAGAACAAGAAGAAGAAAACGTCGGATCCGCAGTGGGACAGCAAGGGTACGTCCTCTGATGATGCGTCCTCCGGCGAATTCTTCTTCAAGCGCCACGGACCGCAGAAGAAGAGGAAAATGGGCTCAGACGATGAAGACATGTCGAGGTCGAAGCTCAAGAAGAAGAAGAGAGTCGATCCCACGTTCGTACTCGATCATGCTGAGAACACGGACGATGATGGCGATGGCGCGAAACAGGATGAGAAAGAGAAAGGCACGGTCATATCTGCTCTAGGAAACTTCCTCCGCGGCGCCCAAGCAAGCCCGACGCCCAAGAAACGGAAGCCATCATACAATAGAGCCGCAGGCGCGCAGGGGGGTGATGAGGAGGATACGCCGACTCATGACTTCCGCATCTCCAAGAATGAGACCGCCGATATGGTCTTTGATTTCTCGCTGGAGCGGTCGAAGCGGTTGGCGGATGCGATCAGTCTTCCTGAGAATCTTTATACGCAGGTGGAGAGGGATCTGTTTGGAAGGCTGGCGATGCGTGGGTTTGAGCCTATTCTGCCGTCGCAGTGGAAGTTCGATTTCCAGACTCTGCCTGAGTCGCTGTTCCCCGCTGCTGGGGAGGATTTTGAACCGCTTGTTCAGGCGCTGGGGGGTTCTGAGTTTTACGGTACGTAGCCAATGACTGTCTCTTTGGGCTTTCAGGGAGACATTGCTCATGGCCAAATAGCAAGTAAGTCTATGAACGACCTCTTCAGCCTGGGCGGCCGAGTACGCGACTGCAGCATCCTCAAGAAGCGCCCCGAGCTACTGATCGAGCGAGAAATTAAACGATACATCCGCTGGGCTGTGTTTGACGCACATCTACTATTCGACCGGGACTCAATCCCCATGTACGCGATCCATCCCCACAGAGTCGGCGACTCCATCATCAACGGCGTGAAACGACTCGATCAGCGTCTCAAGGCGCTCGCCGCACGACACAGCGATGAGTCGAGCGCGAGATCGTATCCAAACGATGATTCGCCGCTGTGTCCCGTGTTCACGGGGTTCCTCATCTGCGGCCCTATTCTCACTATCATGACCTATAGCGCTGATCCGAGGGATAGAACCGAAACGACGGACAGTAACTTTATTTCTCAGTTTGATCTGGGTGAATGGGGGCAGGATGTCTGGAACTCGCTTGCGCTTGTTATTACGGTTATGCATATTCGTAGGACTATGCTTCAGCTTGCGGAGAGGGGGTTGGGCGGAATCTATAGGGCTGAGGGGTATATGGTGTCGGATACGGACGAGGATCTCTGATTCTGTCGGAGGGAGGTGGAAGGAGGGAGGAGGGAGTATGAGGTTGAGCGCTTAAGATATCCAATTTGTATTCTAGCGAGTTGTTTTTGTGGATATTAGTCTTAATGAAATTGCAGTATTTGAATCAATCAAACCGGGGTGAGACTATGTGTAGGGACTATATATATAGTGAAGTATATTGCACATGTCACCAAAACAAAACACAACACCATAGTAACTGAGAATCGTAGAACATCAAAAGTTCTTCAAAGATAGCAAGAGAAATAGAATAACAATAAAAAAGTCTCCATGATATGCGAATTCCATCTATAGCATCGGTGGTCGAATAGTCACATGACTAGGCAATACTGGCGATTCCCCGCGGGTCGCGAGGCTACAGTTCTGAATAGCGACATCCCACCCCCCAAGCTCGGTATTCATCATGGATGCTCCCGATGACAGGGAGATCAAGTTGCAGCGGGCATCTGGAGATCTTGTGAAGGAATTCTCCGCCAGGTTGCCCGCCCTACTCTGGAAACCGTCGACCGAGCGTGGAAAAGAAAGCCGAACACCACGACGACGGACACCCGCCGCCAAGGCAGAGAAACTCGTGGGACTTGTAGGATAAACACCCACCCACCCCGCCTCTAGCAAAGATAGACTGGACTGACGATGCCGGTATAGCTGGAACCTTTTCAGGAGTGGCCGCAATTGTTAGATCCGCATCTGCAATTGCTTCTCCCTCCTTTAGTTGATGCGTTCCTTGCCTACTTGGTCAACCATCGCGATCATTACGCTTCTAAAGCAGCAGAGTCAAACCATCTCTATCCGCTGCCGAGGGCAATCTGCAGAATTCTCTACACCTTCTGCAAGGTCCGCGGGGTCAAAGTGATCAGCCGGTTTCTGAACAACGAACCCAAGTACCTTCAGCCGCTACTGCGGGCGTTTATCGCATGGGATGAAATCCCCCAAGAGGACCCCGCACATGTCTCCTTGGGTGATATTCCCCGCCGACTTGTCTGGGAAGAGCGCTATGTGATGTTGATATGGCTGTCGCATTTGTTGCTCGCCCCGTTTGACTTGTCGTCTTTGTCTTCGGATGATATCCCAGTCCCGTATCCGGATCTCGAGCAGCTCACGATACTGCCGCCCCAGGCGCCTGTCATTGCCCGATCTATCCTTTCGCTGTCTCTGCACTATGTGAACGCCCCCGGGAAGGAGCGCGAGGCTGCCACCGTGCTTCTGGCGAGGCTGGCGCTACGCGGGGACATGCAGAGATTTGGGATCTTGGGTAATCTTACGAACTGGGCTTTTTCTATCATCAAGCCGGTTGGAGATGCTGAGCCGCTGTCGGTTTACACCTGTATTGGAGTGCTGTCTTTCCTGTCTCGTTTGGCTGCTTCCGGTCAGGTGGAGGAGTTCGGCCCCCTGATAGTGCCTGTGTTTGGACAAATCCTCAGCGCTGTTCAGGGTGAGTCGCAGATTTCGAAGATTGTGCAGTCCTCGGCTATTGCACGAAAGATGATTATCAAGATACTCCGCTGTTTGACTCTCATGGCGATCTCGCTTAATGAGAGAGGAGACGGCTCGCTCTCCGATGACCAGGTATCGTTCGTCCTGGAAGATACTATCGATCATTTCTTAGTAGCCCTGGCCGACAAGGATACCCCTGTGAGGTTTGCTGCGAGCAAGTCACTGAGCATCATCACGTTGAAGCTCGAACCTGAGATGGCCACGGAAGTTATAGAGGCTATCACCGGCTCGCTCGAGGAGAACATCCTTTATCAAAAGCAGGATGGTACCATAGTTACACCGCTCGAGGCCAGGATGATCGGAACCAACGCGTTGAAGCGAAATCTAAGCGCGGTTGACTCGCAACAGTGGCAAGGGCTGATCCTCACCCTGGGCCATCTTCTATTTCGTCGCGCTCCCCCAACACACCAACTCCCGAATGTCCTCCAGCCACTTGTGTCTGGGCTTGGCTTTGAACAGAGATCTTCGACTGGAAGCTCTGTCGGGACTGGCGTTCGAGACGCTTCATGTTTTGGCATTTGGGCACTATCCCGGAAATACACCACCCAGGAGCTGCTGGCATTGAACGCGCAAGCCATCAACACCCCGACGGACCAGAATGGAGTGAACACCCTGCAGATACTAGCCACAGAGCTAGTGTGCGCCGCGTGCGTGGACCCATCTGGGAACATCCGCAGAGGTGCTTCAGCCGCCCTGCAAGAGCTCATTGGCCGCCATCCAAACACCATCGCAGAGGGGATATCTCTGGTTCAGGTGGTGGATTACCACGCGGTGGCGCGCCGCTCGAGGGCGATGATCGATGTTGCTAAAGCGACTGCCGACTTGAGCCACACATACTGGCGCCCTCTATTGAATTCGCTACTGGATTGGAGGGGGATTGACTCCCCGGACGCGGAATCTAGAAGGCATGCTGCGAAAGCAATTGGCATTCTGAGCACTCAGAAATCTTTCGCCACTATGGGCGTCGTGCTGCATCAGCTGGTGGACAAACTTATGAGTCTTCCGCACAACGAGGCCGAAGCGAGGCATGGTTGTTTCCTTGCGCTTTCTGCTACGATCGATGCATTTATTTCAGGTCGAGAGACGTCAGATGACAGCAGCTCGTTCGAAGCCGAGGACGTTGCTCGCCAGCTGGCTGGATTGTGGGAAATATTCAACTCCCCAGCTAGTCCCACGAAGGACGACTTGACTCTTCAAGTACGGCGTCCAGAACTGACAGCCGAAGCAGCGTCATGCCTGATTCAGTCGCTAGCACTGGCAACGTCGCACACCAGCGCCCCTCGAGTTAGCGTGCCATCGGCCGAGTTGTTAGATAAAGCGCGCACGGTGCTCCTGCTTTGCATCTCACGAGGCGAAGACACCTCTATAGCGGCTGCTGCAAGCGCTTGGCCAGAACTCTTTTCCCTCCTGCCCTCGCCAGAGCAGGACGAGACGATACAGAGCTGGTTTTCGCACATCAATGCAACACGGAAACTGCCCACTGCACGGGGCGAGATTCTTGTCCTAGGAGCTATCTTCCGGAAGATTTCCCCGGAGAATGGTGTCAGACAGTCGATCATAGAAGAGCTACTTCGCGTAGCTAGCAAGGAAGAATTGATTGAGAAGAGGGTTGTGGCTGTGAAGAGTCTGACCACTGGGGTCCTACCTTACATAGGTAGGCATCAGCCAATTACTGAAGTGAGGATTGTGGCTAATGAGCGTAGATGTGACGCACACTATTGCAGACAACCTTGTTGAATTCTTAAACGATTACACAACAAACAGACGGGGTGACATTGGATCATTGGTCAGAATGGAGGCTATCCAAGCTGCATATACGGTGCTCCAGAAGAAGATCGGAACGGCGGACCGCTCACACGTTCAAGAGATCGTCGGCTGTCTGTGTAGACTCGCAGCGGAGAAGTTGGACAAAGTCCGTCTCCAGGCTTGGCTTTGCCTTCAAAGCTTCTGGGAATCGGAGGCCGACTTTCCACGACTACAGCGGTGCGGACCCAACACTCTTCACCTCTACCGACATCTAACGGCGTCGCTGATTTGCATGCATACAGAAAATACGAACACTTCAGCCACGTCTCATCGGTCGACTACTTCCTGCAGCTACTCGAACTACAGTCAATTGACTGGTTGCGTCTACCCTTGTTCCAAGGCCTCGCGACCTCAGCTGTCGTTGGAGCTGAGGGTCTCGTTCGCTCGTCCCGCCTAGCACTGGCCTATAGTCTCAATAACCACGGAGCGCCAGAGCGACAGACCGTGGCTATCGCCATTTTGAAAGACCTCCTCGTCATTTTAACTGAAAATCTGCAGGATGACCGCTACGCCATCCCGACCTTGGAGCTTATAGCCTGGTTGCTGGACGGCTACGTCTCTTTCATCCCCGAAGGCTTGGAGACAAGGTACGCACGCCCTGCTTTCTACGCCCAAACCTATTATGAGAATAGCGCTAACCAAGATCCAGCTTCCGCAAATTATTCGTCGCCGTCCAAAAGGCACACTTTAAAACAGCCAACGTTGCAAGACTGGAAGCTGCAGTCAAGATATATGCGAGTCTGTCGCGATTAGAGGCGCTGAGGGCAGAAGTTCTTAAGAAGATGACGGGGATGCTGTTGCATCCTTTCCCTAGGGTATGTTGTTTGTTTCGTATATTCTTGGTCATAGTTTGCTAATGTCCATGAAGGTCCGCAACGTTGTTGCCGAGTGTCTCTTTATGGAGACTCGTTTGGAGGTTGTGAAGTGTGAGGACTGGACTAGACCGTCCAAGGAGTTGAAGGGCGATGTTGAGGGGGTTAGGGAGGCATTGGGTTGTAGATAGCTGCCTGGCTATAGACCCGAATACTGTTATAGCATGATAGAATCGAATGGACATGATAATAATATATTAAAAAAAAAGGTGCAAAAGAAAGACAAGTATTAAATTGAGTTAGAGTAAGTAGAAACAAAAAGAAAAAAGATAAGAATAGTGCATCATCCGTGAATCGAACACGGGCCTCATCGATGGCAACGATGAATTCTACCACTAGACCAATGATGCTACTGTATATTGTACCCTTTCTTATTACTTTATATAATACAACAAACCCCCCCCATCTTCCCACCGGCGAGTCAACTTCAGCCAGAGCTCGACTTACTCCAAGTAATTAATCGATCGAACAACTCGTCCGCAGCACCGACAAGACCTCATTTGTCGCAAATCCAAAATGGCCACTGTATCAGGGTCGACTAACCCTCCCAATGCCACGTACGTTCCATCTTACCCACCCCTTCAGCACGAAAAAGATCACACCCAGCTAACCACCGACCTCATTCCGCGCAGAGTCTACGTATGTCTACCACCACCAGCCAACCAACCTGCCCACCTCCCCCTCCCAAAAAGCCCACACAACTAACCCCCCAGCTGCAATAGGTCCGCAACCTGGAGGAACGGATAAAGGTCGACCAACTCAAGGAGGCCCTCGAAGAGATCTTCTCCGAATATGGCAACGTCCTCGAAATCGTCGCCAAGACGAACTTGAAGGCCAAGGGCCAGGCGTTCGTCGTCTTCGATAGCGTGGACTCCGCCACGAACGCCATCGACGAGATCAATGGGTTTGATCTGTTTGAGAAGCCGATGGTTCTGGACTATGCGAAGACGCGCAGTGACGCGACGGTTTTGCGCGAGGGAGGGGCTGATGAGCTGGAGGTTCATAAGAGGAGGAGGTTAGCTGAGAAGGGTATGTTTTTTTATTTCCTTTTTCCTGTCACCTCTACTCTATTTGGAGGATGTACTGGACGCAGAGGAAAGAGGGAAATACACCGATACTAATTCCAGCAGAGCGCAAGCAAGCCCACGAAGCTCTCGAAGCCCAAAAGAAGCTCAAGCGACCCTCCGGCGCCCCCGACGCCGCTCGCCCCGCCAAAACGGCCAAAGGCGCCGGCCTCAAGCCCACCAGCGGTGCCGCCGCGGCCGTCATCCCCGACGAGTATCTCCCGCCCAACAAGATTCTCTTCCTGCGCGACCTGCCCGACACCGCCGACCAGGAGAGCCTCACGGCCGTGTTTGGCCGCTTCGAGGGTTTCCAGGAGGTGCGTCTGGTGCCTGGTCGCAAGGGAATTGCCTTTGTCGAGTACGAGAGCGAGTCTGGGGCGATCAGTGCGAAGGAGGCGACCTCCGGTATGCCTATGGGGGAGCAGGGGAAGCCGATCCGCGTTACCTTCCAGCGGCAATAGGCGGTGGGGGTGTGAGGACCTGGTCATTGTTGGGCATTGCGATCTACTTGACTTGTTGTTACTGGCGTTGGGATGGGAGCTTTTCTTTTCTTTACTTTTTCTTTTTACATTTGTATTCTTTACATGGCGGGCAGAAACGGTTTCAGACCTCAATTCGTCCCGCCTTATCGTCTACCTTGGGCTCGTTGACCTTATCTCGATATCTTGATCGGTGCAAAGATGGAATAGAAATATCATGATGTGAAAGCCAATCGCATGCTAGAAGTTACACTGCCTACTTACAAGACCTGGATAAACGTGCAATAAACAAGAGGTTCTAGAAGATGACATCCGTATCTTCTTGCTCTCCGAGTACGTCCGGAGCGTCAGGGGCTTCCTCCTCCGGTTTGGCCTTGGTGTCGCCCTGGGCGATTGCTTCGGCAGCTTCCTGTTCACGGCGAGCCAAGAGCTCGGCATCCGCGGCTGCGACGTCGCGCTGTTTCTTACCCGAAACTTTCTTGAGTCGATAGAATTCCTCTCTGTCGAGCTCGTCGAGCTCCGAGTTGATATCTGTGTGGAGTCAGCGTGGTTGGGTGACAACAGGCGCGGCGTGTCTTACACTTGATGGTGTTTTCTGTCCGGGGGATAATGACATGCTCACTGCGTGATATTAGTAGAAGATAGAGCCTAGGGCTTTGTTTGTCTCTTACATCGCATTTACTGTGTTACGTTAGTATATGAGCCCGTCATTTGGGGTAGTTGAAACTCACCTCGTCGGTTGACGACCTTGATGACCTCATCCAGGATAACGAACGCAGTCTGATAGCATCAGCATATGAAAGATCAATCCAGTCGCTAACCACATACCTGCAAACTGGCCAACTCTACCAGCGTCTCAACGGCCCGGGCATACGTCTCCCGGCAGCGCTGTACTTGTTGACCACCCTTTCCTAGACCCGTCAACCCAAAGTCGTTGATCCCCTCTTCCGTGTAGCTCTCAAAGTGAGGCAGGAAGACACCGGATACGTTCTCCTGCTTGGCTCGGACGCGGAAGCGAGCCTGCTTGGCGGATTCTTGGACCTGGTAGCCGATATCTCCTCCAACCGCGTAGCTCACTTCGGCCAGCGAGAAAGCCGCAATCTGCATTACCCGTCCCATCTTCTGTTTGGCTTCATCGATCCGTCGTGTGATCTCTGGTTTGACGACGTCAGTGTCGGGAATGCGATGCGGGGGGGGCCTTAGACGTCATGTTGCCATACCTCGGAAGCGTCTAGGGGCGGTGGAAGTTAGCACAGGGACGACCAAGGGAAGTACAATGGAGATACCTACTTTGTCAAGGCTTCACTTTTCCTTTTGAGTAAACTGTGTCCGACTTCTGCACCCTTCAACTTGCTCTTCATCAACCCCAACGACTGGCGAGTCGGGAAGACTGGCTCACGGCCCTATCATGACGGAACGTTAACATGTTGTTTTGTAAACTGGAAGACAAGATCAAGAGCGAAAGAATGGATAACATACCGCGGCACCAGACATGACTGCGAAATATTATAGAAAGTTGTCTGTCGGTCAGAGGCAGATGCATGATTGGCGATAGGCGATAACCAGCTGGAGGGGAGGAGCTTGGACCACCTCTGTCCGTTCCCGCCGCCAGGTCACGTGCGCGCCGTTCAACCTTCCATGTCTTAATGGTGGCGCTTGGCGGCTTTTGCTTCATCCCCGACGACGAGAGCTTTCTCCCGTTCATGCCACCACCTTTTCACTCGATTCCGTCTTGACCGTGCGAGCCGGTCCCGCTCAACTGAGTGGCGCCATGCCAGGGACACTTTTGCCCCCGAGATCCCACCGGCAACACGCACAGATGGACCGAACGTCGGCCTCAGGGCCTGATCTGTATTTGATTGTGAGGAGATCTTGACGCGATTTGATGAAACGGGGCTAATATATTGTGTTTTTGCAATGACAGGCCGACCAGGACACTGTGTACGAGCAGGATCTGCTTCGGGATGCCGGCAGCGTTAAGCCATGGCTTGCCTACATCGAGTACAAGCAGCAACATGGAACGCTTTACGAACAGGCCTTTGTATGTTTCCGAACGTGGTTTTTCGATCGGATTATTTTACTGACTTGTAATAGGTGATGGAGCGCGCGTGCAAACAACTCCCGCGGTCTTACAAGCTCTGGAAGATGGTAGGTGTTCGGGTTTCTCTTTTCTTTATAAGCCTGGGTTCTGCATGGCGGCACCTTGGTTTTACAATATTTGGAATGATTGCTAACCGATACAGTATCTGGAATTTCGAGTGAACCATCTTCGCGGCCGCAATGCGACTATCTATAAGTCGGAGTATCAGAAAGTCAACGCGCTCTTCGAACGGGCGTTGATCCTTCTCAACAAAATGCCCCGGATATGGGAAATGTACCTCGCTTTCATGCTGCAGCAACCGATTATCACGCAAACCCGACGGACCTTCGATTGTGCGCTGCGAGCCCTCCCGATTACTCAACATAATCGAATCTGGAAGTTGTACAAGAAGTTCGCTCGGTCCGCTTCGGGTCAGACTGCCGTGAAGATTTGGGCGCGTTATATGCAGATTCATCCGGAGAACGCGGAGGAGTACATCCACCTCTTGGTGGAGATGGGTCAATACACGGAAGCCGTGAAGAAGTACATGGATATCCTTGATAACCCCCGGTTCCAGTCCAAAGAGGGGAAGAGCAACTTCCAGCTGTGGACTGAGATGGTTGACCTCTTAGTCTCGAAGGCGAAGCAGATCAAGACCGGGCCCCAGGTCGGTATCGACGTGGATGCAATTTTGCGCAGCGGAATTGAGCGGTTCGCGGATCAGAGAGGTAAACTGTGGGCCGGGTTAGCGACTTATTGGATCATGAAGGGCAGCTTTGAAAAGGCCCGAGATGTCTTCGAGGAAGGCATTATCACCGTCATGACTGTGCGCGACTTTACCCTTATATTCGATTCCTACGTTGAATTTGAGGAATCCATCATCGGAAGTTTGATGGAAGCCGCGGCCGTTCGAGCAGAGAACAACCAGTCTGACGAAGAGGCTGACTTCGACCTTGATCTTCGAATGCTCAGGTTTGAACAGCTGATGGACCGTCGCCCGTTCCTTGTCAATGACGTTCTGTTGAGGCAAAACCCTAACAACGTCATTGAATGGGAGAAGAGAGTGGCTTTGTGGGGTGACAACAAAGATGAAGTCGTCCAAACTTACACGGCCGCAATCGCAGCCATCAACCCGAAGAAGGCCCACGGGAAGTTTTCAGAACTCTGGGTCAACTACGCCAAGTTCTACGAAACCGGTGGAGACCTGGACTCCGCACGGGTTATCTTTGAGAAGGCTGTCAAGGTGCCTCTTAAGTCTGTTGTTGAACTGGCCGAGACCTGGTGTGAATGGGCCGAAATGGAACTCCGCAACGAGAACTTTGATCAGGCAGTGCAAGTGATGGCCAAGGCGACCCAGGCCCCCAAGAAGTCCACCGTGGATTACTTTGACGAGGACCTTTCGCCTCAGCAACGAGTCCACAAGAGTTGGAAGCTATGGAGTTTCTACGTCGATCTGGTGGAGAGCGTCTCGTCCCTGGAAGAAACGAAGAAAGTGTACGAGAGGATCTTCGAGCTGCGCATCGCCACGCCGCAGACGGTGGTCAACTACGCCAATCTCATGGAGGAACACAAGTACTTCGAGGAATCGTTCAAGATTTATGAGCGTGGCCTGGATCTCTTCAGCTATCCCGTGGCCTTTGAACTTTGGAACCTTTACCTGACCAAGGCCGTGGACCGGAAGATTGGCATCGAAAGACTGCGGGATCTCTTTGAACAGGCCCTCGACGGATGTCCTCCCAAGTTCGCCAAGCCGCTCTACCTGATGTACGGCAATTTGGAGGAAGAGCGCGGTCTGGCTCGACATGCCATGAGAATCTACGAGCGGGCCACTCGTGCAGTCTCCGACGAGGACCGGTTCGAGATGTTCGAGTTCTACATCACCAAATCCGCTTCCAACTTCGGCCTCACTTCCACGCGGCCGATCTACGAGCGTGCTATTGCCGCGTTGCCCGACCAGGAAGCCAAGGAAATGTGTCTCAAATTCGCCGAGATGGAGAGAAGACTGGGCGAAATCGACCGAGCGCGTGCCATCTACGGCCATGCGTCCCAGTTCTGCGACCCGCGCACCAACGCCGTATTCTGGCAGAAGTGGGAGGCGTTCGAAGTGCAGCACGGAAACGAAGACACCTTCAAGGAGATGCTCCGCATCAAGCGAAGCGTCCAAGCACAGTACAAGTATGTTACCCACACCCTTATTCGCACATGTTACCCCCATTATAGGAACCCAGCTAATACCACTACCAATCCAGCACGGACGTCAACTTCATCGCCTCCCAAGCCATCGCGCGCAGTCAGCAGCGAACCCAAGAAGGCGGCGCCGAAACAGAAGACACGGAGGGCTCGACCGAGAAAGCCGACGCCATGGCCGCCCTGGAGCGACAGGCGCGCGCACCGGTCGGCTTCGTCGCGGCCAGCACGGGGCCCGAAGGCGGCAACCGTCCTCCTCCAGCGGGTCAAGAGCCAACAGCGGCTCCCGCGGCCAACCCGGATGCTATTGACCTCGACGCTGACATGGATGCGGACTGAGGTAGAAATTTCCTGTCTTGATATGAGGATAAATGGTTATTTTATTCTGTCTTATTCCTTGGCCTGAACATTGGCCGATGTACACCGATCAGTTCTTTTTTCCTTTTCTTTTATCTTTTTCCATGAGTTGGTTCTGACAGGACCCGAAGGGTATTCAGATATGGGTTCTCTCTTTTGTTACTTTTTTTTTACTATCCACTATTTGTGTGATCTTGTCTCGTCTCGTCTTGTCTTGATTTGTCTGTGGCTGTGCAATACCTGGCGTTGTGCATAGGCATCTATCTATCTATCTTCTACTTTACTTTACTCTACCTTTACTTACTTCTATCTCCAATCTGCTTGAATGAACTCACCGCTTAGTTTGGACTGAACTTCGCCGTCCTTGAATAATTTTCTGATCTGGATTGATGATAGGTATGTGTAGGGTATAAAGTACTAGGGTTGATATTCTTGGAGTCCTACCCACCCAACTCAGTCCCAGTAACCTTGGTACATCAAGCCAGTCCTTGTGTGATAGTTGACTGACTATACATACTCAGTTCAACCCGCTCAAATAAACATCTATCAATAAGGTACATTCTACCAACAGTATGATATGATATCAAAGAACAACAAATGCATCAATTCAATTCAATTCAATCGTTTGAGTTCTTAATGCATAAAGTGTAAAGAATGAGTGAAGAAGATGAGATGGGACACTGGAGAACTAAATATAACGAACTATCTATTTACATATACATATGTGCTGTCTACTCTCGAAAGAAGAAACAACAAACAACAAACAGACAACAAACAAGAAAATGTAGAAAACAGAATGGAAAGAATGTAAAAAAAAAATTAAGGGGAAAAAATTGCATACGCCGTGTATATGCCCCAGGTATATCATATCACAAAAAAGGATCAGATGGTAATGTAATGTTCGACGGGGTTGTGTTGGTTGGATTGGATTGGATTAGTTCGTGGGTTGGATTTCGTTTTCCTTTTCGCCTTCTGTCGACTCCTGCTTCTCCTCCTGCTGCTCCTCCTCCTCTTGTTGTTGAGGTTCAGAGGTTTGTGCTTCTTCTGCAGGGGCTCCCTCTTTAGATGGTGGCTCCTCTGAAGCCGAAGCCGAAGCCGAAGCCGAAGCCGAAGCCGAAGCCTCAGGCGCAGGGGAAGGCGCGGGAGAAGGAATCCTCGAGGCAGGAAGCGGCAGATCCTTAGGAGCCTGGGCGAAGATTTCCTGGAAGAGGTCTGGGAGGAAACGCTCGAGGCGTTTCTTGGTTTCAGTCCACATCTGCTCCTTGCTGGGGTCTTGGGAGGGCGGGACGAGGTAGCCGCCGTCGGCCATGACGAGGAGGACGTTCTTGAGACTTTCGGGGATGGCCTCCTCCTGGTTTTGGGTTAGCATGGGTTGTCTGGTGCATTAAAGGGGAGATTGGTAGAATGGGGTGAAAGACGTACCAGGCTGTCGCCCTGACCGCTGTTCATCATGCGGTCTAGGATATCGAGGATCTTAAGCCAGAGATCGAGCATGCCGGCCCGGTTGGGGTGTTGGTCGAGGTAGCGGAGGAAGATCTTGCAGACTAGGGTTGCGGCTTGGACGCGGGTTTCACTCATTCCGACAGGGTCGGAGTGGTACACCTCGGGCTTGAGCAAGCGTAGGACCAGCGGGAAGAGAACCTGGTCGAAGATGGCTGTCCATTCTTTGTCGTCCGTGGAGCTGATCTCGATTGACAGGAGGGACCGCTGGAGGGTGGACACGGCGTGGTGCCGAATGTCTCGACAGGGATTGGTACATTGAGAGGTCAGAGTGTGGAGGACGGGCGACCAGTAGGCGGACCACGCTATGGAGTGTTAGTGGCATCGTCGAGGGGCTTAGAGCCAATGGGAGTAAGGCAGAGGGAAATGTCAATGCGAACCTTCGTTCTTTTCCAGGTGAGACTGCTGGATCAATGCCGGAACCCGCCCGGTGAGACGGTAGATAAGACCGATCGCCTTCAGACCACGCGATACAATCTCATTATCCCTGCGGAACCGTTAATCATTGGAAACTTTTCAAGGGACGAGGGGAAAACGAACTTCGACTTCGACTGCTTGGCACCCTTCCGACGGGGCATCGCATCATGATGCCGCTCATCAACAGACCCCACACTGCCAGCGCTGATAAAATCATTCGCCAGAGCGACCGCAGACTCGTAATTGTCGGCCGTCACGATGGCGGGAGCCGCGTCCACGATCAGCTGGAGGAGCTCAAAGACCAGAGGCGCGGCTTCTTTGTGCTGGTGCAATCTCTGCAGGATGGACCAGAAATCCGGAGAGATCGTGATCTCGTTCCGCAGGGGTTCGGGATTCGCGATGCACCGGGTGAGGCCTTGGACGATGGGCACGGCTACGCTTTCGAGAATGTCCTGGTCGAAGCCCGAGATGTTGTGGAGGATGACGGGGACGCGCATGAAGGGTTGATCCTAGGGATGTGAGAAAAAAAAAAAAAAAAAGAAAAAGAAAAAGAAAAAGAAAATAGAGGGGATAACATACATGGCTCAAACGCAGCAGGTTGAGCAAGTAAGAGACCACACGCGACAAGGCGAGGGAGTGCAGATTCCGGGCTCCCCGGATGAATGCCTGCAAGGCCGCCAAGAGCCGCTCGCCCATCGCTTCCAGGGTCGCCCGGTCGCGCAGGGTCAGAATGGTGGCCAACTCGAGCAGGTAGATCATGCCCGGGTCGTAGGCCGTGCGGGAATCGTGGAGCGGACCGCGGGCGCCGCGGGTGGGGGCCGGTCGTTCGGGCTTGACGACGATGACGGCCGGTGTGCTCTCCTCGGGCAGCATCGCGAGCAGCGACTCGACCAGGGGCCCGACGGCCTCCAGGGGCAGGGACTGGAGATGGCCGACGACGTCGGGGATGGCACACGCGGTCACGCAGTCGACCGTGCAGAGGGTGTTGTCCAGCTCCTCGTCGGACGGCTCCGGCGGATCGTCGGCGGCGTAGCTGGACAGGTAGGAGGTGAAGGCCGACAGCAGGCCCGACTCGGTCGGTTTCCCGTCGCGGTCGACGACCTGGGAGGCCGGCTGGAGCGGGATGGCGGGGAGAGCCAGCGGCGCGGTGAGATCCCCGCCCCAGGCGGGGATGAGGGAGTTGACGAACAGGTTGCGGAGGATCTGGTGGACGGGGCCCCAGCTGTCGCGGACGACGGACTCGTTGCCGGCCAGGACGCGGAAGAGGACGACGGTGGCGAGCTGGGCGCGGAAGTCGCGGCCGAACTTGACGGCCAGCTCGCTGACCATGACGCGCTTCTGCTGGTCGACCTGGACCTCGGTGTTGAGGGCGGTGCTGGGGGGCACGTCGGTGGCCAGGGTGCTGATGGTGGCGAGACAGTCGACGATGCGGTCAAAGGCGTCGGACAGGCGGTAGCGGGCGGCGATCTGGGCGCACTGGTCGAAGCCCATGACGACGCGGGCGTAGACGGCGTCGTCGGAGGCGGACATGAAGACGTAGGCCAGGGTGGCGACGACGGGGCGCCAGGTGGCGGCGAACATGTCGGCGTCGTAGCGGTTGGTGGCCTCGCCGGGGACGGCCAGCTCGCCGGCGGAGGCGGACTTGCGCAGGAGTTCGCGCCAGGCGAAGTCGAAGGCGTGCTGGTTGTCGTGTTCGTCGGGCAGGATGATCTCGTCGTGGCGGATGGAGTCGTAGATCTCCTGCAGGAACTCCGGGGCGAAGTCCTGGCCGGCGTTGACGCCGCGCAGGTTGCGGGAGAAGTCGGCGCAGGACATGCGGTTCTGCGACTTGATGTTGGGGTTGTAGAGCTCGGTGTTGAGCATGATGATGCCGTAGGTCAGGACGAAGAGGGCGTCCTTGTCGGCGACGCCGGTGGGTTGGGCCTTCTGCATGTACTTGTCGGTGAAGGTGGTGACGATGCGCTCGATGAGGGGGGACTCGCCGGGGAGCCGGAAGGAGCCGAGGAGGTCGCGCAGGGCGTCGACGACGGTCTTGCCGGCAAAGTCGAAGCGGTCGACGAAGGCGTCGAGGAGGGCCTCGTTGGAGCGCTTGGACAGGAAGTCGCCGAGGACCTTCTTGGAGACGCGGGAGGTGCCGTGGAGGAAGTGGGCGACGCGGGCGGGGTCGTCGGGGTCGGCGATGACGCCGCGGGCGGCGAGGTAGGCGATGCCGGCCTTGGGGTCCTCGTTGAACTTCTGGGCGCCGTGGATGATGGTCTGCTTGGTGCGGCGCTGGTCGCGCAGGGCGTCGGGGGCGGGGACGCCGGCGGGGGGGTGGCCGGCGGGGTCGTCGGGGACGTCCTCGAGGCGGTCGTAGACGAACTGGACGTAGCCGAGCAGGGCGTCGAGGCAGAGGGGCGGGACGTTGGTGGTGCTCCAGGTGGCGGAGTCCGGGAAGGCGCTGCGGGAGAGGAGGCCGACGAGGTCGGCGCAGAGGTCGGCGCGGTCGACGTCGCAGTCGTAGTTGACGAAGAGCTCGACCATGAAGCTGGGGATGCGGGCGAGGACGCCGATGCTCTCGACCATGGCCTCGCGGGTCTCGGGACGACGGGCGCCACCCTCGAGGCCGAGTTTCTGGCGGTCCTTGACGGGGACCGGGGTGGAGCGGCCGCTCGTGGAGGACGGGGAGGCGGGCGGCGGGGGTTTGACGAGGCTGGGGGCCTGGGGGACGCCGTCGTAGAGGGCGGGGTCGATGCCGGGCTCGCGGGGGATGTCGACGCGGGGGTGGAGGCAGGCGACGAGGTAAGAGAGGTAGAGCTCCTGCTGGAGCTTGAGGACGGGGCGGCCGGTGAGGAGCAGGGTGCCAGTGACGCGGAGGGAGCCGGCGAGGAGGGCGAGGTTCTCGGAGCGGACGAGCTGGAAGAGATGACGGCAGAGGTCGTTCTGGGCCAGGGCGGCCAGGGAGGGGTGCCGCGCGATGGCGGGGCCGGCGACCTCGAGGGCGACGTCGAGGATGCGCAGGGCCATGACGCGCATGGGGTCGGTGTGCTGGCGATTGTGGGGGTCGAGGAGATCGATGAGGACGCGGAAGAGCTCGCGGATGGAGGGGAGGCCGTAAGGATGGACGACGCCGGCGGGCTCGTCGTGGGGACGGGTGGTGGGGGCCGGGGCGGCGGCAGCAGCAGCAGCAGCAGCATTGGGATCGGCCGGTCCGTCGTCGGCGCTGGAGCGGTCGCGGTCGGGGACGGCGGCGTCGGCGCCCATGGCGGAGGGATGTTGGGAGGCGACGGAGTCCCCGTCGACGGAGGGGTCCATCTTGAGGAAGGGGGCGACGGCGGAGTGGGCCAGGGGATCGAGGAGGCCGGCCGGGGCCGGGTGGGCGGGGGGCAAGCGGGACAGGCGCATGAAGATGACCTGACACATATTGACCATGGCCATCTCGGCGGAACGACGGAGGACCTCGGAGAGGCGGACCTGACAGCACATGCTGAGACCGGTCTCCATCATCTCACAGACGCTCTCGTCGCCCAGGAGGTCGCCCTCGGGGCGGGCGAGGACGCCCTCCATGAGTTTGAGGATGCGCAGGAGGACGATCTCGTCGGCGGCGGAGTCGCTGGCCTCGAAGCGGCAGTGCGTGATGGCGGCGGAGAGGAGCTGCAGGGCGAGGGAGAGGCGGGGGGAGTCGGGGTGGATGATATTGTAGGCGAAGAACTTGGTGAGGGCGACGAGGGCGAGGGAGGTGATGGCGGCGGAGGTGGAGGAGGAGCGGACGACCTGGAGGAAAGGATGGAGGAGGGCGGGGGCGTCGACGGCGCGAATGTCCCGGCAATCTTTCAAGTCGGCGCGCAGGCGTGTGAAGGCGGAGATGAGGGGATTGTCCTGCATGCTCTTGCCCTTCTTCCCGCGGAGACCCCAGCGGTTGGCGAGGGGGAGGTTGTCGGGGGTGGCCGCTCCTTCATAACGAGGACTGGGGGGGTTGGAGAGACGGGAGGAGACACCCGAGGCGCCGAGGATCGCCGCGACGGAGGAATGAGCCCATCGATTATGCTTGCGCATGGCCGAGGTGACGGTGATGCATTCTGAGATGACGAAGGCGACGGGGTCGACGGCGAGGGAGGTGTGGGGAGGATTGGGAGACATGATGAGAAGGAAGAACGAACGACAGGCCCTGAGGGAACTCAGGGCATTCTATAGAAGAGAGGGAGGGAGGGAGGGAGGTAAGGGAAAGAGAAGAAGAAGAGAGAGATGGAAAGTGAGGTTGAAGTTGGAGAGAAAGATGGAGAGAAACTAAACAGCTGGTCTTCTGAGGCCCGATCGGGTTAGCGTGGCATGTTACTCATCTTGTTTATACATACTTTATGTTTAAGACTACTTCTACATATCAATAGTCAATACTTAACTAGTAATTATCATGATAGTATTGAACCATTCAGGTAGTTTATTATTTATATTTCTGACCTCTGGTCAATCAGTGAAGTACTCCGGTCGATGATGGGTCGGGGTGTGCCTGAGGCGGTGAGGGCCAGATCCGGAGTAAACAAACAACTGGATTCGAATCTCCTTGCAGGTGCTGGTATATTGATTCTCTGATGTTGATATTATCTCTCTATATTTGTTTGGTGGATGTACTTCTGTGGATCAGATCTGGAATGAGAGATCGAATGAAATGATTGAAGAAGAGAGAAATATAGACCAATATAGAGAGAGATTAATCAATCACGACTCATTCTCCCCTCTTTTCCTCAGCCTTACTTCTCTTCTTCTCTTCTCTTCTCTTCTTCTGTCACATCTCTCTTCTCTTCTTCTCTTCTTCTTCTCTATCTCTCATTACGTTCTTTCTTCTTCTTCCACTCTGTCTTGTCCCTCGTTGTGATTCTTTCGTTTGATCTCCCCCGGAATCCCATGCGAGGATCAGCCTTCCTCTGTGGGTCCTGCATTCTTACTATTCTTATCTTTCCTTCTTCTTCTTCTTCTTCTTCTTCTCTCTCTCTCCACCACTACTTTCATCTCTCCACCACTCTGATATCATGAGGTTGATCTCGCCTTGATTATGTCGTCCTGTCTTGGGTTCCTGGATAGCTCGTCTCTCCCTTTCCCTCACTGACTCTTACTCTCTCTCTTACTCTCTCTCACTCTCTCTCTTACTCTCTCTTACTCTCTTACTCTCTCTCTTTCTATCCATCTATCTCTTTCTCTCTTCCATTCAGTCAATCCCGTCACTCCTTCCTAAACAGCTCTTTTGTCAACATCACCACCTCCTCCACCATGGCGACCTCGAACCTCCCTCCCGACCTCCCCTGGGACCAACTCACCCTCTACCACACCTCCGATCCTTACCTCTCCTCCATCTTCGTCTTCTACGGTCCCGTCACCACCGCCAATGCCACCGTCAGCTCCTCCCGCATTCAGGCGCACATCCTCACCCCCGCCGGCTGCCATTCCTATCCCCGCATCACCGTCTCCCCCGCCGCTCCCCTCTACGCCGCCGTCCACCATCTGCCTCGCGACAAGCAAGGCGACGAGGTCGCTCGCGGCCTCGCCGTTGCCATGCTCAAATATTTCGCCGATCTCCCCAATCCCGCCCGTGATGCCCTCCAGGCGGTCGCCCGCGCCGCCCGCCCCGCCGACCCTCTCCCCAAACTCTTCGATGAGATGCACGCCGCCGACCTCGCCCATCGCTTAACACCCCTCGACCAGACCCCCGAGATTGTCCGCGACCTTCGCGCCGCCTTCCAAGAACGCTCCGTCCCTTGGGTCGACCTCGACGTCGTTCTTCCCGCCGGATCCATTCAACCCCCGCCCTCCTCCTCCTCCTCCCCCGACGATCACGATGACGACGACGACGACGACGGTCTCGACTGCGACGGTCCCCCCGATCTACAATACGGTCCCTATACCCCCCTCATACGCGCCCTCGGCCCTCCCATCTTCCTGCCTACCGCCCGCCTCAAACGCGCCCCCTCCCAGTCCACCAACCTCAGTCGCTCCAAGGTCTTCTCCCCCGCCCAGAAGCAGGCCCTGCGCATGACCATGTGTGAGTTCGTCGACACCGAGGAGCGATACGTCAACAAACTCTATACCCTCGTCCGCTCCGTCGCCGAGGAGTTCCACCGCAAGGCCAACGCCCGGCCCCCCTCCAGCACCAGTCCCGATGCCGCCGACCTCGCCCGTCTCTTCCCCCCCTGTCTCCATGACATCCTCGAGCTACACCTAGGCTTCCTGGACGTCATCCGCCAGGTCCTCGAAACCACCGAGCCCGACGCCATCGACGACCTCACCCAGGACACCGACCTCTCCTCCTCACTCGCCCGCCGCTCCGCACGCGACGGCCCGGACCGCATCGGTGCCGTCGCCTTCGCCGCCGCCCTCGTCGATTGGTTCCCCCGCTTTGCCGAGCCCTACGCCGCCTACCTGCGCGCCCACACCGGCTTCACGCAGACCCTCAACACCTTCCTCCAGGACAAGCAGTCCAGCTTCACCCGCCGCGTGCAGGACACCGGCGAGCAGCTGCTCCGCTCCCTCCTCATGGAACCCGTCCAGCGCCTCCCCCGCTACAGTCTCCTCATCGACACCATGACCGGCAGTCTGCCCCTCCTCCACCCCGCCGTCCGTCCCTTGCTCCAAGCCCGCGACGTCGTCACCGACATCTGCGCCCTGGACGACGCCGTGTCCGCCAGCCCGGACCGCGGCTTCCAGCGCTTGTCCGCCGCCCTGGTCGACGGCTGGCCCGCCGCCACCATCCGTCCCGCCGGCCGACTGGTCACGGCCATCGACGTCCACACCCTCGCCCCGCCCTACCACCGGGATCGCCTCCCCTCCACCGCCGACCCCGGCCCGTTGGGTATCCTGCTGGTCTACCAGAACGCCCTCGTCCTGCTCGCCAAGGGGCCCGGCACCCCGATCACCGCGCGGGGTCTGGCCACCGAGTTGGACAGCGCCGCCTCCGCCACCGCCGGTCCCGCCAGCCCCACCACCGCGCGCGCCCTCCAGGTGATCCAGGTCTACCCCCTCCGCCGCGTGCGCTGCACCCAGTCGACCTGCGGCCGCATCCTGTTCCTGGCCGCACCGTCCACTCCCGGGCTCCACGCCCTCGAACCGACGGCCATGTACGAGGGGCGCGCCGGCCGCGTCATCGAGGAGATCGTCAAGGCCCAGATCGCCGGTCGCTTCCCCGAGCGGGAGCGCGAGGACGGGAAGTGGACCCTGCGGAGCCCCACGGGCACGGTGGGCAACCTCGGCATCCTGGCTTGCGTCGTGGAGGACGCGCCGGAAACCCCGCGCCCCGCCTCCGCCCCGATCCGGCTGGTCATCGACCCTGCGCGCTCGGCAGGCGGTCCTGCGTTGGGCTCGCCCGGTCTAGAGGTGCTCCTGTCGGTGACGCCCTTGGCCGAGGACCAGTTTCGCCTGGATCTGGACTCTATCGTCGGCCAGCGCTCCTCGGATATCGTCACCGCGGAGAGCTTTGTGCCCGTCCTGTCCAAGCGCCGTGAGTGCCCCCTCATCCGTCAAGATGGTCCACGTTGACTAACCCCCCCTTCCCCCCCAGTATCCCACGTCCTCTCGCCCTTACACGGCCCCCAAAACCGGACCATGGCCGAATCCATCATCCACGCCAACCTAAACATCATCCGCGATCTATCCAGCTACTTCCTCGCCCCCGCCGCCAAGGCCTCCAAGAGCTTCCGTCCCCCGTCCCCCTCCAAGCTACTATCCAGCCTCCTGGGCAGTGGCCCGACCGGCGCCAAAGGGCTCGGTGACGTCCCCAAGATGCCCCCGCCGCGCGGCCACCTGTCGCGGTCCAACACCTTGCCCTCCGTCTTCCCCGGCAAGGAGGAGGAGAGACGGGAGGACCGGACGGACGCGACGCCCCCCAAGGTGTCCGTGGTCGGCTCGGACTCCGGCCCAGGTCCCGAGAGTACGTTGCCGGCGCTGGAACGGGCGTTCGCCGCTTATGCGCTAGCCCTGCAATCACGCAGCGGGAACATCGTCGGACGCACCCTGCGCGCGCGCGACGGCGTGGATCGGTCGGCGGTCAACGAACTCTACAATGTCCTGCTCGAGGATCCCGGAAAACTCCAGGCGGCGGCCGAAGTCCCCGTCGACACCCTGTTCGTGGCCTTTGAAACCTTCATGGCCAACGCGTGGAGCGAGCAGATGGGTCCCGTCTTGGATCCCGCGTCCCTGGCCCTCCTCCAGGGTCATTTCGACACCATGTTCCCGCGCGACTTTGACGAGAGCTTCCGCCGGTTCCTGTCCGAGATGAGCCCCCAGAATTGCCGCGCCCTGGCCGCCCTGGTGCGACTCCTCGCCGATCTCCTCGACGCGTCCGGCAACGACGGCGACCGCGGCGCGTTGACCGCCGTCTTTGCCGAGGTGCTGACCACCGAGGGCGACCCGATGCACCACGTCTCCCTTCTGGACCGCCTGGTCGACGACTTTGACCATCTCTTTGAGGAGGTCACCCCCGACGGCGCCTCCCTGGAGGCGATCCTGAGCGGCGATCCGACCCCGTCCGCCGCGCACAACCGCGGCTCGGTGAGTTCCACCACCTCCTCGTTTCGGAAGCGCTTTGGCTTTAGCCTCCACCGGGACAGCTCGAAGGCGGCCGACGGCGAGAGCAAGGTCTCGTCCATCTTACGGACCCTCAGCAAGAGCAAAGGCTCCCTCGCCGGAGACTCCGAGCCGGGGACGCCCAAGGGGTCCCTCCTGCGGTCGAAATCGATCGACGTGGATGCGGGGCTGGCGTATCTCCTGCGACCCGGCTCGCGCGATCGGTTGGGCACCTCGTCCTCGCAGGAGCATTTCCACCGGCCGGCCAGCGCGCAGGAGGACACGGCCTCCGTCTCCTCGGTCCGGGGCCTCGGCGGGGTGAAGGTGCGCCGGAAACGGAGGAGTTCCCTCTCTGATTTGAGACCGGGGACGGCATCGTCGGAGGTGTCAACCACGTCCACGAGCCACGCCGCCCGGCCCGCGACCCCGGCATCGTCCGCCAGTCACTCGCGGTCCGACGGGGTGACACCGACCAAGCCACCGCGACCCCAGTCCCGTCACGGGGAGCCCACCGTGCGAAGCACCTCACCGCAGAAGAGTGGCTCCCCATCTCTGGTTTCCCGGTCGCCCACTCGTCCCGTCACCCCGAGCCGGAAAGAGAACATCGACCCGAAGTTTCTGCCCACCGACCGCTCTCCACGGAAGAAGAAGGATGCATCCGAGTCCCCCCAGGAGCCGAAACGACGGAGTCGGGCGACGAGCATTCCCGCGCGGAACCCTGGGTTAAAGGAGCGACCTGTTCCGGTCAATGGATCTGATGTGAAGCGGCCGACGTCGTCGTTATCATCACCTCCAAAGCCGCAGAAACTGCGGATGCAGAGTCCGCAAAAGGTAAACTCCTTTCTTTCTTACTATCGAGCGATGACTGACTGGGATTGTAATAGCTCCGGGATCGCTTGCAGAGCGAGAAGCGGGCCCAAAACCTGGCCCAGCTGGGGCTGAAGGACGAACTGGATCTGATTGGTGAGGAATTGCAGTCGTTGAAGCTCGCATCCTCCCAGCCGGGGAAGTCGATGCGGTCCAGCCCGGAGCATTTAGGAGAGCCGTTCGCTCCTCAGTCCAACACTGCCCTGATCACACGCATGCGGAATTTGGAAACAAAGTTCGACGCCTTTTCAGGAGAGTTCCACGGACGAACATCCTCCATCGAACGAGACCTGGAGTCAACCCTGGTAGTCAGCGAAAAGCGTGTCAAAAAACTCGACGAGCTATACCGGGAGGCCAGCGCCGAAAATGAAGCACTCTACGACCGGTTCAACTCGGAACTCAGCAAAGTAGCCAAGGACGCCCGATCTGGGAACGTGGACGATGCGCTCAGCTCGCAGCTGTCTGCAGCTCTTGAGGAGGTCGGAAGACTCAAGAAGGAGAATTTCCGACTTAAACGAGAGGTTGGAGGGCTTCGTGCTCAACAAGCTGCTGTGGCGTTGTTGAAAGCGGGTGAATAATCCTTCCATCCTTCATTCTTTCTTTTCATTTTGGTTTTTATGTCGCAATGCGCTAGACCATGGGCGTTGATGAGACGATGCTTTACTGAACTAAACCGTGGACATCCCTTACCTTTCCTTTCTTTCTCTCTCTTTTCTCAATGTCCACCGACTTACAGCTTATCCATTTTATTGATTGTACATGTCCAAAGATTGATGGTCCTGACGCCGTTAATGCACCATGTCCCTGATCTTTCCTTCCCTCCTGATACTATCTTTCCTACCATGTTTTTTTCCTTTCTATTTCACCTACAACTGCGTAATTCCTGCATACAAGGGGTTGATTCTGTTTGGGCAGATTTGGTCACATGCATCAGCATCGGTAGCCTTGAGCCATGTCTTTACTTTCTTTCCTGATTTACTTTCTCTTCTTGAATTTCCTATTCTAAGTGTATGTTATTGTAAAGATTAAATCAACTTATTCTATTAATTTTAATCCAATAGTAGTCCCCATTCCCTTTCCCTCTATATTGATTATGATACACTATTGACCGATCGACTGACTGACAGGTTCATCCATCGATAACTCCACCACCCATAATCTCAACAACCTCCCCATCAATACTCTTAAACATCCACTCCCACCGAATCCGGTACCCACCCAATACTTCCCTTGAACCGGGCCCAGGACCAGGAGTGAGACACAATGTCTCAAGCGTAGGCAGCGCCAGCGGGATCTGCTGGTTTCCGCTGGACTTTTCTTCGAGGACTAACACAGGAAGCGTGAATCGTGTTTGGGCGGGGGCGTTGCGGGAGAGGGTGGTTAGAGTTGATTTGTGGTTGTTGTTGTTGTCTTTGTTTGGGGGTTGTTTTGGGGGTGTGGGTGTGGGTGTGGGTGTATTTTGTGGAGATGATGTTGGAGTTGAGGTTGAGGTAGGAGGAGGGGAGGAGGTAGAAGTTGAAGGGGTAGGGGTAGTCTTTCGCAAATACTCCAAATCAGACTGTTGGAGGGGTCGGAGGGTGAGGGATACAAAGTTTGGTTGTTCTGCTGTTGGGCTTGATGATGCTTTGGTGTTTAATGATGGAAGGGGAGAGAACGATGCTTTGGTGTCTGTTTGGGATCGTGAAGAAGACTGTGGTGAAGATGAGGTTGATGAGAGTGTAGAGCCCATATCAGGAACCAAGGCGAATCGAAACCAGTACCTGTTATCCCATAGTTGCCAGGGGGTGTAGTTTGATTCTTGGTTTTGGTTCGGGCCTTGCTTCTTTTGTTGGTCTGGCGGAGAGGAAGAGGAAGAGGAAGGGGAAGAAGGAGAAGAAATAGAAATGTCGAAGGAAAGGGTAGGAAGACGATGCCTCATAAAAGGCTGACGGGACACAAGCCATGTATTATCCCACTCTCTATCCCCCTTCTGAGAAACAGGCTTGAATAAAACACCTCCCAAGGTAAAGGCCTGCTTTTGCCTCTCCTGCTGTGGTTGAGAAGTAGAAGGAAACACACGATCAATGAATTTCTCAAACCCCCTCAGAGAAAAGTGATTATCCGGGAACGGGGACAGAATCTCAGTGATGCGACGGAGAGAGAGGGCTTGAATCTGGCGAATGCGCTGGGTTGAATCCCGTCCATTTGTGGAGTGGATATGTTCATCTAGAGATGCCTCCGATGGAAATTTGACCGTCATCGTGCCTGCATTAAGTTTCAACTCCAGAATCCTACACTCTCGCAGCAGTAGATTCGAAAGACGGGTCGAATCGCGAAGCAAGCCCTGACTCGCTTTGATCAAGGAGAGAATGGATGGCGGCTGTAACGCGCGCGGGAGCCAATTCTCCGTGAGAAGACTGCGAATAGCGTTTCGGGGAGTGAGAGTCGGGTCGAAGTTGGTTTTGTCCGTGACAAAGGGGACGCCGTTTGCTTCGCAGGTGGCGACGAGGTTGGATTTAGGGAAGGCCAAGAGGGGGCGGCAGATGAAGATGCCGCCTGTGGAGATTGTGACGCTTTGAGATGGATGTGACTTTGAGTCTGGGTTTGAGTTTGGTTGGTAGGGAAGCTTCATCTCCAAACCACTCCCAGACACCCCATAAAGACCATGACACTCCGGAATCCCCGTGACAGGCGGAATACCCGCGAGCCCAGCGCCCCGAGCCCCAGTACACAGTCTCCACAGGGTGGTTTCGACATTATCATCCTGGTGGTGGCCCATAAGGAGGGCCTCAATACCATTGTCTCGACAGGCTTGGCCAAGAGCCTGGAAGCGGAGACGCCGGGCGTGCGTCTCGAATGCGGAGACTTCTGATGGTGAACCTCCTTGGGGCCAGGTGAGGGGGAGGATGTGCGATTTCAACCCTGCTCTTTTATGAGTCTCTTGGATGTTTACTGCGTGCGGGTAGAGAGATAAATAGAATGTAAGAATACGTACCCATATCCCCCAACCAACCCGCAACAGTCCGCGCCTCCCTCGAACTCTCCTCTCTAGCACGATGATCAACCACGAAAGCCATAACAGCAGAGTCAGGCTGATGAAGCCCCATCTCCCACTGTCTGCACAGATACGCAAGCGCCATAGAATCAGCACCTCCGCTGATCGCCAGTCCTGTTTACTTAGTTAGCTTCATCCAACCCAACTCAATCCAGTCCAGTCCAGCTTGCTCATCAAGAGGTAATAGATATGATATCACCGTTAATGTACATACCTAATCTCCTCGGAAGCCCCCGACTCCGACTCCGACATGCTGTGTGTCGCGAATCGAACCATGTTCGCTGGAAGGCGTTGAGGAATTGGGTGGGTGTGATGGGGTTTGCTTTGCGGGGGATGATGGATTGGCTTGCCATGTCTTGCCATGGGTTCTATCTAGCTTCTTTGTTTGTGAGGAATAGAGCTAGATTAGGTTAAGTGTAGGTAAGTCACTCTGAATGTGGTTGGTGGTGGAGAAGAAGCTGGTTGGTTCGGAGTGCGGGTTTCTTGGCGTTTTGTTCTGTTCCCGCGTGGAACCATATGTTGCAGTGGATCAGGTTACTTATGCAGGTTAAGAGTCAAAGTGTTGTTATTGCATGGAGTTGAGTGGCGATCTTCTTTTGTTATTTATGACAAGGTATCGGGGATTTACTCAGTAAAATCAACATGCATGGCTCAGTTGGGATCGTACTTGGTCGTAGAACTACACTTCCTACTACATCAACACCTCTACTCAACTGTAATCCCTTCACTACCAACCAGCCAACCAGCCAAAAAAATATGTATAATGATGTATGTACAATACCAGAGACAGGGCCATCCATCCATCCATCCGATAACCCGGGGTATTCATCTCCAATATAGACGAAACAAACCACAACAAAGTACCCTCCCATCCCCCATCACCACCACTACCACCACCACATCAAGAATTATAAATAGAAGCCGACGCAGACCTCGGCGCCGGAGCCATCTGAGAATCAATACTCGCCGACAGCCCACTCCGACCACCATCCCCATCCGGCGCGGCTAAACCCTCGGACGTCAACGCGTTGTGTTCATCGTACTGGCCTGACCCTGGCCCGGACCCCGGCATGGGGATCTCTCTCTTCCCGTTCGCTCTGTAGTGGAGGATCATGTCGCTCGAGGAGCGCCAGATGTGGGTTCGCATTGTGGCGAGGGTCATGTTCAGGGGGAGGAGCTGTTGGTTGTTAGTTGTGTTGGTCTTATGGTTATATAATAGGATACGAGGGGGAAGGGAGGGGGTACCATGTTTTGACAGTAAAGTTCTAGGTATTCTTCCGGTTTCATTCCGCCCTCTTCCCGTTCGTCGTACAGAGGGTCGATTCGCTCTGCGACGTAGGCTAGGATTTTCTTTGCGCGCAGCATGCGGTTGGCGTTTAGACGGGAGTTGTTATTGCCGTTGGCGTTGGGAGTTGGTCTAGACTGTTAGCTACGGCGACTCTGAAAAGGGATATTTCCGTGGACATACCCGTCTTTCGCTACCGGAGGTAACAGTTTATCGTTGTACGGCCGCAGCGTAAAGGCCACCTTCGTAGGCTCTTTATACGGGATTTGATTCTACCGGAGTTAGCGGAATACAGATTTTGGAATGATTACAACAAACCTTCAACAGAAGCTCAGCAAGCCACAAAGGAATTGACTTTTCCAACCGGTCGATCTCCTCCCCAACCCGTGCCACGGTGCCCCTGTAAAGATCAGACGCCACAGCCGTATCCCCCGACTCCTCCTGAATGAATACCGACGTCCGAGGGGGGATGTTCAACACAGGAGTCTCTAGCTCAGTAGCCGGCGCAAAAGCCGAGATCAATTCCTGGTGAGGATTTGCCGACAGATATTCCTCATACTCATGCCGCGTGCGTTCGATAAAACCACTCAGATTATTTTCGAAAACCTTCTCTTCTTTCGCCGACGACTTATCTGACTCTTCCGGCTTTTCTTCCTGGATCTGTGGCTTAACTTCGGAGGAGGTCCGGCCTAACTTCTTGGGAAAATCCATCCGGAACTTCTTCCCGAATAAGGAACTGCCCTTTTTCCGTTCTTCCTTATCGGGCTCGCTTGGTGACTGCGGGAGAGCGGTCGGCGTGCTTTCAGTTGGCGGAACCGTGGATGCCCTGTCTACATCCGAGACGGCCAGGTTGGGCATTCTGGAGTGGTTAAAGTAGTCGCTGGATCGGTCGGACACCGAGGTCCGGTTGGCGTCGTGTGTCTGGTGCGCCGCCAAATATTCCGAAAGATCTCCCGGTGAAGTGCCCGCATGACTGCTGCCGTGGTGATTATGATGGAACACGGGGGCGCTCAAGGGCCCCGGGCTACTGGCAAACCCGATTCCAAACCCGGGAGTTGACGGGCTGCCAACGCCGTCATGACCGGGGCGCCAGGAGGAGATGGAGGGGTCGAAGGACGCTGCTACGTTCTTCGCATGTTGCGGTATCGGGATGTCCATTGGTGCAGTGCCGCTGGTGAGACTCGACTTGGCGAACTCTTCTGCTCGTGCCAGAGCAGACTTGCGATATTGGGCATCGCGTTTGATCTCTTCTTCCACCAATGGGGCGAAGAGCCAGCGCAGGATCCATTTACCCAGGTTGACTATACGTCAGTCTGTCAGTATACAACACGAAAACGACATGGGAACAGGATATCATGAAACCAGTCCACTCGGGGTGCAAGAATACATACCCCTTTGATCATCACGCATCTGCAAGCCATCATCCAGATCCGCTTCATCGGCATAAACTTCCGCATCGAAACAACGCCCAGGCTCCAATATAACAGATAGCCTTCCTGTCCGGATATCAATCGTGCACCAATGAGCGATGCTCTCCGTCGTATTTATCTCCGAAGCGACGTCGTCAATATGACGCTTGCCAAAGGACTGGACAGGGATGCACTGGAGCGAGTAAACATTAGCACGTCGTTTGGGCGTCGAGCGTGCAGACTCTCACCTTAAGAAGATCCCACAAAACCACCTCCCCGGCCGAATCTTGAGTCAGCGTGCGTTTCCGGTCATTCAACGAGAAATACTTGATCAACCCATGTTGGCCCTCGATGGTGTCATTGGGTAACGTCTGCACAGGCAGCGTGAGGGCGAGTTCATCCTCCAGGCCGGACTGCGGGGACGGCTGTTGTCCATTGACAGACGGCGGGGCCGCGACGTTCTGGGGGAATCGGGAATCCGGCAGTGTCGAAGTACTGGAGAGGAGTAGAAGAGATTCATACGGTATCTTCTTCTTCGGTTGGATCTTCGTAGACGGTGCCTGCTCGGACGGGCTGGACTCGTCCTGGGGCTCTCTGAATGACGGCGATTGGATCTCAGCCAGTGTGTCGATGTCGTTCCAACGGTTGATGCTAGACTTGGGAGTTGCGGTCCATATATGATCGGCGGCAGCGACCACGTTGACGACCCCTTCGTGCTCCTGTAGCGCGGCAACGCAGATCCCCTGCTCGATGTCCGGCGAATGTCTGGTGTCCGTCTTGGCAACCAGGCCGGATCGATCGCTGGAATAGAACACCGACAGTTGCGGGTGGTTCGAGTAGAGGGACCAGACGCTGTCATTGTGCATCGTCAAGGTGTGCATACACCTCCCCGCCGTCAGGGACCAGATTTTGACGGTCTGATCCGACGACGCCGTCATGATCGTATCCCCGTCGCGGTTGACTAGGATATCCCGAATATTATCCGTATGGCCGACAAACTTGGTGATGAGCTTTCCGGATTTAGGATCCCACACTCGCACCACGCTCTCAGGCCCGCCACTAGCGATGACAGACGACACGGCGCCGAGCGCATATACAGAGCCTTTCGCGGTCTGATCTTCCCCGCAGGCATCGATGTTCAATACTTCGCCTCCACCATTCAGATCCCACAGGTAAAGCTTGTGATCGAGGCCCCCAGACGCAACCCACGACGAATGATTCCCCGGTGTTGCAAGAGCCTTGACATAGTCCGTATGTTTCCCGATTGGGTCGGGGACGTCGGTGGAATCGGAGTGCGGTCGCCATAGTCGCACCGTCGTATCGGAGGAGGCGGAGACAAGGGCGGAGTTGTTCTGCGTGAGAACGATGTCGTTAATCCAGTGGCTGTGAGCCTGGACCTGATTCCGGAACGTTGTCGGACCGGGCTGCGTCGCGCAAGACTGCGACGCGGACTTGGATAGCGGCAAGTTGAGATCCCACGAACAGACGACGCCATCGCGACCGGCGGAGTACCTGATTGTCGTTTATATTAGACTGACCAACACTCATATAACCAAGCAACGGAGGAAGAGAGGCTCACAAGATCGAGTTATCCGGATCGATCGTCAACCCGTTAACCCCCAGCCGGTGGCCGCCCGGGGCATCAGGCAGAGGGAGCACTGTCCACAGACACACCTATCAGTCACCAGGACCAGACAAGACGGAATACCCGATAAATCCAGACTACTCACCATATGTGACCCTCTGGTGGCTTGGTTTGCGGCCCATGCAGGTTGATTTCTCGACAGCGGTGGGTAGGAGAGAATGCGGAGGAGAGGCTACACGAGATGCGGAGGTGACCGGGCACCAAGTGGGCGGGCGGTGGTCGATCGCTCACGGAGACCACGGGCGTAACGGGGCGATAGGAGAAAGCATGCCTTGACTAGGGCAACTAAGGGGGAAGAACTCTGTTATTTAAATTTATGTCAAAAGGGAAAAGACCACGAGGGAGGAGAGTAGATGAGATTCAGCAAGCGAGAGTGAGGGAGAAAAGAGAAGAGAGCGAGAGAATAGAGTGTGAGAGGAGGGGAGAAGACGGGAAAACGTGGTTCGGGTAAGCCGCAGCTGGCCTGGTTGCCTGGTTGGTTCCTGATTACGGAGCTAGGACTACTCCTCCTGACGCCACAATTCAGAAATGAGACAGGAGGTGCTCGTTATTGAATGTCTCAACCCTCCGTGCGCAATAGCAGCCTAGTATTATTGCCATGGGGCTCTTAATTCCCCTCTGCTAAAGGCGAAGTGGTGGTGGGTTCCACACGGAGTCGATTTCCATCCCCCTATCTTATCTATGGCGGACTATCAACCCTCTGACGTCAGATGCGCACGCGATCATATCAAACGCAACAACAGCAGTCGTTGATCCATTCAAAAGCTATCTACTCAACTCTGCCGTCCTGAATACAATTAGTGACGGATATAAAACAAACAAAAGAATGAACAAGCCGAGTGGTAAAATGTAAAATGGCTTGGCTTGCTCCAAGCCAGATGAACCCCCGCAAGAAAGAAGAAAATCAAGACTAGAAGAGAAATAAAAAAGGCAAAGGGAAAAGAAAATCATCCCAATAGCAATAGGTAAAAAGATGGAGCATTGGGATAAAGCACAAAGTCTAACAACCAGCCCTCTATGGGACGATAATGATTCGCCTCGGCAGTTCCAATCCGCGAAGACACAACGCCAGTGAAGATAGTAAAGAAACACAAAGAAAAGAAAAGGAAGAAGAAGAAAAGGGGGGGAGGGGTGGGGGCGCAAAAGCAAAGAGGAATGATATGAAATGAAATAGAAAAAGCGACCGTCCATGCTCACTTCCTGTGCAAGAGAGATAGGTGAGAAGTGGGGGTGAAAGAAAAGAGAATTAAGCAAAGACATTGACCTCAATCACAACTGGGTCCATTCGACAAGAGAATAACAAGAGATATCACACGAACCGAAGGCACCTTGTCGGATGAGCTTCAAGAAAAGGGTTCAACCCGCAAGAGGATGCATGAGTGAAGGGAATATAGAGAGACAGGCGCCAGATACCCCACAATGGTGGGGGTCGAGAAAGAAAAAATGAGGTCTGGTATTGTTGATGACGATGGTGATGGGGATTAGTATTATTTATGTTTTCTGTTTCTGTTCATGTCCAACTAGAAAGAGGGAAACTTTTGATCGACGACTGTAATGAACTACTACTTAGCCTTCGCCTTACTCTGGACCGGTACGCTCGATGAAGGAGGCACCAGAATGTGGGTATGGCCCGGCGCTTTTATGACGGCCCCCGACACTTCCTGCTCGCAAGCGTGGATGTTCTGGACCCACTCATCGGTCAAGACATCGTCGAGACTGGCACGATCTTTGACCCGCACGGTAAGCATCCGGCCGACGATATAGCGACTTTCGCGAGGCAGGAGCCGGAGAAGACGCCAGGGTCCCTTGATAACCTCCTGGCGTTGGCCCGACTGCTGGGCCGACGGCGGCAGCGGGGGCGCCTCCTTGCTCGTCGTCCGCGTCGGCTTGTTGTTGTTGCTCATCTTCTTCTGCGTTTGGTTATCCGACGTCTCTTCCTGGGGGCTCTCTGGCGGGCGGTTCTCCTCGCTGGTGGCGGACTCGGGTTTCGGCTTGGGCGGCGCCTGGCGTCCATTCACTTGTCCAGGGGCCCAGTTGTCGTCAGTGATGCGGGAAGGCGCATTGGCGTCCCGCGCCACCGAGGGCAAATCCGGAGCGGACTTGGGCTTATGTCGCTTCGGGTCGATATCGGGGACCGGGGTCCCGGGGGTCGGGCTAGAGACGAAGAGGCGGTAGGAGTTGTCGCTGACCCGGGGTTGCTTCCACGGGAATCGACGCAGCGTCATACAGCAGTAGATGATGGCCAAGGACCAAACATCGGTCGGACGGGGGTCATATTTCTTCTCATCGTAGACCTCGGGGGCAAGGTACGGATCCGAGCCAACGATCCCTGCGACCACTTGTGTCAGTATTCTGCGCGATAATACAAAGGCAAGAAAAAAGGGTCGGGAGGGGTACCAGAAGCGGGAACAATGTCGTTTTCAAACGGATATCGGAAGACCACGGCACTGCCAAAATCAATAAGCTTCATGATGCCATGCTCGTTGACGACCACGTTGTCGAGCTTCAAGTCGCGATGAGCGAGACCCATGCCGTGGAGGTAGGCCACGCCGCTGAGGATCTGCTTGAAGGAGCACGCCACTTCGTCCTTGACCATCTTCCCCGTCATGACGATGGCGAACAGATCAAACGGCGCGTACTCCATAACCTCGTACCAGTGGCTTCCTTCCTGGATGATGTCCAGGGTCTCGATGATGTTGCCGTGATGGAGCGTCGACCCGATGCAGAATTCGGCCGTCACCTTCTTGGAGTATTCCTTCAGGGTCTCCCACGAATGGCGATCGCGGAACTGCTTCACCGCAAAGGTGACGCCGTCGCTGTTCCGCTTCAGCAGGCGGACGGACCCGCCTGCCCCGGACCCGAGCACCTTGCCTAGCTTCCCGTACTTGGAGTTGAGCCCGTGATCGTCGGCAAAGGGGACATTGTCAGGGGCCATCTGGTAGGGCGTGTTCTTCCCCGAACCGCGGCTCGACTTCTTTGGGAGCGAGGACGGGGACTCGCCCCGTTTGTGCTTGTTGTGGCCCATCTTGAAGAATCGCTTCAGCTCCGACATGTGGCCGTGGTGCTTGCCGTCAGCATCCGGGTCCCGCTTGCTGCTGAAGAAGCCACTGCGCCGCTCGGACTTGAGGTCGGTGGCACTGGACGAGCGTGGGGCGTGTGGCCGGACGAGGGAGGAGGCGTGCTGGGCGGCGCGGCGCTTGACGTCGCGGCCGTTGAAGATGAACCGCTGATCGAGCTGTGCGAGGTTCTTCGGCTGGGGGATGCGAAGGCGGCGCGCGTAGGGGTCGTTGGGTTCCCCGACGGGGGTGATGGTGCCGGGGGGCGTAAAGTCCGCGCGGGGCGTCTGCGGGGGGCTCTCCTCCTGCGAGCTCGCATCCGCGCCGGGCCCCAGGAAAAACTGCGCCCGGTGTTTGGCACCGTTTTGCGGGTGGGAGTTGGTCTGCGCGACGTCGTTCGGTTTGGTCAACTGTTCGGTGGATGAGGGTCGCGAGGTCGGGGCACTTTGTGCCGCCGCCTTGCTCTTGGTGGACGACCCCGTGGGCGGGGAGGTTTCCGGAGTCATGACCGCGGTGTGGTCGATGGTTCCCTTGTCTGCCGTGGTAGAGGTAGACGATGTGTCGTTAGTTTTCGGTTCACGGGAATGGGTGGCCGCCGGCGTCAGAAGCGGCGAGTGCACCAGGGACGCCGCTGGGGAGGCACGGGGAGACGGCAAACCAGATCCATTCGTTTCTCGTCCCCCTCGGTCGCTAGATTCGCGGGATGCAACCTATCAGAAAGAAAAAAAGGGGGGGAAAGACGCGTCAGTTTTCCATTATCTCCGCCAAGCTCCGCGGGGGGGTGCCAAGAGCTACATACTCTTGAGGAGGGGAGGGACAAGGGATCAAAAGAAAAGTTTCGCAGACGCGATTCCTGCAATTGGGTCCCCTGCAGGCTTGCAGCCAACGAACGGAGATCCTCATCCTGTTTCTGACCCATGGCAGAGGCAGTTTGCTGCTCCGAGGGTTCGATCTCCTCCGTGACGGAGGAAAAGCGGACTTGGCTTGGGTGCGACTTGGATTTGGTATCATCATCGCTGGGATCGGACACCCGCGCCGGGGATATCCGAGGAGCATGTGAGCCTGTCCACCACAGAATATCGGATTAGTCGAGCGGTTGATATGAGGAATGGAGGGAGGGATCGATGGTGCATACCAGAATCCATGCCGTCACCCTGATTACCAAAATCGGTCACCTCCGACATTGTACTCGGTCAAAGAACACAAGAGATGCAAGTGACGCTGAGGGACGCATGCGCGCCTCGAGGTATTTCGGCGAGAACCAGTGACGGCAAGCTCACTGGAACGGAATGCGTAAGGAGTTAAATGATGTAGGCCGAATTCCGGGGCAGTGACGAAGGTAGACAGCCAAGAACATTCGTAGGAGAAAGACAGGGCGGATTGATGGTGGATGGTGGATCGATGACCAGATGACCTTGCACGAGGCGGGATTGCTGAGGGGCGGGAGGAAGTCGCCCCATCCAAGAACTGGATCTCTTTTCTTTCTGTTCCTTTCACTGTTCTGATTCTTTCTTTTTTTTTTTTTTGTTTTTTATATATTATAAAATTTTTTGTTCGTGATTTCCTTTTCTTTTATCAGTTCTCGGAATGAGGAGAGACCAAAGGAGGAGTATGGAGGAGAGGGGAGAATGGTGGAGGTAGAAAGTAATGGAGGAGGAAAGAGGAGAGAACGGAGAGGAGGGGAGTGAGAAAGAGAGAGAGAGAGAGAAAGCAAGTGCGGTTGGTTATCTAGTTAGCTAGTTGGTATCCAATACGGTCCGTAAGGCTGGGCAGGCCGAAACAAGACGGGCGGCAATAGCGGCCTTGACCGTACTATACGATATACTGTATTATACTGATTCTACTTTCATAATGACCATTATCTAGACGATTAGATTTATCATATTACTTTCATTATAATACTCCTCGTCGTTCGAATGTCCGTTCAACAGTCCCAGCTTCAATGTGGTCATCGGGGTGGATTTTTAGGTCTGACGCCGGGACCAGCAAGGGCCTCATGGACGAACCATTGGCCAAGTGATGCATCTGGTCATTCTTGATTATGACATTGTTCTTCGTTTCTTCCATCTCACTTGTTAGTTTATTCCTTCCAATGTCTTCCAGGTCTCCCTTCATTCTTGAAGGGAAATCAGAGGATCAGCTTGGATGTGTCTGAAGGTATCCCAGACAGCTTTCTACAGTCTTGTAGAACAGACCTCTCGATCCAAGTCTCTACATCATATGAAAGACGTTGAAACAATAATCGACTGAAAGAATCGGCCCGGAGTCCCGCGGAGATGGTAATGAACCGTATTGTTACATTCTTACGACTGCAGCGTCATCGCTGGACTTATCTCGGGGTTTACCATGCTGGGTTCTGACTCAACTGCCTGGTTTGGGGGTTCTTGGGTTTTTACTCGGAGATAGTTCTTGATCACTTCTGAATCTCAGTTGTCAGATAATATCCTTAATATCTGATTAAACTTGAGTTCATTCGTAAAAATCATACGGACGAAGGCTGTCCAGTCACCCCGCCGGGAACAGCCCAAGAACGCCATCCGACAGACAGCCTTCTAGATTCCTTGAATGCATGCGGCTACTCAAGGGGGTTCTCTCCCTTCCATTCCTCGCCTTCTGGTGTATTTCCTGATTGAGATAAATCTTCTATATTGAATCAATCATAACGCTTGGTCTTAGAAAGACCTGGTGACATCATGGATGTAGTCATTTGGTTACTGAACTTTGTTAGTCACAGCTCTGGCCCTATCAGTCTGATACCATCGTGATGGTCGGACTTCTTGGCAGTTAGTGTTACTCTCGATAGTCGACCCCCCCCCCTCTCGTCCACTGCATCCATACCGTCCTTGGTCTTCTTGGCATCTGGAAGAGCGGTGACACCGGGATCCTCTTCCTTCCGGGTCATTTGTCTTTTTTTTCCTTGATTTCCGTGTCTCCGGAAAAGACGAACCGATTTATCCGTGCTTACAATGCCTCGTGGTGGGTCGAGGTCCGAGCAACGGAGAGAATCCGACTGCCTGTCGCATATTCCACCGGTCACATAGGCTAGAACCCATTGGACTGAAACGGCGTTGAAGTTTGCATCCTGGAGACTGGGTTCCTCCCCACGGGGCAACCACATGCCGTCTGCTTATTATCCAGTCTGCTTACCATACGCGGACCATGCACCTCGCATAATTGGTCGGACCACTCATATTCCGTGCAAATGCTTTGGTATATCGCGACGCTCTCGGCTCGCATGCAATTCTAATGTACAAACTGGAAAGGGAAAAGAAAAGACAAGGAAAAAAAAGAAGAGAAAATGGCCCAATCGCCAGAAACGCCCGTCATCATGACCACTGCGTAGTGACCATCTACATCAGTAGCCCAGATCCCTCACGGAGCCACCTGGATGCCCACGGACTTGGCCTGCGCAATCACACTCTTACACAATCCCTCCAGGTGCAACCCCGACAATCTGGTCTCGGACTGCTTGATCTTGGCGATCTCGTAGATATGCTTCAGGGACACTTTGCCGACGGTCTCATGGCCGGGGTTCATGGCGCCTCGGACGCGGTTCTTGCGCGGCTCCACGTTGGCGGCCTGGAAGAGGAGGTAGGCTGTGGTCGGGGTGCGCAGGTCGAAGGTAAACGAGCGATCGGGACGGACGGTGACACGGGCGGGGATGGGGACGCCGGTGTTGATGTGGGAGGTTCTGGCGTTGAATTCCTTCGTGGTGTTAGCCTCCACCTTCTGTTTTCACGTCTCCTTCCTTCTCCGTTCTTCTTTCTCCCGTTGTTCTTTCTGTCTCCTCCACACTTGCATCCCAATGGATTGCTTACCTTGCAAAAGTCCATACTCTTCACACCTTTGCTACCCAGGGCCGGACCAACCGGAGGGCTGGGACTGGCCTGACCGGCTCCGACGATGAGCTTCACGATCTGATCCTTGGCCAAAGCTTTTTTCGCCATGATGAATTATAGTAAACAAGGAAGATACAAAGAAATAATATGTAATCAAGAGAAATGGTGGTTAGACGCGTGACGGATGGACGATTGACGGACGATTGATTGAAGAATTTCGAGATGACCCGATTGGGGATAGCGTGAGCCGGGCGGAATTACTTACCCCCCGAAGTCAGGCACTCAGGCCCTCCGGAGTGCTGGACGTCATTTTGCACTGTTTGCTTCTTGTCCCTGGGAACTGAACTCTTCATTCTTACTCTTGACTTCTTACTTCATCTTGACTTCATCCTTACTTGACTTCTTACTTCTTGATAACAGATAACAGATGAGTCTTGACTTCTCAATTTCATCTCTCTAGTGATATTCTGAAAGTGATTCGGTCTTGTGGCGCGTATTTCACTTTTGGCCTCTTAACTCTATCCTCCACCATCCAATACGGTTAGCTGCGATCGGCCTAGCCAGACAGAGAACGTCGACCCCCCTCTGGTCCCCGCGGGCTATCGATTTCCCTCACCTACTTTTTTTCTATCTCCCTTTCACCCTTCTGACCTCTCTCTTTCTTGACACTCCCCTCACCCTTTCCATCTCCATCTCCATCTCCACCAACATGAACTGGCTGAAATCTACGTATGCTTGTCTCCTTGCCTTTTGACCCTTCTCCGTAGCTGTTCCCGTCCTGAAGCATACGTGCTGATCCGCTATACCGCTTTAGTCTCGCCAGTGTCGCAGGCACTCAGGAACCCATCTATGGCCCCGACGCCATTCGATCCGTCGCCCAGCAGGCCCAATCCCAGGAGGTCCCCTACACTGAGCTCACCAAGGATGACCTCCGGTGGCGCGCCCACCAGTATACCAATGTGGAGACCAAGACCTTTTATGTCATGGCCGACAACGGCACCCTGGTCATGATCCAAATTATCTACAGCAACATCGTGTGAGTATTATTGGTCTCTCCCCCCCCCCCCCCC